GGCAAATTTGCATGTTTGATACCAGCAACAATAAAAAGATGCTAAATATTCCCATAATAAACTCAATAAAAAAAAGATTATTTAAAGCATAAAGTTTGACCTGCTAGTCAGAGTTCTATATCAACAAAAATGCTGATGCACTCTCAAAACAATCAACTTGAGGAGAACCCTTGCACAAAAATGGGCTACCTTGGACAATATATTATAAACTTACCACTTTTGTCTTGGGCTTGACTTTTTTAGTATCTGAATGGATTTCCCCACTTTCCTGCAGTGTCTTTTGTGGTTTTTGTATCACATGGCTATTTTCGTTTCTCTCCTGTTGTAGTTGAGGATTTTTGGTTGCTCTTGATGTTTCATCTATACCAGGTGGTTCAACATAATCAGCAGATGTGTCAGGATATGATGTCTCGATCAGTGTAACCATGGACTCGCTTGACAGTCTACGTCTAGGAGATCTGTGTGAGACTCCATTTATCTCTCCAGGGTGGCCTTCAGAAGAATGCACTTCAGCAGCAACTACCACTTCAGCAGAACTGGGTGACTTTTGCTCATGTCTTCTTCTTTGCTTGGTACTCTTTGGAGGATCTGGAGTAAATGGGTTTGTTCCGCTGTCACCAATCCCAGGATCCTGGTAAGCCCTGAATTCCTTTGGTCTTGCACCCTGAAGTACAGTTGGCGAACTTGGAGGACCAAATAAAGAATATAGTGGTGGTTCTCCCATACCAGGGTTTAATGAGCTATCTGCTTCAACATCATAATGTCCAGATTTCTGAACGACCAAGTCTTTAGCAAAAGGATTGGTACTTGGGAAGCTGACGCTTGGAGATGCAAGTATGGCAGGTGATTGTTGTTCTGTTGTTGGAGACATTCTCTCTGCTGCTGCAGAGAAAGCCTTGTCAAGTTCGGATGAAGCCACCCATTCTGGTAATCCCTCAGATTTCCCTCCATCTTGGTGTTCTGAATATTTTTCTGCCACTGGAATCTTGATTGTAGGTTTGTCATGCCCTTTGGAGTCCAGTAAATGTTCCCCACTTTCTTTGCCATTTGGTTGTGAAATGATAGAAATTGCTCTTGATAACAAACCACTGAGATAATTTTTCTCGTTAGCATCACCTTCTTCAACATCATCTTTGTCCACAAGAAATGTACCTGCCTGGCTCATTCTCTGAAAAAGTGCTTCCTTTGTCTTCTTATCAATGCTTGGTGAGGCTAAAGGTAAAATGATTGGAAGTGAAGCATTAAATGCACTACTTTCTAGCCCTGGAACACTGGCATTACCATTTGATGAAGAGGTTGATGATGGCACAGGTTGAAGCACTAAAACAGGTTTCTCTTCATGCATGACAATCTGTGGTTGGTAGTAGAAAGGAAGTTTTGATGTGTGATGCTCTTTGCCATTAAGGATGCTGTCAAGGTTTCCATGGGCGGAAAGTATCGGATCTTTTACAAGGCTCAGGTTTTCAAGTGATGTCTGTGTGCCTGTTGAAGACAATGATGACATCCTTTCTAAGACTGGGGCAGTGACATATGGAGGTTCTTTGCTGACATCTTCAGGAATCATTTCATCATCTTTAACAGCAACTTCATCATCCTTAAATCCCGTCATTAGCAAGGAGGGTTGGGTCTCTTCAACCAATTGCTTTGCATTCCCTTTCAACTTTTCTGATTGATTAGCTAATGACCCACTTGGTACAACAGCCTCTGATAGGTCACTTTCACTTGATGCCACCACAGAATGTGTTGATGACACCATTTCATCTTCATCTGATGAAGATGATGATTCAGCATAATCTTCTTTGGATTTATCATATTCCACAGCTTCTGACTGGGGCACAGAAGATGCATGATACATGGAAAGTGTTCCCTCTAGAACAGAGGCTTCAGTGGTCTCACTTTCCACAGAAACAACTCCCACAGGCTCTTTCTCATCTACATCTTCAATCTCAGAGAAACTATCCTCAGCTTTGCCTTGCAATAACTCAGGTAATTCTTCATCTTCGCTTGAACTAGCACATCCTGTTGAGGAACTCTCAGAATTTTCATGTGCAGTACTCGATGTTATTGCAAATCTTTCATCATTGTATGGAAATTCAGACATCTGCTCTCCAATTGGAGTGACAATGCTTTTGTCAATAGAATTAACACAACTGTTACTGGTGGTCTCTCTGAGTTGATGTGCTGAGTTTTCATTAGTAACACAGTCATTTTTGCAATCCTCCTTTCCATCCAATAAGGCATTAACATCATCAATAGCTACAGCTGTGACACAATCACCAATATTGCCATCATCTTCAAATCTAATCTGATCTTCTATCTTGTCCTTTTCATCAGCCACCTCAGAAAACCTCTGATCATCCTTTGTAGTGAAGACACTTCTACCTTCTGTTTCATAAGAATTATCATCAGTAGCTGCGTTTTCATCTGCTATATGGTTGTCTTTACCCTCTCCCAGTCCGTTAATGACAACACTGTCTCCCTCACTATTATCCTCTTCAACTTTCCTGACCTCATCAACTTGATCTAATAATTCAGATAATTGTTGAAGTTTTTCAAGGCCATTACCATTATCACAACGGTCAACCTCTAAGGACGGTTTCTCCTCAGAATCTAGTGCTTCATTTGGCTGGGATGTCGACCTCATTACGGAATCACATTCCTCTTGAGAAGCATTCTTCATAGCCACTGCAAGTTTCAAAGCACTTTGCAATGCTTCTGGTGAAAATTTTTGACTCAAACTTTTGATCACATCACTAGTATCAGAATTTTCTGGAGTACCATCATGAGCTCCAGCTTCCATGGCTTTGCACTACTCTCACACAGGTACACAAACTTGTACACCAAAGATGTTTTCTTGTAACCTTGTCAATGGTTCATCTGTAAATTATGGGACAAAATAAGGCACAGACTAAAGTATGTGTGACAGGCTCCAGATGTGGAAGAAGAAGAGGCCTCAAGGGAAATGTGGAAGAAGAATTAAGGTTCATTTCTCTCTCCCTATTCTCCCCTTTTACATTTTCCCTGTCAGTGCCTCACTATGCAGGCTAAATAAATAATTCACACTGGCATTTATCTGAGCAAAATATGATGATAATTTGATCACAAAAAAACTTGATATTTGACAGCCTAATTCAATACAAATCTTTGATGAATACCATGAATCCATGTTGACCAATAGTGTCAGTAAATACTTGGCCGAAAAATCACATCATATAATGTGGTTTATCACCATAAAATATCAAAGATTACTAGCTTATCAATAACATTATTGAACACTGAGTTTGCTCATGATCATGTTATTTTCAGTATTTACCCTTTCTGTATTTCTGAATCTCAGACATAAACTTAGAGTCAATCCATTTAAATGCCACGCTGGGTACCAAAATTTTAAATAACTCTTATGTTGAAGATTGTTTTCCCAAATTCGGCTTTGACGAAAAGAGAAACAATCGCTTCCAATAACAAAAGAAAATCCGGAAGTAAAATTAAACTCATGTGGGTGACCAATTTTGACGAAAAGAATAGCATTGTTTGATTTGTACCATCTTCAAATACCGAGAAATAAATCAAGACAGTAAAGGACAAAAAACATAGACGAAATCGGGTTTAAAACACCTCGCAGAAACAACTGTAGTTCGTCACAGTTTTATCCCTTCGCGTTAAAACAGCTGAATTTTCCGCAATTTTTCAACACTTAGAATAACCTGCACGACGAAAGCTTAAAAGAGATCTTTTTAAAATTAATTTGGGTAAACGTTCAACTGTGCTGACATCACAAAATGGGCAGTAAATAATCACAGCTATTACACCAAGCATCTTGCGAGAGTGCTACTCCAAATAATTTGCTCCACTTAAATCGCTATGTGCTAACAGTTTATAACATAGCGTTTCAAGACTTCACAAACAACGGAGAAAGGCCATTTTTCTTTAAAATCTATAATAGAGCAATGTATGAGAGAAAACAGCCACAGCTAAACACGAAATAGAAAAGGTTTTGCATCACAAGTTTTGGTCCGGTTAGACATTAGCTAAATTTCCGTGACGTAAATGAACGAACGCTACCTCCAAAACTCTTTTGAAACAATAGCAAACTTTCTCCCAAAGGAGACAAGGGAACGTATTGCTTTAAGTACATACGAACTTGGAATGGATATGAATTTACCTGAGTTGTCTGGTTAACACAGTAAGATGTCAGTAGCTAAGGAGCAAAGAGTGAAGTCCGCCATGTTTGCCCGACGATTTCGATACTCCATAGCTTAGGTGAGGGTAGGGTGAGTAGCAATGGCCTCTTCTCCTGTGGAGGAGTCCTGTAGGTAGCATTGTTCACGCACGGAGCGCATCGGGCGTCGAAATTTTCAGATGATCTGAACATTTCTGCTGAGTTTTCACGTCGGAACCAATTTTCAAAATATATGGAAGTTGCCACTGGGGCTATATGATCTCCAAACAATACAGGAATCTAAACAAGGTCGCACGAATGAAGTTTCTGCAAGTTTAAATAATTATATTCCTTATTGTCTGCTATGTCATGTAATCGTCTCCCAAGTGACGAACCACTTTGGTCTGTTTGCATATTCGGCGGAGAAACCAAATTATTTTTGCGAACCTTATTTGAGGAGATGGTGAACTCCCTTATGGTAATGCCACGCTTGCGATTTGTTTGGTTTACTTCCAGAAATGAATCGAGCTTGTAAAAAAATAAACTTAAAAGTTTAAAAGAAATTTTAAATTAGGATTGGTTTTCACCATGCTCGATAGATCTTTCAAAATACTCGAAAAGTTAAAACAAATCGTGATTAAAATAGCAGTTGGCGTTTTCACGCGTTGAGGCCATGGCTTTTTTTCTGTATTTTATTGTGAAATGAACAATCGCGCAGGGACGGTGGAGCCTATTTTTAACAAGGGCAGAGGGGCGGGGATTAAAAGCGTGCGCTGGCGGGGTAACAACCCCCTAACTTTCTTAATCCGAGTATGGCCCAGTTAAGAAAGTGCAACTCAGATTGATATGTCACATGTTTTAATAGATAAAAATGATTCAAAACAAAAAACTGCTCATCTTTTTTTAAAAAAATATGCCCCTCGGCATTGTTTACGAGACTTTAATTGGGAATATTGAATCTATTTTGATCTAGTTGCAATCTAATTGCAATCTAGTTGCAATCTAGTTGTAATCTAGTTCCTGAGCGCTACTCTACCTGATATGATATTCTAGAATGCAACACTAACGTTGTAACTGATTCGATTATAAAAAGCAAAGTGTGACCATATCATAGTCAGAATCATCGAGCATCAGTAGTTGGCAAACCACTTTGTTCCAACTTTATCTGACGATTTACCACGATTCTCGTGTTTACCAACGGTCCAGCGGGACATCTCTCTCAGGCCTTTGGTGGAAACGATCGTGAACCACCAGTATGCTCTTGGCTGCATCATCACCTCATTCGGATTGGGTGCCGACTGCATGCTCACGTGGTTAAGAGTTTGGGCGGCCACATGGTTTCCATCTGGTGACACCGCCAGGTTCTGAGCCTTGAATGAATAGCCTTGTTTTCTGTCTCCCTGCACACAGCGAACATCTGCTCCAGTCCTGACAGCGTGCACCAGATGAGTACGACTTCCGTTTACGACATTACCAGATGGATCATTCGACAGGACTTGCCCCCATGGTCTTGTGTCGATGAACCACTTCACCTTAAGCTTGTCAGTGGAATCGCCACGATGCTTATGTTCACCTACGTTGTACCTTGTCGCACGTACGGTTCCCGTGGTAGAGACCATCAACCAGTACCAATAGGCATTATCTTGGAATCTAGCCAAAGATGCCTTACTAACATGTTTCAAAGCCTGCGCTGTCACATGGCCATTTCGCACAGAAAGGTTGTCAGCTTCAGTTGTGTAGTAATTCCACTGAGGCAACTGAAAGCGAACACGATGACCGGACAATATAGCTGTTGTCAGTGCTTGGCGTGATCCAGAAAGAGGCTTCCCATTTGCATCGTGTTCAAAGATTTCCTTCCAGCAGCCATCAACAAACCACTCCATCGCTACGGTATCCTGGCTATGGCCTCGGTCCTGGTGGGTTCCAACAGTCCAGCGTGACATGTCACGCGATCCACGAGTGGTCAACATAGTAAACCACCAGTACGCATTGCTCTGAAACCCTATAGAATTGCTTTTAGTGCTACTGCTTATGTGGTCCAAGCTTTGCCCAGAAACGTATTCACCCTGGGAGGCAATGGCGACATTCTGGAGTGGGAAGGAATACCGTTTGTTGCTGACACAGCGAATATCCTGACCCTTTTTAACGTTGCTTTCGAGATCGTATAAGACACCTTGGACTCCATTTCCATTAGCCTGGTGAGAATAAGACGGCTTTGGAAGAAGACCTGCCAATTGTACATACCATTCAATGCTTCTTCTTACTCTGTTGGTTCCACGATGCTGATGTGAGCCCACGTTGTACCTGGTCATCTCCATAATTCCATTAGTGGATACCATTACCCACCACCAGTAAGCATTATCTTGAAACCTATCCCATGAGGCCTTGCTGACGTGTTGTAGAAGCTGAGCAAACACGTGGCCGCCATGCACGTGCACATTGTCGGCCTCAGTGCTGTAACCTGTCCCAATGACGACACGCACACGTGCACCTGACAACACAGCAGAAACAAGCGAGTACTTCCAGCCTTTTACTGAGTTTCCGTCGATATCATGCGAGTATGCCAGTTGCCATGGTAACGAACAGGGCGCACACGGTTTGTCTTTAAGTAAAAAAAAAATGATTAAGTGAAATGTGGATTGAAGGCGTAGCTATAAGAAGCAGGGGAGGGGGAAAGGTGAATGAAACCAAAATCCTACTTAAAATCTCAGATAGTCAGTAAGACGGTGTAGAACCTTGCCAGACATGATTCTTTTGAATGACGTTATCTGTTTCCAGTAACTGTGAAACAGATGAATATACATTTTCCGCGGTCAATTAGAAAAATTATGCAAGTGTCAGTTACAAAGGAGCTTCCAAACACTCCACATACAAATTTTAAAGCTTTCAGACCCGCAGAAATCAAACAGGACAAAAAAAAAATGTGTTCACAGGCACATCTGATTGATTTCGAATGACCATCCATGTGAAGATTTCCGCGAATGAGTTTGAGTATTTTTAAATTTCGTGCAAGTTTCTTTGTATTTAGTCAGGTGCCAGTGAAGAGGGGGGATGAAATATCCCAAAAACTCATGTAAAACACTTGATATCACCCAGAGAGGGAAAAGGAGGTCACCTTTTTCTATCCTGTCAATGTCAGTATTCATGAAACACTCCTCTTTATCATTTAAATCAAGCAGAGATCAATTATAACAAATAATAACAATTTAAGATATCAGTTGCCGTATCAAATGATTCGTCACGCGGGATGCGTACGTGCTACAGCTTATCTTGGACTGGCGCCAAATCGTAGGACCTGAACGTTCTTCTACAACCGTTGATTAAAAGGCGGCACGCAAGACTACTGTTCATTGAGTTATAACTCGAGTCTACATTCTTTTGAAAGAGTAGAAAGAAAAAGCTAGCCTCGAAATTTCATAATAGTTACTAAAATTTCGAATCATCCATTCCTAAATTTTCATGGCCCAGTTTGAATTCTATTTTTTACTTTTTGACATAAACGAAAACAGTTACTTACCTCGGTCGCCAGGCGGTGGAACAAGCCCTAATGCGATAGCAACTGAACTGAGTAAAAGCAAAATACAGATCTTCGACATAGTGATAGCCAGTCCGCTCTGTTTGTTACAACAGCTACTTTCTTTCGCTCGTCCGGTCGATCGAACATGATTTTACAAGATAAGCCTTCATTGTATTATGACGTAAGAGAAGGCAAGCCAATCAATATTTTGGATTTTTATTTCCGTAATTTTTTATTTTCGTTCAGTCAGTAGTTTATTTATGTAAGATTTTACGCCAGTAACTAACGGCATAATTTCTTCCAATCGTCATATTATATACTGTAAGATTTTACGCCGTAAAATCTTACAGTATATACACCGACGGAGATAGTGGCGTAAAATCGTACAGTTTATAAACTGTGTTAGTCACGCCGTTATCTAACTACGGGGGAGGGGGGGGGAAGCGATATCACGTTCGTTGTACTGAAACACGCTGAAATCTTTCTGAAACGGTCTCAAACGCTTAGTATGGCCATATCTGAAGAAATGATGACATCCCTACATTGTACATAACAAAATCAAGTAAATCCTCCAACGATGAAGGAAAAAGTCAAGTATTTTGTTGCATTTCTTGACCCATGTCTCTCTTCAAGACAAGACATATATGCTAGTACGTGCGTGCTTTCAAACTAACCCACTTGTTTCTAGAAAATTGGGAAACAAAATTATTCATGGATTAAAAACAAGGAGATTGACTGATCCTTGTTCCTAGGTACTTGACTGTAGTTGACTTCCGAATCTATTTTCAAATCATTTGCCTACGTGAGCCAGCGATCACGATCAATCGATTGAATGGTTTGCGAAAATATCGAGACTTGACATCCGTTGTGAGCCTTTCATGATCTAGCAAGCACCAGAAAAACATCTTAACCGTCCATTCACTCGAGTAAAGTTAAGTTATTCATCGAGATGTTCTCGACATGACGTCTTCCGGTAAATGACACTTGAGGTAGTGATCGTGCTTTGAGCGATCGTTTCATCAAGTTTTTTTAATTTTTTTTTCTATCGGAATAGGTTTGTACATATGATAAGCTAAATATTTACGCGAAAAAAATATCGTGTCATCGGCACATTCCAAACTAGTTTTGCTGATTCCTTTTGGACTTTTTAGCCAGCGAGCAATGAAATTGGAACTGGAATCTTATAGTCGTTGCGTATAATATGATCTATCAGTATGGCAATTATTGTTAAGTTACCCTCAGCACCCTTGGACGGTTAATCTTCTTGTTCTGGTCAATGATGAATATCTGACAAATGATACCATCCCTGAGGCCGCTGTCACAACAACATCTGGTAACACGAGCATCTACATCGACTTGACAGAGAGAGAATCTAAAACAAAGTTTCAAAAACCACAGACACCACAAACTCTCTTTCAGCGACCGAAAACCGCCAAAGGAGAGTTAAAGGACTCAAACACAGGATGTGATCTTAAGTGGCGCAACATCAAGATGGCAAACGACTCTGAAGGATCCCCATTCCGATACAACTCATTCGAACTTACGCCTATCAGAGACGCTATGCATCTTAAGAGCCCGCGACTTACTGAACTAGAGATCTGAACTGGTCAGCAAATTTCGCATGGGAACAAATCTATCATGAGGGTTATGGTGAGGTCTGCCAGTGAAAAACACAACTCCCATCGTTAATGAATTTTTAGATTGGAAACTTAAGCGCTGCATTCTGCTGGTATGGTAAACCAGCAGTCTGTTATTCGCTTGTTAGTGCGTAAAACTCGAGTAACGACGCTCCGTCTTTAAAATCTACATTTTTCTCTGCATATACATGCATAGAGTGCTTTGGGATACCAACATCTTAGTCTTCAAATCTCAAGAAAGTGAAATAAAATGTCAGTGCAGTGTTTTCTTTTTTCTTTTTTTTGTTTGCTTCTTAGGGCCATTTTAAATGGCTTCTCACTGAATCACCTGTCAGTTGGCTTTCAATAAACTGGCCTCGACGTTTTCTTCGTAGGAAAGCCCCAGGAAAATCAACTAACAAGCAGTCGAGAGTAATTTAGAGAAAAAGGTTTATTAAAACGAGTAAGAAGTAAAAAATCATTTGTCTGGAGTGCATCGGTATTTCACTTCACTCCATTTGAGATTTTCAGACTAAGATTCGTTAAGAAGTTTTGTTATTTTGTGCACTTTATGACACCCAGTCACATTTTTTTGTTTTTTCCTTCGCCTGTAACAAAAACGAAGACCCGAAAATAAAGACCTGAAAATAAAGACCCAAAAACAAAGACCCCACTATTTTCTTAATTTATCATGATTTTTTTTTCGCCAAAAATATCTAGCTCCAGTTTTAAATCTTTTTAATAATGATAAAGCATGCATTAAAACCCGGTTTTATGAACAAAGACGAAAACGAAGACCCTTATTTTCAAAATAACATGCCAACTTTGAAAAGGGTGTGCTCTCCAACTTTCCTGACTCGTCCGAAATTCGTAAAAATTGGAGCTCACTTTTCACCTTGTTTGAGTTCTTGGACCATATAAACTACTTCTGAATCAATTTACGATGTGTTCTTCGTGATCTGTTCGCAACGGTGTTTGTGTGTGATCACGATACGGATTTTAAATTTTCAGGTTTTATCTATAACGTTATGTTTAGGATCATTTGAAGCTCGGATAGAAAAATTGCTACTGGTATAAATTGTGTACGAGTTTGTAAAATTTCACATCAATGAAGAGCGCTCGGCAATTGAAATGAAAACTTTGCGGAGCTTTCTTCAGAGCGGCTGTTACTCCGACAATTACTTTAAAATTAAAGATAAGGTAGACTTTCGCGGTTGTCCTTTACAAAGAAGAAAAAAAATTGGAACTTCTGCCCTGGAATCTTGCAGTCGTCGCGAAAACCGGTAATCTAATCTACGGTCATTACAATTCAGTAACCTTCAGTAGCAACTAGTAGAGGGCAACCTCCTTGTCTGGGTCAAAACTCACTAAACAACCAAAATGACATTTATATAAAAAGAAAATATGCATGAGATTAAGTTTGGTAAAATTGTGACAATTTCTTTATTTTTTACTACTTTTCCCAAGTGAAAATGGACTTACTGTTTTAGCGTATCAATGCCTTTTTAAAAAGAACATTTTTATATTGGATGAACTTCCTATCCACTGATAGAGGACTGCTTCATTTTATCACAAAGACAAAAACTTGATTAAAAAGGAGAAACAAGTGAGCAGCATCTAAATTCTCCTCACAGATTCACCCCAAAATCACTTATTAAAGTTGCAAGAATAAAGGAAATGATCACCAACTTAAGAAGCTCTTGATTGTTACATAAATTCTCCTTGTCTGCACTTCAAGAATGTATGGAGAAAAGTATGGAGAATATGGATACTGATAGTAGGGTGTAAAGGGTTAATCAGAAGTTCAGTTGCGTTTTTAAAACTTGACAACTTCAGTCCCTTTTTTCTTTGGTACTCTGATGGAGGTACCTCCTGGGTCCTCTAACTCAGCATCTGCACTGTAATGTCCCTTTTTACTGTTTATGTATCCAGCATGTGTAGTGGTCACTGAAAAAAAATGTGACTAAAACTTTGACACAAATTCATCACTCTCTATTCAACTTTGAAATAATTTTCTACTTTTTAAAATATGTGTGGTGAAGTGTAGAGACCTATTTAAGACCAAAGTTTATATTTCTTGAAGAGTAATACTGCCTGAAAAAGTGAGTATATGATGTAAAATGATAAGCGAGAAAAAAAAACAGGGGATTTGTTCATAATGATTGAAAAAAATTCATTAAGGTAGTAACAGTAATTTGTCACCTGTGTTTGATTTGTTTCTAGCTAGTTCAGGGCAGTCCCTTCGAAAATGTTCCACTGATCCACAAATCTTACATCCTCCACCTGAAAAGAAAAACTTATCAGGATACACTTCTCAAAAGGAGAGGAAAAGGTGTACAAATTTTTATCACAACAACTAGACCCAGTGCCGTCCCTCCTTCCTTTTGTTAGGATTTTTCACATCAATTAAGCGCCACACCTCACTACAACAGTTCGGCACAGCCTGCTGACATCAGTTTTATTTTTAACTGATTTTTTTTCACTTTCACAACAGACTTTCTTGAAAAAAAAGTGGGACTGCTTGTAGTCTACATAACAACAAAACCTATCTGAACACAAGTCTCACCATTAGGATAGAGTCCTTTAGGGTTGTCAGGGCATGCTCTTGCTATATGACCTGTTTCCCCACAGATAAAACACTTTGCAAAAGGAAGGTCTGAATCTATAGGAAACAAAAACATATGAGACAATATGTCAAAAAAATATACTTTCTTTAAGTCTCATAGGGGAACCAAGCAGACAAAGTTTCGTGTGTGCTTCTCTGGAAAAGAATATCAGTTGCTTGTTCCAAACATTAAACAAAAAGTCCACACATGACTCCAATGACCAAAATCATGAAATACTGAGGTGTTGCTTCTTCTGTTGGATGGAATGTCAGTTTCTCAGTGCAAATTTCTACCCCTTTCTACCCTGGATGGAAAATAGCATTGTACAAGTTAAGCATCTTGGTCAAGAACCAGAGTTGACAAAGGTCATGTTCAAGTGCTCTAAAGGATCCTAGCATTACAAAAACAAAACCATGACCTTTACCAATAAGTAACCAGACTTCTTGTTGTAATCTCCAATACAATCCAAAAATACTCAATCAACTTACTGTTTTGTTTGCTCTTGCAATTCTTAGTAGTGTGCTGTGAGGATCCACATTTGTAACAATTTCCAACACCAACTTCAGAGCTCTGTGCCATCGGGCATTCTGCAACCAGGTGACCAGTTTGACGGCAATGAAAACATGTCTGCATGCATTTTGATATGAAAGGGAAAATTACTAATGGCAAGGTTTTATATTATATCTTTCACCAAGCACATACTATTTATACATGTGCCTGTTCAGAAAACTCTGGCAATGTAAAGCTTAGCTTTTCAGAGAACCAGATTTATGAGTTAAGAAATAACTTTATAATCAGTTAATGTGATCATCCAAGTAGCAGTACTCCTAGAGAAGAATGGTTGTATAAGAAAGTGACCATTGATTTAATGACCTCAACAAAGGTTATCATTAGAGTTACGTGTATAGTAACAATGTAAGGACTGTGATGACAGGTTCTAAAATTGAATTTATGAAAATGTAAGCCAAAAGGTAATCAAAACTTATTTTCAGGCACAAGAGAGTCCAATTGGTAAATTTTAGGCTCACACTGAGTAAAAAAAATAGTAAAGTTGTTAAGATGTTTCTTTGCTTAAAAAATAATCCTACTCATGAACCATCACCAGCTGGGTGTATAAACTGCAAGAAAGAAATGACACACATTTTTTTCGTTATAGAGGTAATTTTAAGTAAGGGTATTGGCAAGAATTCAAGTTATTCACCTCCTTCTTATTCACATAACCATAAATTACCTTTCCTTTTGCTCTTCGTTTCCTTCTTGCTTCGAGCTTTTTATCATAACTTTCCTTCCTACTTCCATCAGTGGATATTTTTCTATTCAGCTTTTTAATGCCTGTCTGTAAATAACCTTTCTTCTGAAATTTCTTGTTTCTCATTTTTCCACTGAAGTCTCTTTCTGATAACACTCCTGGTCTTTTCACTCTAATCTTTGTGCCTTTCTTGCTAAAACTAGAGTTTTCGTTTCCTTTATCGCCAACTCCTCCACTTTGAGCTTTCCAGCTTTCTGACTTTGAAATCTTAGATCCAGTGCTGTAGTCATTATCTCCTGTAAATGAAAGCTTTTTACTTTTTGGCTTCTTTGCAATCTTCGGCTCAGTGGCACCATCATCACGATTGAATTTCTTCTTTCGTTTAAGGCCAGTGATTTCAACTTTCTTCTCAGCCGTTTTAAAACTGTCTTTGCTTGCTGTAGTTGAGCTTTGGTTACCTAAGTTAAAGGGCAAGAAATTTAATGGATCGATTCATCTTCAAAATGAGGCTATCAACACGTGCAATCAAATGAAATTAAATCTGTCCTTTCGATGACTTATACGAAAGCTCAACGCTTACCACCTGAGTTAACAAGCTCGTGCCAGGGTGTTGCTTCAAGACTTGTCTTCTTGGCAGGACGAGCAAAACGAGTCATTTTCGTCGAGTAAAGTTACTTCAACCGAAATTTAATCAAGAGACACGAGACTTTGTCCACCATGTTGAAATAAATAAAGCGCAGAAGAACAATACGCATATTTATTTTAGAACCTACCACTGAAAGTATGCAGGCGCAGGCGGGAAAGTGGAAAAACAAAGATGGTAGACCCAAACTCGAACCAAGAGAAATTTTACTATGTTTACAGCAGTGATCTGGACACAAATCTCGAGCTTAAAGTGTAAGTCAGAATAATGCAAACGCTTCAATTCGGTATATATCGAAATGATTGGAAGATCTTGGAAATATCAGCGATTTTTTCATCCACTGAGAGACAGTGTGACATCAGCTGGTTTGTACAACTCTCTCAGCTGAATGTCTGTCACACATCAATGCCTGGGATCACTGCACACTGAGTTGCTCTATAAGATTTTACTTAAATGGAAGTGACTATTTGAAATACGATAGTTTCTTATAATCAAGACTTGTTTGGATTTTTAAAATATCTCGCGATGTGCAACAAAATACAAACGAAAATACAAATTCACAGGAAATTTTTCAAAAAAAGCGTGCAATGTGTTCTTTTTAAACCTCTCATCAACAAGAATGGTTTATTACTTCCATTAATGATATTAGATATTGCAATTATATTTTTTTCAGCGTGCAATCCAGAAAAATACCTATGATGTTTTGGAAAATAGGCTTTCCTTTATTAATTATTATTATTATTTTTACATTTTTAATAGAAATTTAGAATGCAGTGACCAACCTAGTAACAATACATAACTTATGATAAGACACTATATTACTCACAATAAACAAAAATAAGATATATATTCATACAATGCATTGAACTGAATTCAGTGATCAATACAAGGCAAAGGTTTGCTTTAGGACAAATATGTCTAAACATTAAATGAGAATTTACACCATACTTCAACTCAAATATAATATAAGAAGGTTTCTTGAATTTGATTACTGAGTGTTCTTCTTCAAAGTGGTTCTTAGTGCTAAAAGTAATTTTGCAGATGGTGATTTTAAGGAACATAATGGTTCAAAATTTACCTTTTAGATGTACATTGGAAGGAAAGAGAGAACGTAAAGGGTACAAAGAGCTTTTAGATGATCCACAACTGAGATATTCAGGAGCTTATGAAAGGTGAGAAGATAATTGATAGTAAAAAAAGTGCAACCTCATTTGTTGTAAAAGTTCCTGAAAAGATTTTTTGCAAACTAGCCCAGTCAATTATTTGAAGTTTTTGCAGAACTGCAATAAAACTCAGAAGTTCAAGGGTAACTACTTGTTAATTGCATTTCTTATTGACCCTTCAACTCCCATGAATGACCAAGACAGAATTTCTCCTTACAACATCTATACAATATCAACCAGATAAGTAATGAGAATAAAGAAAAATATCTATTTGGGAATAATTAGTTGATCCAGTACTGAATTCTCTGAAATAATATTATAAGAATTGTATGGTTGATGGTAAGGAGAACTACAAATTTGATCTGGGAGTTAAAGGGTCAAATAAATGTTCTATTAATTCTTTTACCTGTCTTATCTGTCTCTTTTTTGCCATTCAGAGCTTCAATTTTTTAACTAAGCATCCCTCCCTCTATTATGTGCCCCACCCACCATTCCAATGCAAGAATTCCAGTCTCCTACAAGCCTTCCCCTTTCTCTCCTATCTGTCTTTCCATCCCCATTCAGAGCTTGGATTTTCTGATAAACCAACCTCCCTTTATATTTTGATCCCTCTACGATTAAATCCTTCAAGGTTCTAAAGAGCCTTTATTATTCCCCCTTCTCCTTTTCTACAACTTGAAACTTTAGTAAGCCCTTTACACCTTAACATCAGTATTCATATTCTCCTTACTATCCTGTACATATATCCTAATGTTCTGAAAGGGAGAATTTATTTCACAATCAAGAGCTTCTCTAGTTGGTGATCATTTCCTATTTTCTTGCAACCTCAACCTGTGATTTTGGGGAGATATTGTAAGGAGAAATTAGATGCTGGTCACTCTTAGGGGTTAAAGGGTTAATGAAAAAAATTCCTGGGTAAAGTAATAATGCTTTGGTCATGTTGAAGTATTATCAGTTCCAAATTAAACAATTTTTACTCAAAGTAGCAAAATCATTTTATGTTTTAGCGAATGTTCTGATTTATATGTCACTTGTCAAGTATTTGCCGATGGTCAACCACTATGTCTTCCTACAAGAACATCTTATAAACCATTCAGTACAAGATGGAAGTAAGTACTAAGAAGAGATGATAATCAATATAAAGTTAGTCAAGATCAGTTTGCAATTGAGTGTGGAAGGAAATCCATGATTGCTTTGGTTTTGCTTTCTTTGCTCTGTGATCCAGAAAACTTGTTCTACCTTCTCAACCAATCAGATTCAAAACTTAAAACTAATTGTGATTCAATCTCTGCAAAAATGAGAATTTGGCATTAGGTGAAGATAACTTCTTCTTGATAAGTTTGAGTTTTCTCATTACATGTTTGCAGGATGATCTATGGTTATTATGAGGGTTAAGTTACATGTTAATCACCTCTGGGAGTTTAAGGGTTGAACAACCATCCACTATCTTTTAAACATTATGAACCTTTTTTTATACCACTGAGTTGGGAAAACATTTTAAACTTATATTGTAGACTTAATTATTGTATTATGTGAGTAATGTTATTTGGCTATTGTGAAGTATGCAAAATAAAAATTATAATGTCATACAAGAAACAAAATTGCTCAAATTGGATGGACTTTGTATTTTGTTTTCTAGAAACAAACATATTAACATTCTACAAACAATTTTTTTTAGTTGGAATGAGTGGCTCAAGTTGCCCATCAAATACCCTGATATTCCTCGCCATGCACAAGTGTGTTTTACAATCTGGGATGTGTATGGTCCAAGGAAAGCCATCCCAGTTGGTGGAACAACCGTGTCGCTTTTTGGTAAATATGGGTAAGTTCACTGTATCTCATTACCTTGGAAGGGGAAGGTGAAATGGGTGACTTTGTAGACAGGAAAGTGAAAAAGAGGCAGGGTTTGGTCCAGATGGAATTATTTGGTCAGAGTTCCAAACATCTACTTTTCCAAAGTCTTCTTGGTGGTTTACCTGCCTTTTAGTTTAACATTGTTAACCAACTAATGTAATCAATAAAAAATTGTCAAATATTTGCAAAAAAATACTTTTTGTCTGGTAAGACGCAGGGTTTTGTATCGGCCAAGAGAATCTTGAATACTTTTGGCAATTTTTAAGCAAACTTGTTGAGCATTGATCCCAGTCTAAGTCCTGTTAAAAATTCTGCAAATTCAAGATATTAGCAGTCTGGCCCTCTATCACAGGAGGATTCCCAGCCGCACATTCACCTGTTACAATCTATACAATAAGAATTGTCACATGGTAATTTTCTTATTTGCCTGCTGACACTGCACAACAGTTTCCTTCGATATTCATAATTTGGGAGAAATAATTCCCATCTATTTGAACTAAAAAAGCACAGAATTTCATTTGGCACTCAGCTTTAAAATACTCTTTTCTATTTGCAACACGATGGTAACTCATTTGAATTTGTATACAGGACTCAGCGCCGTGGCATGCATGATCTAAAGGTGTGGCCTGGAGTAGAAGCTGATGGCCAGAGGCCAACCTCCACTCCAGGAAAGTCTACTACTGGTGAAGATCAAATGAGCAGGCTAGCTAAGGTAATTATTGAGAGGTGATTTGAAGAGATTAATCAAAAGTGTTTGTTTTGACACATTGCCATATGCTTGCCTTTGGCAAATCATTCAACCTCATTCACTAAGGATTATCAAATTTGTTATCACTACTTTAATCCAACAATCCAAGTATCAGAGTCCTTAACCCTTTAACCACTAAGAGTGACTATCGTATAATTTCTCCTTACAATATCACCCTGGAATCACACATATAGGTTATGAGAATAAAAGAAATGATCACCAACTAAGGAAGCTCTTGATTGTTAGACAAATTCTCCTAGTCAGTACCTTAAAAAATGTGCTGAGAACAGTATGGAGAATATGCATACTGACCTTAGGGTGTAAAGGGTTAAGGCTATGGCTTCTAGGTAGTCAGTCTCATTATAACGTCTTTGTAATTTTTCCTCTTCTCTTCGCTTGGCAACAGCTAAGTAAGAAACATCACAAGGGTCGAATGCTCAAGGTGGATTGGTTGGACCGCCTCACTTTCAGAGAAATTGAAATGGTGAATGAGGTGAGATTTTCCCTAGTAAGGAATCTCTACTTTGTAGCATTATTTTCAAAGCCTATCATAGAATTGGAAAGTTTTCCTTTTACACATAAATGTGTAAGAGTAATTGGCATCTAATTTCTCCCTACAGTGTCACTGTTGAATCAAACATTGAGGTCATGTGAATAAAGGAAATGATCACAAACTAAGGAAGCTCTTGATTGTTAAACAAATTCTCCATGCTGGCACCATAGAAAATATATGGAGAACAGTATGGAGAATATGCATACTGATGTTAGGGTGTAAAGGATGGATTAAATAAGTGGGATAACAAGATCACTTTAAAATGACTTCTATATTTCAACAAACTCACTCTTAGAGAGAAACTGGTAGGATCAAATATCAGAAACTAATTTCACATCTGTATGAGTGGGATTTGAATTCTGTTATTTGCTTAAACATTCAAGGTTATTGTAGGTCCATGTTACATGATTGTTTTTTTTTAATACAAATAGTAAAAAATTCTTGGTTTTGTTTCTTTGCAGAGGGAAAAGCGAAACTCCAATTTTATGTTTCTAATGATCAAGTTTCCTCGGATCCACTCTGATGGCTTAGAGTATTCTGTGGTTCATTTTGAAAAGGTGATTGGTTGACTGTCATCCCTATTGTAACCAATAAATTAATAACTTGAAAATGCATATTAAGTATATTTACTCTTACACATTCATAATACAAACAGACTAGGGCCACATCACATCTTCAAGTAACACCTGCTCTTTGATGGTTTGTGTGCTGGTTAGATAAGACTCAACCAGTTATTTTAAATCCATCATGTGGAATTACCATGAAATTATGATAAAATCTTATGTGATTTTCATTCAAGAAATATAATGTTTGATCATAAATATTTTACTCTGAGAGTGTGATTATGTCCTCTTATAAAACAGCTGGTGAAAAACAACTTAATGTTTCAGAATAATGCAAAGTTGTTCTCATTATTAATTCACGGTTCTCTGTAATTATTTCCTCTTTCCTTGAAGTAAAGTCTGACAATACTGCTCCATTTTGAATTATTGTGCTTCTTCAGTTTCTACCCCATGCTGCTAGATTGTTGTATTTTACCAGTTTTCAAAGGTAAAATTTTTAAACAGAGATACTCACCCAAGCTGAGTTTCAGTTTTTTATGTTGGTTTGATCATGTTTATATTCACCCATGGGAATTAGTTGCATCACAGCTTTGATCAAACCTTCTGATCAAGAATTATTAGATTCAGATGCTCAGGTAATCTTCTTTTAGACAATATGTTTTCTGGTTAAGTTGTGGAATCACAAAGAACATGATTAAGAACAGAAATATTTAGTTTCAATAAGAATGAAGTTGGTTAACTACTTAACATAATATAATTCACTCTCATCATGTGAATAGTGTTGGAAAATATTTATATATAAACCACATATTTAAATAAGTGACTTTCACTGGCACAGTTTCTTTAAATGTTAATTTAAAACTCTAGCCTTTTTTGCTACCATTAAAATCAAACATGTAAGAACCTTAGCTGATAAACTGGGCCCAATTGTTTGAGGGCTAATTAGCGCTAACCTAAGATAAAATTTTGATCCAGGTTTCCTTATTCATTTGTTCAAAAGCCTTCTTGGAATTATTTTCTCTTTTCTTAATGGAGCATCCAATCATCAAATTGTAAACATTTAATGAATTATACTGAATTTTCTTTTTAAAGCTTTTTGATCTAAAATCATGTCTCACACTCTCCCAGGTTTATCTTAACCCAGCTTTGAACAACCTGGCCCTGGTTTTTTTTTTTATTTTTAGGCCTCCTCATTGACCCTTTTCTTCTCTTGTCTCAGGACGCCGATGATGTTGATTATGTCTGTACTCATCCAGAGATTGTGAGAGTTCCTGATCCAGAAATTCTGTTGGTATTGAAATGTTGTTTTTAGGTTTCCACTTGGCTTTATCTGTGGACTTCCCTTGCCATTAACTACTTGCTTTTCAGAAAAAAAGCTAACTTTTTCTTTTTCTGAAGTCAAGTTTGCTTCCTTTGATTTAGGATAACCTTGTTGAACTAAAACATCACAAGCTTGTTAGAAGTATAAGAAGTGGAACAGTTTCAAGAGAGCTTAAACCAAATGCAAAAACCAGGGATCAGTTAAATGTATGGACCAAGATATTTGTTTATTTTTGTTATAATGAATGCATAATCTGAAGGTGTTCTGTCTTTTTACTGTTGGCAGCCAAATGAATGTAACTGCCACTCAATGACCATAAAATGTATCCTAATTTTTTTGGAGTGCCTTGTTACCCCTACCCTACCCCACCCCTCCTTAATTTTCATCTATTTTCCCTTAACTTACAATTTGCTAGTAAATAATTAAAAATTAATCAGTGAAGAAATAAGACAAAATAGGAATTTATGTATAGCACTTCTACAAGGTTTGTGGAGGACTTGCTGCCCTAATAGTTAGCACTTTTAACTCTTGGTCAAGAAATGCAGGTTTGAGACTTGGTTGGGACATTGTGTCATGTTTTGGGGCATAAAACTTTATCCTCACAATGCCTTTCTCTACTCAGAAGTATAAATAAGTACCAGATAGCTTTCAGTAAAACCTGACAAAATGTTGGGGTGTAACTAGGGATGTTCTAGCAGCCCATCCAGGGTTAGCAAAAATACTCCCAGTCAATTCATGCCTTAGAGACCAAGATGAGCTCAAGCACCTTGTGGGCCACTTATCTCTACTGTTAAATTTACCTACCAATGCTCAACCTTAGACCATTTGATTTGAGCACATCACACTGACAATGCCAACGCCAACTAATTTTTGAAACTTTAATAAGTAATATATCTAATTACCCAAAATTGAATGACTCTTCTTTCTTTCAGCAAATTGTGGGTTATCCTTCTACCAAAGTGCTCACATCAGAAGAGAAAGATTTAGTGTGGCAGTTCCGATTTTACCTCACTAATCAGAAAAAGGTGACATGTGGATATTAAACCAGTAAAAGTTATTTTGTTTGACAAATGAACTTGTAAATGGAATCAAAAGGATATTATTAATACCTGATAATTAAAAAATTTTTTTGAGCTATTTTCCTTTAATTTCCAGGCATTGACCAAGTTTCTTAAATGTGTGGATTGGACTCAGCCACAGGAAGCCAGACAGGTGTGAATTAGTTTCCTTAACTTGAGTGTACAGGAAGAGCAATTTAAAGTAACTATTTGAAAGTGTACTCATACTTCTTTGAAATCAATTTTTTTTAGTCTTTTATTTGTACTTACCAATAGAGGTGGCACAAAGGGATAAAATGGCAAGGGGGGGGGGGCACTCACCTCTTGCTGGTGTGGCCTGGGTTTGGTTTTGCAGACCTGGCATCACATGTACATGTGGGTTGAGTTTGTTGTTGGTTCATGTGCTTGCTTTGAGGGTTTTTCTCTAGTGCCTCTGGTTTTCCTCCTTCCACAAAACCAACATTCCAAATTCCAATTGAACCAGCAAGCAGTGGAAAAGAAGAGCCACCTAGTGGAATGTCCTTTGCTGAGTTCCCATTTATTTATTTATTTTATTTAATAGAGATAAAAAGATGGGGATCAAAACTTAACAAAAACTAACTTCTGATTTAATAGTTCCATCAATGAATTTTACAAAAGCCAATTAAGAGATCTTAGCACTAACAATATTTAATTGTTCTGCTCTTCAGGCTCAAGAACTTTTAGGAAAGTGGAACCCAATGGATGTTGAAGATGCTTTGGAGTTGTTGTCCTCTCAGTTTACCAACAGAGCAGTCAGACAGTATGCTGTCTCAAGACTGAAGGAGGCCAATGATGATGTAAGGGGTTACATGCTGATCAGCACACATGAAGTGTCATTTCTCTGTGTGTGCATTTATCATGGGACTTGGTTGGCATGGCTGCAGGACTGTATGTTAACTAAGAATGTCAATGTTGTGAAATGTATTTCAATGAAGTTGTGACTGTGTGACTGGATTATTGATAGACTTTACAACACCAACTTGTAGAGAAATTGGGACAGACTGATGAACTGTTTGACTAAGTGACTGACTGACTTACAGATCAACTGACTGTTGTGCAATTGATTGATCGATTATTGGACCAATGATCATCCAAAACCATTTTTTAATGATAATACATGTAATCAAGGCCTGTTTGATAATTTAATAGGACTTGCTGCTCTATCTTCTCCAACTTGTCCAAGCATTGCGTTATGACGCTCTATCAGATGAGGAAGAAAAACTTACTGAGAACACTGTTGATAGTCTGCTCCAGGACAACACTGAAAGTCAAACAGCAGAGACAATACCAACACAAGGTAGTAAAACAATTCAATAAATAAATACAAAAAGTACAATTGGTCAGGTAATCACAAGGCATTTATGTATATGTCTCTCTTCCATCAGATGCTGAAGGTATTGCAATAGTCAAAGATACTGAAGAGGTTAGAAAATGGAAGATATTTTCCATACATAAATAATTACTTTCCTTTGGCAAGAATATGCTCAAATCTTGGTTTACAGAAATGATATGAAGGGAAAAACAAACCATTTTCCAAGCCAGAGCAAAGCTCAAGGAGAACTTTAAATTTTGTGGGACAGACAATTTCCTGAGAGAATATTTTAAGCCAAATGGAGGCTATTTGAAATATATTTTTGAAGCATGTTTACAAACACATGATAATCTAAGGTTTTTCCCAGTATAGTGATTTAGTGCAAATTATTAATAGTTTTCCTCTTTTTGTTTACCAACATGAAAACATTCTACCCACTTGAATAGTTTCTAAGTAAGACTCACACAGCCTCTGATGGTTTGAATACTGGTTAGCAATTCAAGTTTTCCCTGTAGATAGGCATGAGAGTGGTCTATAATGATTGATTTTTACATTGACTGAAGTCTTGAATCTATCATCTAGGGTTCAGATTTGGCCTCATTCCTCATTTTGAGAGCCTGCAGAAGTGACACCCTAGCAAACTATTTTTATTGGTGAGGCAATCCTACAATGTAAATATAATTTAAAGGGGAACTTTTTTTGCTTTTTTTTTTTTTTAACATAAATGGCAATAAACCTAGGGCAAGATGAACTTGGAATACATTTCAGTAGGCAAGATGAGCCATGGCAGAGATAAGAAACTTATTTACTACAGTTGTTCACATAGAACTTGATCAGACTTGACAGGTGCTTCTCTTTCCTGTCAAATCCAATTCTATATCTCAGGGACTTATCTTTATTGTTGGGAAGGGTGTAACAGGGTGAATGTTACACTGCTCTTTGAGAGGAAAAATTTTTAATATTTGACAATAAATCAACCTGCCAAGCTGACTTCCTTAAAGAAAAAATAGTGATGGTATATGTTCTTGTACCACTAAAAGTGTAAACTTTTAATTTATTAATTTTTTCTAATAGATGAAATATTTTTTCTTGTCAATTTTTTTTTAGGTATTTATTTGTTGAATGTAATGAAGGAAAGGACACAAAGGAAGGAGAAATGTATTTAAATGTGATGAGGAGATTTAGTCAGGCATTGATGAAGGTTTGTACAACTCGTGCTTACTTCATGAATAAATAACTAACTTAAAGATCTCTGTTTTTTGTTATGGGAGACATGATGGCAGGGTGATCATGCTGGAATCTGGGTTGGGAGGTCTGGGTTCAAACTTACCTGAAGGAGTAACCGACAAGAAATTTCTCCAAACAGTATTATCACATTTCCAAGCAGAGAGGTGATAAGAAGGAAAAAATATCATTATTGGGAAATTCTTTGATAAAACACCAAACTCTCATAGCTCATATTCTTAGGAGAAGCATAGCCAACAGTGCAGAGAGTTTATGTGTAGATGTTGGGAGTGAAAGGGTGGACCCTTACACTGCCTCCCTCCACCCAGGAGTACAAATATGTACCAGTTGGTGAACTGTCAGGGAAGGCTGATGAAATGCTTCAAAGAACTCTGCAATGAATCAGCAAGCCACTCATAGGGAGTATCAATACTTCTAGTTTCTTCAGATCTGCAGAAGGCATGGAAGCTGTGGAAACTGGGATATATTTTGGCATTTTTGGCTATGAGCTTGAGAGCAGAAATCATTTTTTAGGCTTGGTATGCTAGCAGAATCAACAATTTAGATCATTATGGCTGTTGAAGTAGTTGTTTTCTCCTTTGTTCCAGGGTGGGTGGGAGTGCACAGTTAGGCGGAACATGTTGGGCAAACAACAGCAATTTGTCAACCATATTGTCAGACTCATGAAGGAGGTGTCACAGTTTGGGGGTGGTCGCAACAAAAAGGTTAGTCTCATTGAATGGGATACAAGACATATAAATTATGATCAATTTTCTGCAGCATAGGGATGTACAAACTAAACAAATTATTAGAACTTGAAATCATTTTGGACTGACAGAAAATATTTTAGACTTTAAGAACTTTAAAAGAAACAATTTGCATCCCTTAAAGCATTTTCTCCACTAACAGACTCTCCATTGAAAGCATTCATATTAAATTTTACAATTTAAATTTTTTTCCCTTTTCAATAGATACACAGATTAAGAGACCTGCTTGATGTTCCTGAGTTGACTTCATTTGGACCAATACCTCTCCTTCTTGATCCAGAAATCAAAATCAAGGGAATCATAGTGGGAACTCCAGAGGACAGTATGTGAATATTTTTAAGAAATCAGTGACTTGCTTTTCCTTTTTGTTTTAATATTAAAATGCGTAACTTTACTGATGTTTGCCCTTTTTTTCTGTTTAACCTTCTGCAAAAGAAGGACTCTGATTAAAAATTTCTGACTGAATAGGAATCTATAAGGAGAGCAGGGAAGGCACAGTGGTGGAAGTGCTCACCTCCAACCACATGTTGGTTTAGTTTGTTCTTAGTTCTCGTCCTCACTCCAAGGGTTTTTCTTGGGGTCCTCCAGCTTTTCTCCCTCCATAAAAACCCACATTTTAAATTCCAATTTGACCTAGAAACAGTAGACAAGAAGACCCACCTAGTGGAAGGTCCATTGCGAAATCCAATTTATTGTTAATGTATTGTTTTTATTATTCCCATTCCCATTTATCTGAGCAAAGTAACAAAACACTCAGTTCCATTTTATTTCATCTATTCCAGAAAAAGCCTGGCTTTTCAAGAGCCACCTCATGCCTTGTAAACTCACGTTTCTTACATTGGATGATCGAGAATATGTGGTTAGTGTGGTTACAAAACTGTAAGCAAAATTTTAAAAAAATAGTTGTATTGAAAAAAAAACATAAAGCAGAACTGGCAGCAATCAATTTTAGGGTTAGTAATATTTTTGAAAGTTTGATCATTCATTTAAGGAACATCATAACCTCAAAGCAATGTGATTTCCATCTGTTATGAACTCTGCAATGGTGTTTTTAAAGATAAATGTAAGTTTTTCAAAGAGAAAGGTGGTAAAATACTTCTGAATCAGTACTCCATTTGAATCTAGACCCTATTACTTTAAAGAGTCAAACTAGAGAGAAACCTCTGTGCAAGTCTAATTTCATGGGCTGAAACAACTGACAGATATCTTTTTATCAACCATCACTTCTACCTTCTGTTAATGAACAAATTTCATCAATTTCATGTTAAACTTAAACAATCCTATGTCCTGTTTGGTGTGGAGAATAAAACTCTTGTTTTGTTGATCACCACTTTTTCCTTACCAGACAATTTTCAAGAATGGTGATGACTTGCGACAAGATCAGTTGATTCTTCAGATTATAAGGCTCATGGATAAGGTATGCACAATTGCTTTGTGTACCACAATAAAACTTGTACAATTCATTGCAACCCAGCTATAACTTAAAATTTCTTCACTCTATGATATTTTTTATTGTATTGCAGCTCTTAATGAAAGAAAACTTAGATCTGAAATTGACTCCATACAAGGTGCTGGCAACAAGTGGAAGCCATGGTCAGTCCCTCCTCACATGATTTCTCTGTTGCTGCTTTTTTTTCTTTTAGCTATGCTTTAGCAGTTGTTTAGTTGATGTCAAAGAAAGAGAAAGTATTCACTTTACAATCACCTCCTAAATCTCAAAAATTTATGTACATATTAAGTTCCAGAATGTGAGAAGAAATATTGATGGGCTTGGGTTTGCAATCCCAAGAAGAAAAACAGATGGCCCCCATGTCTTTTTTTCTTAAAGAATGTTTGCTGGGATTTAAAAAAAAAAATTAAGTTATAATTGAATGTGAAAGCAGGATTTTTAAGTTAAGAGATTAAACCTAATAATAATCATGTTGTATGAATAAATGGTTAATATTTAATTTTCTTCAACCCTTTACACCATAACATCAGTATCCATTTTTTCCATGCATTTGTCCATACATTTACTTTGGTACTTATCATTTCCTTTATTCTCATGATCTTGATGAATGATTTAGCTGTGTGACTGTAAGGAGAAGTTAGATGTTGATCACTTAGGGTTTAAAGGGTTTATCTGTATCTTAGGTGTAATCCTAGAGCAGTTGCAAGGGTATATATCAATGCAAGTATTATTTTTTTCATGCATTACTGTTGTTGTTGTTCAGGCTTTGTGCAATTCATAGAATCCACTCCTATAGCAGAAATTCTGGATAAAGATGAGGATAGAAGCATACAGGTATGGAAGAAAGATTTGCAACCAGCAACTCTGCCTAATAAGACATGCCTAGTCCTTCAGCAGTGAAAATCCCACTAATGCTTTATATGCAGTTACTATGATCTAAAATAATTGAAAGAAATATATTTTGATAGTCTAAGTGACAACTTTTCCTTGTGCAGAACTACTTTCGCCGGCATGCTCCTTGTGAAAGTGCACCACTAGGAATCAGCCCGGAGGTGATGGATACTTATGTTAAAAGTTGTGGTAAGTCTGCATACTGAACTTTATGACTTCCAGAGCTAATCCCTGTTCCTGTCTGTTCTGTAGCCTGAAACAGTAAGATGTGTCGCTGCTTCTTCCCAATGAGGTGCTGGTCCATCATAAGCCCCCCTTCCATCCCCCCCTCTCCCCTCCCCTCCCTCATCCCCTGCAGCCCAATAATTTCATCAGGTTTTCTAATACCCATTCTTACTCCCAAATGGAAAGAGGTGACTCTACCTCCAGAAAGGAATGCATGTAGCTAGCTTAGTTTCAAACCCAAATTTTCAATCAGAGTCTATTGTGCCTGATTATTGAGCCTCTGTTTCTTCTACAACCATGTCCAAATACATAAAACAGTCATCGATAACCTTTTGATTAAAGAGCACCACTCTTAAACAATCTTTAAAATAATACTGATTTAATATTCTGACCAAAGTTTATTTTCTTCAACCTTAAGCTGGCTATTGTGTTATTACATACATCTTGGGTGTAGGAGATAGACATCTGGACAATTTACTTCTCACAAAATCAGGTAATTACCAAATGAATACAGTTCCTAGAAATTTGATGCTAAGTTCTATAGAAAAAGGGACTGTCTTAATTGCAAACTACATGTAGCATTGATGGATTGTTTTCTTTATTGTTATTCTCAGGAAACCTATTTCACATTGACTTTGGTTACATTCTTGGAAGAGATCCTAAGCCACTACCACCACCAATGAAACTGAGCAAAGAAATGGTAAAACAATCATCAGTTCATCCTCTCTATGATTGTTATTACTGCTATAATTTTTCTTTTGCAATAATTCATTTGAAAAAGGTTGCACATCTTCAAGCTTCAAATTATAATTGCCACAATGTAGTATAATTATATAAACATTTGAAAAGTGTTATTACTTTTTTTCATTTAACTTTAGGTGGAAGGCATGGGAGGAGCATCCAGTGAGTTTTACCAGACATTCCGGAAACAATGTTTCACAGCTTTTCTCCACTTGAGGAGGTAAAAACATTTTATCTTAGGTAACTAAAAAACTGCATGCAAATTAAAATCTGTTACCCAGATGTCTACAAGCAACCAAGTATTTATTTTTCCTCTATTTGGTCAAGTGGAAGGTGAATGAAAATTCATGCAGGAGAAATCATTCAATGCAGCTTACAAATGTAATGTTCTTCTTTCCTTCAGGCATGCAAACTTGATTCTGAACTTGTTTTCTCTTATGGTGGATGCAAATGTACCAGATATTGCATTAGAGCCTGACAAAACTGTGAAAAAAGTAAGTATGCATCTTGATTTCAAGAGATCGTACAGTTTCCAGATCAATAGCAGTATCTGGGAAACTGCCCACCTACCCCTCCCCTAACCCAACATTAACACTAACTTGTTAACAAGAATCCCAGATTCCAAGGAGATTTAAACTGAATTAGAATGCACAATAGTCAGTTGCAGCCAAATCCAGGGTGTTAAAATTGTTTCCCCCTTAATTTCCAAGTTGAATGTGATTACTTGTAACATAATCTGACATGGACATCAATGTTACAAATTTTAATTAATTTCTTTTTTCGAAATGTTAGGTTCAGGACAAATTCCGTTTGGACCTAAGCGATGAGGAAGCTGTACAATACTTGCAGTCACTAATTGATGAAAGTGTAACTGCCATGTTCCCAGTTGTGGTGGAACATATTCACAAGTTTGCTCAGGTTAGTTCCTTCAATTTACTTTAAGTTTTCATTGACAATTTTTCCTGACAGTGTTTCTTAGACCATTGGCAAGTTAGCAACATGTGTTCTCTACTTGGAATGAACACTTAATTTCCATGTCATAATATATATTTTGTTGTTATCAGCTTCCTTTTGTCTACTCTGTGTATCTTCATAGATCATCACCTAGACTTTAGTTGTGGATTGATCAGCAAGATGTTTTTACTTTAATCTGTCCTGATCAGTTCCCCAGAAGTACATTATTGATGTCTTTGGCATAGATTCTCCAATTAAAGAATACACTCCTGTACTAAGATGTACCCTCTATAAATTCATTTGCAGTATTGGAGAAAATGAAGTCGGATTACTTGTGTAAGCAGATGGTAGATGACACTCAAACTTAAACTGTGTTATTCAAGTACATTCAGCCACTGGTCCAGAGCAAGAAATAATCAGAAGAGTAAAAATTTTGGGGATATGAAACAGACTACAAATCTAGCATACCTTCATTGTTATGCATTTCATAAATATTGTAATTTATAATGATAAAACAATATATATTTTATTAAGAATAGCATCCATGAAAGTGTCTTTTGTTGTGCCATACATGTATCAGCTCTGTTTTTGTTCAATTTATTAATTCACCCAGAGATTAATTGTTAACTGAATTCTCCATCTCAGCACCTTACAAAATGTGTGGAGAACAGTTTAGAGAATATGCATACTTAGTGACTAGCATCTAATTTCTCCTTACAATATCACCCCCCTGCCCATCATGGTTTTGCCCAGGTTACTGAGTTCTTTTAAAAATGGTCGTGCACTTAACACATTTTGAAGTGAGTATCTGTGAACTAGGTTGTAGTTTGAAATTCATGCACAATATTTGGATTGCTTAAAGAGTAAATAAATACCTTTTCTATATGATCAGTACTGTCTTGTATGTCACCTATGTAATTTGTAAGAGACTTGCTATTTTTATAACCTCAGCAACCTCCACTGGTTTCCCCAAGTCAAATCTTAAATCCATCTTTTGATACACTCATGCAAAGCTGTTGCAAATCCCTTGTCCTCAACAGAGAGAAATTGCGAGAGATATGGAGAAAAAAAAACAGAAAAATATATCCTGCAGTGTGAGTGTTTTTTGTGAAGAAATGCTTTTTTGTGTAGTGTGTGGCCACCATTGTTGACTCACAAAGCTGAAGGGGGTTGGAGAAAGAAAGGAATTTTCATTTAGGGGGGCTGATGGACAAAAGTAAGGATGAATGAGGAAAACAAAGGTATGCTGTATTTACACCTCACTTTATTTTCAGTATTTGCAACTTCAGGTATAAGAATTACATAATGTTTCCTAAAACACCTACTGTTAATAACACATATTTACAGTGCTGAAATGTAATCATGAAGATCTTTGGTCATTTCAGAGTTTACTACATTATGTTCTTTATCAAGTTGAGAGAAGAACTGACTGCTGAGTTGTTTTCTATGCAGTAATCAGCTGCCTGTAAAACAACAACAAAAATGACAATTAAAGTGACAGAAAAACTGTAGACATCCAAGCCCCTTATTCCTTTCACTCTCAAGATCTCATTTATTAAGTAATTCTCCTTACTGTCTGCCATACAATTCTTGACATGTTAATTTGAAGAAATGAATTATTGGATCAACCAATAATCCCCTTACTGACATTTTGCTTTAATCTCATCACATGTCTGTTTGATATTGCATGGGTATTGTAAGAAGAAATTCTGTCTTGGTCTCTCATGGGAGTTAAAGGTTTATTGCCTCTGAAATCACTCCAGTGTTGTTGGAACTAATTTCTCATCACTTGTCTGCTGTAAATTGTATTGATATTATACCCAGATAAATTATGTCTTGCTTTCTAATAGGAAGTGAAAAAAGGCACAAGGTCCTGAAGCATTTTTACCTCTCCAAAGTCATTTGTCTTTTCATTTATACGTCTTTCACTCTCCAGTAATTTTTCTCGCTTTGGTAAAACTTCATCCTTTAGCTTTTCGTTTTCATTTTCAACCTAAGAAATATAGTAAGAATTTCAAATTTGTTTTCAATTTTTTACCCTTTGACTGTGTGTTTGTATGGGGGGAAGGGGGGGGGGTGTGTTTGTGTGGGGGAAAGGGCTCACTTCAATCTCAGTGAAAATTCACTTTTTGAACAAACTTTAAAGTTATGGTTTCAACCAAAGCCCTCCTAGCAAAGGTAAAGAGCCAGAATGGACTAAAATTCCAAACATGCAGACACTCTCAGTCACTTCCAAATGACAATTGTTTTCAAAATTAAGCTTTTTGCTGAGTTTTCTGGGTTAGAGAAACCCAGTGAAAGTAGATTGTTAGAGGTCACATCTCTTGCTTGGGAGTGCAACCTTATAAGAGTGAATGTGCCATGCATGAAACAAAGAGTATAAGAATGATACCTGTTGATTCCTTTTCCTTACCTGTTGAAGGATATGCTTCAGCTGCTCTTTGTAGGCTAACTTGACTTGCATGACATGATCAATAACATCTTTGTCTGGGTTTCCTGAGGGCCTCCTGTATATTATGTAAATTTGCACGCATTTTAACAATAAAATACAACTATTCACAGCCCTTTAAGCTGCAATTGTTTTAATGCTCAAAGAAAAAAGATTACCATGCAGGTTGTGAATCTTCTGTATTAGAGGCTGCCACAATACGATCAAGCTCATTAAAGAAATGTACTAGATCTTCCTGTTTAATCATCAAATCGATTTCTTTCTGAAAAAAAATTCAGAGGGCAAACATTAAATGTGTAAGGAATTACCCTTATGTGTACACGTCCACGTACACTTTTATTGGCCTACTTAATACCTTTACTCCCATGCAGATTAAAAGATCGTAATAACAATCAAGAGAGAGAGAATGAAGAAATTCTGGTGACTGGAAGCAGAAACGATTTACCGCAAAGTTGCTTGGACCAAGTTACAAATCAGTTTAATATGATTTCCGTCTATTGCTCAGCTGAGAAACATCTCTCATTTGAAGTGAGCTAAAATACTAGTATTAAAACCTTCAGAATTGTTTTAAACATCTTGAATCACAGGTTTGAGTTAAATGCAGCACATAATATAAAATGATGTTAAACATCTCAACGAAATCAGTTCGACTGATCACTTGTCATTTCAGGTTTATGCATATTTGGAAGATGTGGAACAGTTTGTTTGCGTCCGTCCGGTTGATTATTTGACCAAGATTGATAAATTTTTCACCTTTTCTTTTTTTCAAAATCTGGTGGTCACCCACTGGCAACTTTTGTAAACATTTTTAGCCCCCAGACATATACATGGCAACAGGGTATGTAAAAGAAAGTGGGACAAAGTATCTTTAAGTGGACAGTTTTTAGGGGCAGGTTCTGTAATAAAAGCAATAATGATGATAATTAAGGATTTCTATGGTGCCATATCCGTTAGCTCATGGGGCTTTACAAAACTTTGTGGGAGACTTTGGCCAGACTGCATTGAGCAGTTTACAATTTTTTAAGGGAAGTTTTGCAGATGCTTCCAATTTCAGAATCAAGGACAGACCACAATAACTAGAGCTATGTTACCTAATTTTTGCAATAAGTTTGTTGTTCTTTAATGTCCCCTGCTAACTAGTACTGAGAAGATGAAGGAGAAAGGGCCTATGATTTTTCATCCTTATCCAAGAGGAATAGGATGTAATCATTTGCAGATTTCAAAGCAAAGGAAGCACATTCTCCCCAGTTACTTTGAGATTATGGGTACAGGCAGGGCTTGAACCTTTTACCTCCCACACAGCAGTCCAGTGCTCTATAACATGAGCTTACCAGGCAGCGATTGGTGGCAATGGTCCTTTAAGCTATCCACCTCCATCTAAATCGTCTTGTGGTGGAGTTGGAGGTAAGAACCTCTCGAAGAGCACATGAATCAAATAACTCCCTGAATTAAGCTTTATTTACCCACAGCATGTGCCAAGTATGCGCACTGATTAGTACATATGATATAAAGGGCTCCACAAAATTTAAATCCCAAAAAATATACCTCGATGTTATTCTGCAGATGCTCCATCAGTTGTTCCGTGATACTCTTAAACTCAGCTGGGTTTCTATCTCTCATTGCAGAGAAGCAGTTGGCAAACTTTTCCTGACTACAAAAACATCGATCAAAAATAGAACTGGCTTGATTTTATAAAGTGACTGGAAGAATCATGCAATTTTGATGTAAGCTACTGGATTTTTATTTTCCTTTGACTTTCTCAAGGATTATCATACCGGCAAACTTTTATTTGAAGCTTCAGATCTGAAACGACTGCGGATGGAACGCGCTGATCGGTTATAATGATTTTAAAGAGGGTAAGTTTCTAAAGAAACAGTGGTGCTGCGTCAGTGGGTGAGAATAGCTGGGATTCGCTCTGACAAAGAGCTTACGATCGAAACGTCAGCTTTGAAACTCTTTACGTTTATCAGATCAGTTGATAATGACAAATTACCCCATGATGATCATACTTTTTGCATTTCAGCTCACCTTCCAGCAGCCATAATTTTGTCCAAACATTTCTTCATCACTTTCCTAAAGAGCACCATGCGTCTTCCCTCGCTTTCCTCCTGCTTTTCAAACGATAAGCTGTCTTTTTCGGACAAGGAATTTGATTCCAAACTTTCTCCAATCATACTTGCCGCCATTTTGAAACTTAGCGCGCTGTTTTCTCTACCCAGGAGCGCTCTATCCTATTTATCAATTACCCTAGTGGAGTAGTGAGGGGATTGCGAAAAATCGAGAATGTCATATTTTCTTCTGAGTTTCTTCACGCGATTTAGTCGCTAGAGTTGTTTAATCTCAATAAAATGAGTATTTATTCTCTTTTAAAGACAACAAGAAGGAGAGGGAGAATATTTCGTATCGTACCGTGTGGAATATGTTGAAAGCCCTACCCTAGCCAGGTTCTATTTTGCGTTAGTGCTTGTGGCAATAAGACACCATCGCAACTTTGGTCTAGTGTAGAGTTATTGGTGACCTGTGAAGGCACAGAAGTCATTTCTTCCTTTTGAGGTAAGCCCACGATAGTAAAAAGGAGGGATTTAAGTGAAGAAAATTATATATTTATACCTGTTCTTATTATTTATTTTTCTTTTCAAGTATGTGAGCCTGTTGCATAATTTGAAAGCCTCTGCGCGACACTACGTACCAAAGGCTTTTTGAAAGCATATTTTATTTTAGGCGGTAGGCGGTCTAGATTGTGTCCTATGAACAGATATTAGTGCTATGCTGGTGCAAATGTCTGTGATGGCTTTGTAGAGTTCACAGTGCATTGTATATATGTATATATCTAAACTATTTGGTGTTATATACAGCTTTTGCAGCGGCTTCAAAAAGGTGATGATAAATCCACTAATCTACGTCGCTTTCCACCGCAGACGTGTCTCGGCATATTTGCTATGGCGAATTAAGGGTTGCTTTCTTGTTTAAATCAACAGCTCATTACTGCTTTTTCCAATCTGTAGACCTCTTTGATGCTTTGTGTCATTGCATAACACTTTGCCTCGCCATTACTGGAAAAAAAAAATGACCCCTCCCCCATTCCCACCCATCACTAAACCTTCACAGAAAATTGGAACTGACAGCAGGGTGAAAATTCCTTCTTTCCAATCCTGACTGCTGACCAATTCCGAAGTGTAACCTCTGTACCAAATCCTGTGAAAAAATGCACATTATTGATTAAGCATTTTTGCATTTTTCTCCTGCCTCTTACCTTCATCAAGTTTCCATTAGTGGTCTTTTCCCCTTTTCATTTCTCTTACTCCTCTACACACCCTCTATTTTCTAATGTTCCTACAGTGTATATCCTCTTCTCTTCCACTGAATATATACTCTGATTGTAACAGTGGTCTGGTGTCAGTCAAAATGACTGACATCTCAACAACTTGAACTGGAATTATCACCAGGGTTAACTGTGAGGACCAATATTTTGCCAGCCACTAGTTATTGATCATACAGACAGATTGTCTTAGTGAGTGATGTCTTTAGGGACTTTTGTCCTCTGATGTGACTGATCTTTCAACAAATAAATAGAGGGGGTAAGTTTCAAAAGAAACTTTGGTGCTGCATTGGTGGGAGAGTATAACAAGGTACCATTTATTTGGTATTTATCAACTGAGGTGATAAAGAGTTTCAAAGCTGAAGTTTCGAGCATCAGCCCTTCGTCAGAGAAAAGGGCTACCACTCAAAATCTTGGCTTTGAAACTGACAAAGCTGACATTTGGAGCTAGCAAATGGCTAACCCTTGAAACTTCAGCTTTGAAACTCTTAATGTTGGCCAATTTAGGTTATCAACTGTGTTGATAATACCAAATTATCTTGATCTTTCAACACCCTGATTGGAAGACATGGCTAAACTCAAGAATTAACACACTGAATTCCTTGTTTCTTTTTTTCAGCTTTGTATTTTGTGTGGACTCTATTAAGTTGTGGACAACATTGAGTGAATGTTAGGAATCCTTGTGAGAAGCCTTGGAAGACAACTTATTATGCTGAAGCATGAAAAAGGGAAAGGAATTTTTTATTCAATAGCAAAAACTGCGACAACAGAAGCCAAACACCACCCTACCCTTGTTCCAATTCATGGTATTGTTTTTGATTTGGATGGCACCCTTACTTTACCTGTGTTGGACTTTGCCAAACTTCGTAAGGAGCTTCAGTGCCCTAAAGGTGTTGATATTTTGGAATTTTGTAATTCAAAAATTGGACAGGAAAAGGAAGCTGCTCTTGAAATTGTAGTAAAATTTGAAGAGGAAGGAAGACAAAATACCAAGCTACAACCAGGAGTGTTTGAACTACTTGAATTTTTGTCTGCAAGCGGATTAAAGAGAGCACTCATCACAAGAAATTTACAGGCTTCTGTGGATCAGTTTTTGGCATTAATGGGCCATCCAGATGACTATGGAGGTCCACTAACTCATGTAAGAACCATAACATCATTCAGTAAACACTCGCAGTAGAATATACAGGAAGTAGTGATGTCAAACATCTTTTCCTGCCCAGTTGTTACTTGACAGAGAGGTTATAGTCTTTCAACTTGCAATTTCTAGACAGTTTGAAGCTTAGATTGTGATCTCACAGGTTGTTGTCTCACAAGTTGAAGGATATGTATTTGCTGCTCCTTCTGTCATGAATGCTTAACTTCATTTGCAAGATGCTTTGGTTATAGATTAAAGCCGCTTATGATGCAGCTTAATCTTTTCCCTGCCTCTCACAAGTGATTACAGGACAGTTTTAGAGGAGAATTCAGTAGTCTAACCAAAGTTACTGAAGGACTAGTTTTGTGGGCCTCTTCAGTCATTAGTTTTATTGTAGAAGCAAACCACAGAATAGACCAGTAAAACATTTCTTTTATTTCTTTTGCAGTCTCTCACTCGTGAGTTCACACCACCCAAACCAGATCCTGCTCCCCTCCTTCACATTTGCAGGGACTGGGGAGTTCATCCTAAGAATGTTGTCATGGTGGGTGATCATCTTCATGATATTCAGTGTGGTAAAAGTGCAGGATCAGGTCAGCAAATGTATTTTTTGTTGCTCAAACTGCTTGAATCATCAGGGGTTTTAATTAAACCAGTAACTGGCAGTGATGTTCCCTCAGAATGCCTTCCACCTCCTATTGTCATATGAGATTTGTATAGCCCCTTTTGTCATCACAACCCCCTTCTCCACCACTGGCAGCCTCCTGTATAAAAAACTGCTGAACCCTTGTTTGTGCAAGAATCATTTATCATTCCTTTGGCAAGGACATTTAGCAATTACAGAGTTTAAAACTATTTCAAAATCCAGCCTCATTTTTGGTGCTGTTTATGACATGTTTTTAAATTGCAGGAATGATTCAGATAAGGTTTTTCCTGTGTTGTTGTAGCTGTGAGTGTTATGTTGAGTGTTATGACAATTGGTTTGAAAAAAAAAAAATCTTTTAGTTTGGTACAAGCAAGTCTTATATACTGCTTATGTTTAGAGTCTACTTTTGAAATTTTCTCATTGTGACTTGTTTGTGTGTTTGTTTTTAAGTGACAATATTACTGAACGATTCAACTAATGGTGATTTCAAGAAGGATGCGGACTTCAATGTGGACTCTCTGAGTGAGATTATCACTTTGATTACCTCTCACGAGAGATTTTCTATCATCAGAGAAGATCCTAATACTGGAACATAAAAGAATAGACTCCTTCTTTTTTACCTCTGTTTAATAGGAATCTTGTAATTAGGAATAAAACCAGGTGTAAAATCTTGAAAGGGCAAAATACTGCAACCAGTCGATGTTAAAAATAATGTCCTGCAGTCTCCAGTCTCCTTTGAAGGAGACTACAGCCATAATCTCAGCATCACGACAACTCAGTGTGAGAGGGGGTTGTGTGTGGTGCCGTATCACGCAATCTTGCCAGCTTCTCTGCTTGTCGTTTTTGGAGATTAGGCCGTCTTCATTTTCATCGAGCACTCGAAATACGGCCAGCTACGGAGCCAGTCTAACTTTTTCCAAATGTAAAATTCGATCTTTTGAATCTGGGTCTCGAAGGTCGCATAACCTTTCCGTTCTTCCCTCCCAGGTCCCCTTCATACACCAGCCATGCAGGCTTCTTTCCTGCAAAGCACTGATGGAGACGTGCGTTGAGCAAAACGCGATCTTTTGACATCATGAAAAAGGGGATAGGGTTTTCCAACCCTATCTCCTTTTTTCAGGGGACAGTGAGAAAAAAAAGGAGGATAATGGACGCTAGGAAGAGTACGTGTTTCCCCCCCCCCCCCTTCCCCTTCCACTGCCACTTCAAAGTGACAGAAATTGTTCTAAATGTCTAAATTTTCAAATTGGGGGAGGATGCCCTGAGCCCATTACATTTTACATCACAAGGAGAACAACGTCTTACTTCGAGCTCCCTTCAGACTTCATAAGATTCTCAACCAACGGAAAAAAATGACGAATACGATACATTTAAATGAAATAGCAGATGCAGTAATGATATGTACAGCAGTTCGTATTTCCATGAAACTCAAAGCCCATCATTAGGTTTCCGATCTGATAACTCTTCATCTAATTCATCGAGTGTTTTTATCGTCTTGACCAAGAAATGTCATCCCGTCACTCATAGTGTGCACCACAAACCATAAACCGCAGGCTGCTAAACATCACATCAAATTTCACCACAGAACCACCAGCCAATCAGTTGTTGTTCTCAAGTAAGTCGCGCAGCAGGAATGCACACTAAAAAATTTTCACTGGAAGAGGGATATGAATAGGTTAAGTTCTCGAGGCCAACATTCTCTTGCCAAATCGGAAGACAAGACTATAGCGATTTACCGATTTGTGGGTTAAAAGTTAAGACGCCAAACAAAACGAAATATTTCGCCATAGTTTTCAAAAATGTTTGTTAGTTCTCTCCATGGCTGGTGAACCAACTTATTTGGAACGAAGTGCCACTGAAGATTTGAAAAGACCTCCCCCCTCTTTTCTTTTAGTCTTGTTTTCAACCGACCTTTGCGCATGCCCAATAACTGCTCCACTGAACAAGTGTTGCAGTCCAGCTGAAGTCCTGTTAACGAAGAGATTCCATGTTGCCACGCGTTACCACATTTTGATGCCTTCTGTGATCTACTACTGTACAGACTCGCGGAAACTTGGAATTTATTTGTCCTATATAATAAAAAATGTCGTTTACAGTAACGTCATCTATGCAAGAACTGATCAAAATGCGCCGCAAAATTCAGCTTATCATATGATTCAGCTTATTTCATAATTACCTGTAACCAGTACGCGTACTTCACGGAATCAGTGTAAACTATCAATGTATGTGTGTAAATAATGTGGAAGAAGAGAAAGCCTTTTGAAAGCCGGAAAAAGTAGCGTGAGTGATTGTTCCAACTAATTATCATTTGCATTATGCATGCATAATTCACGATATTGGTGTTGAAACAACAACAAAAATTGGTGAATGCTCTGATTGAAAACGAGAAGCGTACAGAACAAAATTTACGAGTTGTGGAGAAAATCCTCAGCACCTCTTTCTCCGGTTCACATCATTGACCACCAAACGGTAGAAATAAGGTATAGTCACGAAAAATGTTCCTGATGCGATGAACTTTTTTAATATTATTATTCATGTTGCTCGCGAAGCTGGCTTGTAAACATAACCGAATGTCGATTTAACACTCTTACGTAACCTGCAAATATTTTAAGTAAATTTTGGTAAGAATCAATCAAACTGGAACGAAATATCACAAGGGGTTGGTAGCTAGAGGCAACAGCCTTGCTCAGGCGACATTACTTCGGGTGACTAACAGCAATATCCTGTCATGTGTTACTCCTAAATCTTATCCCATTAGCCACTTTATTATGGATTTCCTACGTTTAAAAATAAATATCCCGTACATTATTTACGTTGCAGGAAAAATTATCCTGCATGATACCTTACTCAAGAATATTTAAAATCTACATTAGAAATAACATTGTCTTGCAAAGCATTCACCTTAGACAGCTGTTCGCTGTGGGAAATATTCATGTTGGAAATCTGTATGTTTTGCAAGTTCTTGTAAATTATGGAGGGACGAAAAAAAAGTCTGGTTAACCACACTCGACATCTAGGAACTTTGGTTAGATTGGTTTGGTTTAGATAAACAAAGAATAAAAAAACCTTTTTAGCCTAATGAGCCTAAAGGTAAATTAGAAGAAGGAAATTCGACTTAATCCACTTGCCAGGCTGGTAAGCTTGCAAGGATTATAGGGAGTGAATTTGCGAGTCAAACATCTACGATTACTACACTAGAATCGAGAGTTTCGGTAATTTGTTCATTTAGCTTATGTTGTTTTTCTCAACTCAGTGTATGTATGGACGATTTCTTTAGCATTCAACATGAAGAGAGCAGCGCTGAGTCAGGTATTAGCACCTCGAAAGTTGGTATACAGTCCTCAGGAGACCGCCAAGTAAGTTCAAAAGGCGTTGATTGGTGGGGTCGGGGTTTTGTAAGTTCGTAACACACAGGATTTGTACATCCACCATGACACCACATGATCGTTTCTAACTGATATCATTCACAACCGATCGCGAGTGATAAAATTACGATCCACCTATTATTGTGTTCTAATCCTATGGTGGTCGTACATTTATTGGAGAATAATCTCGCGTCTTCTTCGTGATCGTATTTTCACATTTCTAGGCAGCGTTATGAAAAACATTTCCTGTTGACCCTTATTTGGGGGATAGTCCCGTATTTGGGGAAGTCGTGACCCTTATTTGGAACCATGTGTTCCTTATTTGGGATAGTTAAATTCCGCGCCAATCTGCACACCCCGTATTGACCAATCATACCTCGAATTTTACCATACGTCATGGAAATCTCGTGACCGAACACGCTCGCTGGGGAAGACGTAGCAAAAAAAAAAAAAACGATCATGACTTTGACTCGAGAAAATTTCGTCTTTCATCATGGAAGGAGGTTTCTTGTTTGATCCCTTGGACAATTCACGGTGTCTACACGCTGCTTTGACAGCTTAAGTGGAAATCGCTACCGAAGAATTCACGGGAATCGAATTTTAAAACTTGTTACAGAGATCATGTCAATTTCCCGACCCCGAGTAACGAACGTCCGCGCCTAGAATACTTACCTGATTCGTAAACAAAGTTGATCGCTCAGGGAAGAAGGGACAGCGCACTATACAGCTAGAATAAATGGGTCATAGCAAATTTGATGTAAGTTCAATACTTTCATTAGCGATCGAAAGATGTGAAAACGCGATTCGACGTCAACTAAGCTTGTTATATAACTATTGTTTATCCTTTTATCACAGGCATCTTTGGTGAAGGCCTTCGCCGCAGGATCTTTGAGCGGCACTTGTTCTACTCTGCTATTTCAACCATTTGATCTGGTAAAAACTCGTTTGCAAGTGGAAGGAACGGCTTTATCTTCTGCTGGACGGCTTAAATTAGGGTAAAAATATCTTTTTTTTTTACTAAGAAATTTTTTTATTTTGCTTTTAATGTAAAACCTGTTTGAGAAGAGAGACTTCGAAACGAGATCTGGTTTTACAGGTCACCGAAAACAGGAGCTTGAAGCACTGATTATCTTGTTACAATTCCTTGACAGCGGAAGCAATGGCATGCTTTATACGTTTTACTCAGTGGCTCGAAGAGAGCATATTGTTGGACTCTGGAGAGGACTTGTTCCGGTAAGGTGGTACTCTTGCTGTTTTCATTCATTCGATACACATTAGAGCCTTCTGGCATTTCGCTTTCTGTACTCTGTAACTTTGGACTAAGATTTATGTGTTAAACATTTTTCCCAGGCATTGTCAAGATGTGTCCCTGGAATTGGATTGTACTTCAGCGCTCTTCATGGTTTGTCACAATTTACTAGGTTAGTCTACTCTCTGCACACTCCCAGTTCAGTCCAAGTTTACTCCAAGAGTTAAAACCCAGCACCTCCCCTTTTCCAGCATCAGTACCTTTTCAGGACTTAACCTGTAAAGACAGCATGGTTAAGGATTTTGGGGTACACTCAGTTCTTGTTCAGTTTTCTTGAACATATATGATGTTACAAAGCACAGTGGTCAATGTCTCCATAGAGGGGGATTCAATCAAACATTTATGACTGTCTTTTGAATGGAAGTGTCTCAGCTGATAAGTTCGTTTGTATGTACTAGTAGAAAAATTGTGTTAAGGGTTAAAAATGACCAAGGGTCTTGCTTCACTTCATGAGATGCTTATGCCTAGCACTTAGATTCCACGTTACATTGCTTGTATGTTTTCAAAGATAATTGACAGCACGATTGGAGTGTCAAAGAACACAATGCAGTGTCTCAGGCTTGAGATGAAAATTCAACCTTTTGATCTGGAGTCCAGGGTGCTAACCCTTTATAAATGGTTTTAATTCTTGCAAATGATAAAATGATACAAATACTGATAGCTTATTGATTATAACGTATGTACCATTCTGCACTGTTTGACAGTCAACATTTGCAACTTTCTTGCAGTGAGGAAAGAACCTTGGGAGAATCAGTTTTATTAGGAGCAAGTGCCAGAACAATAGCAGGAATCACCCTCTTGCCAGTTACTGTAGTGAAAACTAGATATGAGGTGTGTTTTCAAGCTTTTCTAACAAGTCTGAGTACCTGTCTTTGGATGCTTAGTCTCATTTACTCAAATTTGGCAGAAGTAAAAAAAAATTGATAACTTGCACCGAGTTAGTGTCTTTTTTCTTTAATTATAGAGTGGATTTTATAGCTACAGCAGTATGTTGGATGCAATGACGTCAATCTGGAGGAGGGAAGGAGGAAAAGGTATGTTGCAGTAGGCAGGCATTTAATTAAAAGCAGTTTAGCAGTGGTTACCACTGTTTGCAAATCCCTGCACAGTCTCTTACTCCTGACCATTGACCCTTTGACCCCAAAAAGTGACTAGCATCAAAAATCTCTTTACATTATCACCCTTAAATCCAAAATTATGATCGCAAAAATAAAGGAAATTATCATCAACTAAAAGAGCTCTTGACTGTCTTACAAATTCTCCTTTTTTTAGCACGTTAGGAAATGTAAAGAGAACAGTGTGAAGTATATGCATATTGATGTTAAGGTGTAAAGGGTCAAAGGACCATCTTTTACCAGCAAAAGCCCCTACTAAAAAGGGGTTATTATACCCTTGAATGGATTCCTGAAGTTTTTACATGATTAGATTTTATTGCTCAGGGAAAATATTCTTATAAAAGGAAAATAATACTCCCTTTCTTTCATTTCAGGCTTATATAGTGGGTTGCTGGCAACTGTAGCACGTGATGCCCCATTTTCAGGGCTTTACTTGATGTTTTACACCATGATAAAGAGACAAGCAAAGAATGGTGAGCAAATAATTTTTCAGGGAGCTTCAGAAGATATAATATTTCTGATTTTCAAAGCTCCTTGAAAGTTGCATCAATGAGGACATACTTTTTAAGCCTGTATTGGTCATGCAATTTTCAGCAAATAAATTCCCAGATTTTTACAGGAATTGGCTGACTGATCAAATGAAATTTCTCTCTGCTAATTACTAGGACTCCTTCATTTGTCGTGAAATTCACTCATTAAAAAGAGACAGTGAAATAAGAAAAAGTTTTTTTTTAAAAAGATTTAGTCTGTAGGTGAATTTCTTAGAACAGTGTGGTTAAAATAGATCTCATTCATTTGCAAAATTTTGGGACAACTGCATTAAACAAAATGTCAGAATGATTATCGTAGTGAGTGGGATTTTTCCTTTCTTTTTTCTGTGGCTTGTGCAAGTCTTTTCAAAGTATATGATTTTTTTCCTTAAATTTGCTTTTCCCTTTAGGACTTGGTACACCAGAACTCCATGCATTTGAGACTTTCATATGTGGTTCTCTGGCTGGAGTCATAGCTTCAGTTGTAACACAGCCTGCTGATGTGGTGAAGACAAGACTTCAATTGTTTCCACACAAGTATAACAGCACAGGCAGTGCAGTCTATTGTATATTAAAGGTGAGAGTAAGTTGAAAGATCAAATGCTTGCTAATCCTCTACTTTTTACCTGCTTTAATACTCTTCTGATTCATTGTTCTCCCTCACTTTAAGCACAACAGGTAAAATAATTTTCAAATTGGTGGACCGATTGTTTTACCAGTTGAACTACAAGAATTCCAAGCAATTTTAGGTTGTAATAAGGGGTAGTGCAGGCAGTAACTCTACTGGATACCACCTGAAAAGGAGAATGCCTGTGATTGTTGGATGCAAGTCAGTTGGTCATTTTCTTTTTCAGCTGTGATACAACTTTTCAATCTGGAAGTCCACATGTATTCCTTTGAAAATTTAGATTAAAGCTATGTGTACTTTTCATGATGACAAATATTTTGAATTCATTATTTTATTTTTCTCTTTAGACAAATGGAGTATTTGGACTCTTCAAGGGTCTAGTTCCCCGCTCAGTGAGAAGAACTCTCATGGCAGCCATGTCATGGACTGTTTATGAAAGAGTATGTTGATCTAATGATGAATTATATTAAAGATTTTAAGCTAAGTTCTCTTGCAAGTTTTACAAACTTTAAGTATCCTGAAAAGGATAAAATCCATTTTCTCAGTAATTATCCAAATAAAACCTGTTGCCAGGGTTAAACAGATCTCAGGTGCTTTTGTCACTGAGGTTTTATTCAAGTTTGAAAATAATTGAAGTTGAAGAAAGTAGAGATTATAAAGGATATGTTTCTTCTGTCTTACCTTATGGGGCTTGAGTTGATTACTGTCCAATGTCAGGGTATCTAGATTATAAATTTCAGACAACTTATCGTATTATTATTTTCACATAACACAGACTCACTGCATTTAGTCCCAATAAGTCTAACCGCAATAAAATTTCCATTAACTACACTTCCTAGAGTCTCTCAGGAGCCCTAATGACAGGCCCAAATGTAAAACATATACATTGGGGTATGTTGGCTTGTATGATTATGGAAGTAACAAGGAAAGTCAATCAGCTCCATGCTCTCATTAAAACCCTGGCCCTCAAGCATTCTATAATGTACCTTCTTGTGTGTGATTGCATTCCTTATGTTGTATATTAGTGAAGAGAAACCTTAATTGAATTATTTTGTTATAATAACTAGCATAACTATTCGTCAGCTTTTATTTATTTCTTCTCTTCAGCTTTCAAGAGAATTGGGATTGATCACCTGATAATGGCAATGAAAACAGTTCACCAGGTGTAAGGTTACTTTATAACACCAGCTGACACACACAAGGGCAAAATCCAGGAGAAAGCACTTGTTATTTAAGTGGTTTTATATCCAGCAGGAGTCCCATCATCAACTTTTCAGCCAAGTACTAAGTGGGCTGGCAAAGCAGATTTCTGGTGTTGTGCTCATGCACACTAAAAGTCAAGGAGGGAACAGACAGTTATGTGTTATGATAGTCATGTGAACTTGGTAGAAAAAAAATTAATCAAGTTTTAAAGAAGCTGTAGAGATGTAGTGTTAAATTCAGTTTTAATCCTTTAACACCTCAGAAGACATGCAATGAGAATTAAGAAAAATATCAATTTTGACAAATGGTGAGGAGAATTACCAAAAAGATCTTGGGATTGAAAGGGTTAATTGACATGTACTCATTTCCATCTTTGAAGAGGAATTAATGTTACTTGCATTTTCAAGGGGAATCTTTTCAAAGACTGTTGGCATGGCTAATCACCACACTTGAAACAAAAACACCTTTGTTGTGTGGTTTTATGTTCCAGAACTTTATCACTTGAGATAAAATTACTCCAACTACTCTCCTGCTTAGGAGTTGTTTTTTGTTTGTTGAATTTTGTATGAAAATGAAGAAATTGGTTTTCGCTAAAGAGGTTAAAAAGAGATGATCACTGATGGACAGTGCAGTCTGATGAAAATAAAGACCAGTATATATATACATTGTCATGAAGGTGAAATGAGAGATTAAGTATATTTATTTACCTACTGGTAGTTATTTATTTCAAAGTTAAGAAAAAGGAAATATTGTACATGTGGAATGGTTCTAACATATGGATTGAAGAATTTTTAGTTCCTAAGTCAAGTACAAAGGAATGTTTTCTTTTTACCACTATCAACAGTACTAATTTTTGATAACATCTGTTTTGCCTGTTATTACAATGGAATTATAGACTTTCATTTAGGACTTTTAACTGGGTCACAGAAGGGAGTTTCAGTGAAAAGGTGGTCATATAAGAGAGTTGTAATAGGACATTGAAGAAAATTTGTTCTGTCAATAATTTACTTGTGGTATTTTTTCCTTTTTTCTTATTTTTCTGCTGCCCTTTAGAAGGGGGAAAGTAGGGACTGTATGTGTTAAGATTTGTTGTGGTCTGTTTCTTTGGAAAACTAAGCTTGATAAATAATAGTATTGAATGATTTATTCAAAATTGGTAAGTTACTTGTGGGTTAAATTGCAGCTCTATTCTCCATTAAGCAGGAAATAACAAAAAATTATGATTAGTGGGTTATTGAATATGTATATAACAGAAATTTAAATAATATTTTGAATTATATATTTCTATGTGAAATAAAATGAGAAGAGGCCATTTTTCGAAGGTCAGATTTTTGTGAACAGTTTTTAATGACTTTATATCACTTAATAAAATATGTCTCATAACTCTTGTAGTAATGGTTGTTGTTTTTTCTGCCTTAATTTTAAAAAGAGTGGAGTATGCTTAATTTAAAAGGGACATTTTTCAAATAAACAGTGTTGCTGCATTGGCAAGGGTATTATTGGGTGATTCAGTTTTATCAACTGTGTTGATAATGTACGCTGGCCACTGTAAAGAGTTTCTAAAGCTGATGTTTGGAGTGTTAGCCCTTTGTCAGAGCAAAGCCAATTGCCTATTTTAAGGAAAAAACTTCTGCCCTGGATGAGATATGATATAAGTGATTGCCCAGCAGTTTTTGTATCCCTTTTTAATGGCTGCCAATTTTTCTGTGTGTAACTTCTTCATTATTTGATGTTCATATCATGAAAATGTCCATATTCTGCAAATTGTTATGACCTGTCTACTCCTCTTTGTTTGATATTCAGGGAAGGAGTTTCATTGAACTCACTGTGGCAGAAAATCTAGCTTTACACCTCATGGAGTGTTTGTTTTAAGAATTAATCCGACATCAAAACAATTTCCCCCTTTTTGGCAACTTCCTGGCCTACATAATCATTGTAACTATATGTCTTCTCCACTTCCTGAAAAAAAGAACGTGACGTCACTAATGTTATTGTTCTTTTTACGCCAGAAGACATGAGTGAGGAACTGGGGAGAGTATCTGTTAGGAAAAAGCAAAATGGACGAAGTGGCGGATCTACGGGTAGGAAAAGCCACAAATTTCCTGTTGTTCGGCGTATTCTTTTTAATAATTATGATTCCAGTTGTTAAGTTGAGATTTTTTCTTTCATACACAGCATATGCTATTGAGTTTTCGCGTCTCAGAATTACAGTCACTGCTTGTGTTTGCGGGACGGTCTAAAACGGGAAGAAAACATGAACTTATGGGCCGAGCGCTCCAAATGTTGAAAAGCGAAGGAAATCATCATGTCAGAAAGAAACTACGGGAATTGTATGAAAGACGATGCCCTCGGAAAGTGGTTATACCTCCAGCTCAACCAAGACCGGCGATACAACCGCCAGTTCAACGTTCTTCGCAATTACAAAGTGTGAATTCGGACACAACCGGCGTTCCCGTGCACCCTGACGTTCGACTTTCACATTTACCGTTCTTTGAACAAATCGACGACCTAGTGCGACCAACAAGCTTAGGTGAGTCTTCAGTGTATCGTCCTTAGAAAGTAGGCGGATTTTGGCTGTTAACGCCGTGTAAAATCGGCCATGTCTCGTTTGTTTCTAGAGATTTCCATTCTGCTTAGTAAGTGAAATGTCATTCGTGAAGTAAGTAATGACGATACAGCATTTTTTTTGGTAAGGCTTGACAGAATAAAGTCGTTTATGGACTTAAAAATTAAATTGACTGTCAAATGCTTTTTTTTTTTCAGTAGATGTACTTTCTTTATCCAATTTTTCTTTGCGGAGAAATTTCCGCGCCACAGAGACGTTGATGTACTCCAAGCCCTTAAATTACGGACGGAAATTCTTTGCGCAATCTTTGTTCGAAGCGTGGGCTTTAGAAGGCAAATGCCTTTGGTAAACTGATGTAAGAGTGGTTTGAATCTTTTCTTAGAATTTCGGTTTAAGGACAGGGAGTGCTTTGTGTTCAAAATAAAATTCAAAGGAACACTCTAATTATGATCATTATCGGGTTAGTAGTGCTCTTTAACATGTTCTGTTGTGTTTTGCTTTGTTCTGTTTACTTTGTTCTCAAATCAGATTCTGCCTGTTGGATTTGTTTGTGTAGTGAATTGAAAAGTAAAAGAGGTCATTGCAGTGAACCTGTCTCTATTCAGGATTCAAAAGATGGCCTAAACAATCCTTTTAGGGTTCTTTTTTTTCATTATTCAACTATTCTCTTTTATTGCTGTCTTCTTTATTGATAGGATAGAGGTTTTACAACTGAAAATTAAACAAAACAGAATAATTTTAACAGCTCTATAGGTTTTACAATACTCCCTACCTCATGACATGGCCATATCTGACCACTTTTTTTTTTTTTTTTTAGAAGTCAATTAAAAATTGTCCAAACACAATATAATAATTCATGACAGAAGTTGTTTGGTCTTGTACCATCATACAGAACAACTCGGGAGCTATTAGGGGAATCTGCAGTGTTTTTTAATTTGGGATGATAGGTCCATGCAACATCAATTATTATGGTCAAAGAAAAAAAAAGACAATATTAGAAATGTATACTCATAATAAATCTAAAGGAGAACATTAGAAATATCTGCTGGCCTTCTAAAGGCTTTCAAAATGACTCTTGAACCATGAAAGGGCTTGGAATTGTTGTCTTAAGAGAAGCACAGATACTGAGTTAACCATTAGGAATGGTCTTCATGGAATCCATTGAAAACTATTTTAGATATTTAAATCCTTCACTTAGGGAAGTCTGCCCAAAAAGCCAAATAATTAGATTTGTAACAACATTAAGAGGATGACATCCCTAGATCTTTTTCACTCTAATTTTACGCTGATCATGTATATCGTGCAATTTATATAATAATATATATAATACTATATACGGTGATAGAAGAAATAGAATGTACTGAAACATGCTTGTACAATTACCGTCCTCACAGTGGCTACCTCCTTACTGATACTTACTGAAATACTTATGTCAAAATTAACTTTTAATTTTTGAATAATTTCAAGCTTGAAAATATGATAAAAATTGTGTTGGTGTTAAAATTGCCATGTGCCCATGCAAATCTATGTCTATTTTCATGTCAGGATAATGGTAGACACAACTTGATAAAATCAAGTGACCAACATGTACTATGGTTAAAAATCCTTGTTTCATTTTGCTTGATTTTCATTGACAGAAGAAGTTGATCTAGAGAAGGATGAATTTTTAAGACAACAGAGAATACAGTCATCAGTTGTAACTGGTTTATGAAATTTTTAAATTCTCTTTCTCCTCTTAAAGAGCAAGTTGCCTGCTTGTGTGAAGGGATATACTTAGAAATGTAGACATACTCTTTTTTAGGTGAAATTGCATACTCTGCTGACAAATCTCCTGTTTATTTTGCCACATGATGTGTTGCTTATGTTTCACAAAATGTTGTTTTTAGTTCTTCGTGGGTTGTCGCACTTTCAAGAAGCATATGTCATGTTCCATCTTACGCCGAGCCAAGTACAACTTATAAGTAGTTCAAGGTAAGCAAATTTTTTTAGTAGCTTGATTAAATTTACGTTTGAACCTAAAATTTACCTAAGATCTTAGTCTAGATACCTAGTTTGACAAGTGGCATGTTTATTATAAAGTGTGCACAAGCAGTGTTCTCCAAATTTTGAGCACTACAGGTGAAATAAATTTTTAAAGTATTACTGTAGTAGAAAAACCCATTTAGCTGACAGTGTTGAATTTACAAGACTTCCAAGCAAAGTTAAGCAGGCAGAAGAAGTACCAAAGGCAGTAAATTTTACCAGTTACTGCCTGAGAAGAAGAACACTGAATACAATTCAAGGTGGTCTCAATGAGCAGCTGTGTACACCTGTAATTTTTTCTTTGGAAGATTCTCCTGTATGAATTGCTTTTATCAACCAAAAAAAATTGATTTCTGAGCCACTTTCTTTGCAAAGTACATGTTTCACAGACATGATTTATTTGCTCACCACTTTGCTATTAATAATGATGATATATATATATATAAGTTTGCAGTTCTTAGGAGTGTTTAAACATCTGCATGAACTAACCATACAGTTGAACCTCTCTCATAGGGATACGCGGCCAAATTCTAGAAATGAGTATACAGTCCAAGTCCAGTTAAGGTATTGTTATGTTAGAATGCATTATTGGTTTTGAATCTTATTACACAATGTGTGGGTGGCTTTTTGAGTAGGAAAAGATGATGTAAATCTTAAGTTATGATTGGCAGCTGGCTGGTATTGTTTGTGCCTAAAGTATTATGTTGAGCTTTCTCTCATATAATTAGTACTTTAGTTATCCAGTATAAGCTGGCTTTATTTAATCCTATTTATTCTTTTTCCCTGCATTTTGAAAGAATTTGGTCTTTGGTATGTTGATCTCATGCTGGGTTAATAACAGATTTGAATTGGTCATGAACTGGTCACATTTCAGTCCTCTCAGACTACTATTTTGTTTCATGTATTGAGTCTGTAAAGAGCCATGCAGGATTGAATTACTTGCTATAACACATAGGTCAGTTCATACCCAGGGATGCAGTATAAATGAAGTAAATGTAGTGTACAAAGGTAGTTTAATGTTTCTGCCCAACTAAAATGCATCCATTTAGTTGACAGGATTTCAACTTGAATTTTAGAATTAAGGGGGAAGGTTGTATTTATTGTTCCTTACAATAAAGTGCATCTTTCATATTCAGATTTTGCCTATTTGAAACAAGTTGTGTACAAGAGGACAACTTTCCATCTTCGCTGTGTGTCAAAGTGAATGGAAAAATGTGTCAGATTAATACAGTATGTTCCAATTTTCTTATGTTCTTGTTTGAACGTGTGTTTGAAACAAACTGTCTATTATATTGTTTCTGAAGCTTGAGCTGTGACGTTTTGCTTAAAAAATGGCCAAGAGACTGGCAGTGTGATGAAATGAGTTAACTCTTTTTCTGTTTCTAAAGCATACTATATGCAATGAGAATCTCCAGAGCATAGAAATTTTGATCAAATATTGGACAAATTTATCAGTACTGAAATCACAAAGAAATCATCGACCTAACCCTTTCAAATTTAAAGTGATTGACATAATTCTTTTCCTTTAGATGTTAAGTTTTACCCAATAAGTCAACTTGGTTAATAAACAAAAACTTGCTACTAGGGGTTTTTTTCTTGATTGTAAACTAAATTTTCCCCCAGACAACTAATTTATGAAAAGACATGTGTCAGTTTAGTGGGAGAAGTAAATATCAGACCTTGGAAGTTGAGGGCTTAACAATGTTCGTAATTGCTAATTGAAAGTTGATTTTCTTTCAGGGTCACACATCACAGAATTGCAATCCTAATACTGAATCAAAACGACCCAGTAAACCAGTAAATATAACACAATTGTGTCGTCTATCACCAACTGTACCAAATCACATTCATGTTTCATGGACACCAAAATTTGGTCAGGTAAGCCTGATTATTTATTCAATGGAGTTAGATATTCCACAAATTATAACAAAAGGCTCTGCACAAAGCAGTTTTCCTTTTAAAAATGTGAGTGAAGTTTTAGGAATGCTGGCAGCTAAAATTTCATGAGGTGTTTTTTGAAGAATCTCATCAGTAGGGACACAGTGATGCATATTAATTGATTTAAGGTTTCCTCCCATAAAATTCCTCAAATATTACAATGCAAACTGAACACCACAATATGATGTTTGAACTTTGTACATATGGGCTGTACCTGAGTTATTTTTACTCCTATTAAGAATTAATATGAATAGATCCAACATGTGGAGGAAAGAACTAAAAAAATAATGTTACAATTAGCTTTGGCTTCATTATAGATTTTGAGAAGCAGAGGAGGTTATAGTTGTTTTTGTGTTCTATATGATGCAAGTTTTGCAATAAACAACTAAATTAATTTCTACACTAATCTGGGGTCAACATAGTGGGAAGCTATATAGATTTTACAAAACTAAGCACTGTTTGAATTGTGATTCTATTCAACAGAGACATGTGGTAACAGTAAAACTTGTCAGGGCTGTCACTTCAAGTTGCTTAATACAGAGACTGAAGATCAATGGTTACAGAAATCCAGACCACTCAAGGGCACTGAGTGAGTGCTTTTAATTTTGCAAAGTGCATGTACTCCTGTAGCAGCATACATATTAGAAAACTACTGACATATAGTTTTAAGATATTCTAAGTTAGGTGTTTCTTGATTTTTTATTTCAGTCAAGGAAAAGTTGGCCCATGATCCAGATAGTGAAGTGGCCACTACAAGTTTACGAGTTTCTCTTCTTTGTCCAGTGAGTTCAATTTAATTTGGCATAAGATGGGGTTTATGTTTGTTTTCAGTTATTTCAGCCCTGTTCTTTTGGATCTGTACTGAAATTTATACAACAATCTATGATATGCATCTTAACATGAATTTCTGATTTAACACCAGCCATGGTTTTTTTTGTTTTTTGTTTTAATTTCATTGTTGTTCTTTTAGCTTGGGAAGACACGGATGACACTTCCTTGCAGGTAAGTACTAATTTTGTTAGAACTTACTTAGGACTGAATGGTTGTCCATAGATTATTTCCTTTTAAATAACTTGTTTGTTTTCACTTGCAGGGCCATCACATGTAACCACTTACAATGCTTTGATGCAGCTTTGTATTTGCAGATGAATGAAAGGTACATTAAATAGCTTTCACTGTTAATTGATGTTTCTTTGAATTTTCTCTTGTTGTATAAGAGCTATCGTAATGATATTTGTTTTTGTTTTTGTTTTACAAATGTACAGGCTACAAAAGTTCAAAATTTTTATTCTGAGCCACACACTATTGTAAAAAAAGAGTAATTTCTCTTACAAGTGGAAATTGAATTTTTTCTACACTGCATATTGAAAGTAAATCTCTGTTTTGTTTTAATTTAAATCTTCTTCTATTCTTTTTTTTTTTGTTGTTTTTTAAAAAAACATAAATGTGATGTTTTCTTTTCTTTTGCTCTTTAATATCCCTGTAGGAAAACAACATGGATCTGTCCAGTTTGTGATAAGAAGGCGCCGTTCGACAAACTTGTATTGGACGGGTAGGAAGCTTTTTCTCACATTCTTGTTAGGCACAGGGGTATACAACCTTAAAACATGAGTTTGGTATTACAGTGAGGGAATTTCCTTAAATTGATTTAACATAAATTCTGTGGAGTACCAATCACAAACAAGGAAAGCATCCTGCATCTGAAATCAATTGTAGCTATGTATCTCCATTTTGATGTTGAGTTGTGCATTTTACTTCTCCTAAAGGTTATAACAGAGAAATTGAGTACCCTTTAAAAATCAAGAGACAAGAATTTGATGATTTTTCAACCCAAAGTGTAACACTGCAGGAACCATTAACTTTGTTCACCAAAAACGAATTTGTAACAAACAATCAAATGTCTGAAGTGTATAAGACACTTTCAACAAAAACTTTGTATCTTTTGTTCTTACAGATTGTTCAGAGAGATTCTTGAGGCAGCTGTGAATTGTAACGAGATTTCATTTCATGAAGACGGTTCTTGGAGACCAATAAACGACTTGCAAGGTATAAAGCACCTATCTGCTTTTGATCCTTAATATATATGAATAAGCAGCCAGGTCAGTACTCCTTGTTTTGCCCACAATATCAATTGTCATGTATGTGAAATACAGTTTTCACAGCCAAATTTTGTAGGCTTGACACTTCACTTAAAACACTCCATTCACAGATACAGAAGGCAGATAAAATATTTGTGAGTCACTCAGAGCCTAAATTTTAGAGCAAGTTGACAGAAGAGTGGGTAAGGCCCTAGGAACAGCTTGTAACTGATCAGTGAAAGCACTCCATGAAACATGGCAGAGGTTGTAATGGCAGTTGTTAGTATTGGATATCACCAAGCATATTTACCCTATAAAGTGCTGCCCTAGATGAAGTGCTGCTCCAGAACAGGTGCCAAATGTGGGAGAAACATGTGAACAGTGGCTGCCCCCATACCTGTGGCACTCCTAAGCCAAAAAATGAAATAAAAGCCACCGGACTTATTTATGTAAAAGTATTTTCTTCAAATTTAAATCTCTAAAGTTGTGCAAAAACATTGAAAGTTAATAGTAGCGCTGATCTTTTCTTTCATTCCTCTTCCTCAGAACATGAAAGTAAGAAAGCAATCAGTGCACTTATATCTAGTGCAGTTGTGTCATCACCAGAAAAAAGTGTCTCATCAAGCAAACTGAATCACCAGGGTATGTCACACACATCTGTATGTTGAAAATTGTTTAATTTTTTTTGTCTCCTGCAATTGTGCAATTTTATTTATTTTAGGAACTTTTTATATTGTTCTTTCCTGAGCAGTAGGGTTCAGACTTTTCATGAATAGCCATCTCCTAACGAAGATGTTTTTCAGCTTCCTCTGGATATTGAATTAACACATAAACTCCCACGGGTGACCAAAACATAATTTCTCCATACAAAATCAATATAATATCAAGGAGACAAGTTAAGTGAATGGAAAAAAATATAAATTGTGAGATTATTAATCGATCTAATACCAAATTCTCCAAAATAACTCCTTACGAATTGTATGGCAGTCAGTTTAGGAGAGTTTTTAATGAGACCTTGGGAATGAAAGAGCTGAGTGTGTATTTACCCTTGTATACATGTAGAGGAAGGAGAATTTTGTCATTTGCTAGTAGCTGAGAGTTGCCCTTTAGAGTAACTGCCTGATTCTGATTTTTTTCAGGAGATACAAAAGAAGTCGACAATAAGAAGGAAAAAGAGTGTGACATTATAGACCTCACTCTCGACTCTGATTCAGAAAGTGAAAAGGATACAAATGATAATGATGATGATCAAGAAAGTGACAATGATCGTGATTTAAACACACCCAGGTACATTGTTTGTTTCTCAGCCCCTCATGTAGGCTGCATACACTTCTGCCAGTAAATTTCAAGAATTCTAGACCGTGGAACAGTCTTTCATTGGATGCATGGACATTAAATGTTCAATTGTTGAACCAAAATCATACTTATTCTACATTTGAGAAGTATGCAAAAAATTTTGATGTACAAAAATGAGTATTTTTTTTCTAATTTGGCCACATGATGTGGGTCATTGATGTAAATCTCTCTAGACTGGTAACATAGTAGTGTCTGAAAGTGTTCTGTTTGTATAGGCCACCCTATGGTGTCATTAACACTGCACCTGGACCTGGTGGAGTTAAATCACCTCCTGGTTTGAATCCAATGGTGTTTCCAAACAACACAGGTACAATACCTGGAACATCAACCTCATCACTGCTGAATCCAAACTTTTTCCCTCCTCCTCCACTGGACTTTCCGTGCCAAGGTACTTTGTCGTTCACCACAAAAAAAATTATATATTATCTTGATTGGTTTTTCAATAGGCAAGGATTTCAGTAATGATTTCTACAGATGACAGCTGATGTTGTAGACAGCTGTGCCTGGAAAAAGGGCCTTAACCCTGTAACCTTTTAAGAGTGACTAGCATCTGATATCTCCTTGCAATATCACCCTTGAATCAAACAGTAAGGTCATGAGAATATAGGAAATGATCACCAACTACAGCAGCTGTTGATTATTAAACAAATTCTCTTTGTCAGCACCTAGGGAAATGTATAGTGAATGGTATGGAGAATATGGATGCTGATGTTAGGGGGTAAAGGGTTAATGCAAAACCCAAACACAAGAGCTTGCTTTCAGGCTAATAAACAAACTATGTTGAGAGGTGCTATGAGTGGCAATAGACCACTGGTAACCTGCCTTGTTGAAACTCTGGAATAAGTAGAGGGAAATCCACCATTTATTGTATTAACTTTTATTATCCTTTCTGTTTCTTTTCTTTTCTTTTCTTTGTGATGGATTTTGTGTGTTATTTTTTAAGAAATTAATGTTAAACCAAGATTGAAGTCAAATTGTGACACTTGCACCTGAAAAGCAATAGGGCTAACTTTGCTCACCAATTATTTTTGCTCTTTCTTTTGGTTAAATGCCTCTCATCATCTGTCTTTTGATAGGACTTGATCTCGAAAGTATGTACCCTCTTTTTTCTCCCAACGAAACTGTAAGTACTTTTAATGAATGATAGTTTCTTTTTTGTCAATTCTGTTGCTGTTTTTGTTGTTTGTGTTGTTAGTGTTTTTATTTATGTCATAATCATTGTGTGTCAGAGAGGAAACTGAGAACCTCTAGTGTGACAAGTTATAGGTAGGTAGATAGTCTGTAGTCCTAGATATTTTTTATGTCATATTCATCTTACAGTGCGTCTGTTGATAAAGGGGCCTTCTTGAAAACCAATCGCAAAAGGATAACTTGTACTGAAGGTTCCACTTGTTTAGATACAGCCAATCGATTATAGTGTCCAGGACAACGAATCTCAGAGCATTCAGAGACAACTGGGCCTTAGCTCGTGAACTATAATGAAATCTAACTGCTTGGCTAGTCACTGTTCGGCAGTGGTTTCATTAGATTAACTCTGTTCTGCACAATGGTTTAGTTAAAAGATATTGTATGGGAAACGTATGTTTAAAAGCAGTTAAACTTGTTTTAGCTATTCTGTGTCAAATTTTGAACCTTTTTTTGTGCGTTGCTGCTGAATAGTTCATGAATAAGTTACATAGGAAAATTATTTACAAGTAATCAATGTTTAAATTTTGATTACAATGTAGTTTTTAAAAGGACTTGTCCTGTTGGCAAAAATTGTTTTTTTAGATCTAAGTCGGCTTAGTTATTTTCTTTCTATTTTTTTTGTACCTCAGTGGCTTCTTTTTCTCAAAATAATTGTGTTAAGAAAGGCTGTTTTGATATTTCGATATTCATCTCGAAATGGCACGGGAACTTGTGAATACGAAGACCTAAGTGCGTTTTCCAATTGAGTGTCGTAAAACCTAACCCAAAGTAATCGCAAAAGCTTTTAGAAGAAAGGAAAATATCACAAGATGCCAATGAGGGCTCAAAGCAAAAGCAAGCAAACCGCCCAAAGCGCGGGAAAACGCGGGTGACCTAGTCGTGATTGGTGCTAGTTTTGTGCCTGATCGGTTGAGAGAGTGGAGGGAGTTTTCCTGCCAATCATATTGTGTAGCAAAGCGAATCAAAAGCAATCCCGCATTACTTTTGACACTCAGTTGTAATAATTAACAACTCATTCGGCCACCGACTAAGCACAGTAATTTGTTTAGAAGCGAATCATTTAGTTGTTTTGTATTCAGAGTTTCTTTATTTTTGTCGTCCTCAGTATCCATGGACTCATGGACTTCTTGGTCCTCACGGGTCGTCAAATGTGATTCAGCTGGATTAAAAGCAGTAAACTGAATTGGAGAGAGAGCAAATGGATATTATTTGTTCATTGTCTGGAGACATACCAATAATAGGCTCTGTTAAGTAACCAGTGATGGTTAAAGCGCAAGATCATCATCTTCTCATCCTAGTGGTACCTTGAGGCAGTTCAATCACCTCTGTCCAATCGCAGATGTGTGCTCAAGTTCTTAAGAAACCATCCCTCGCTCTGTTTCAACCGCATCCTTGCGGTGTCTCTCATTGATCAGATCAGTTGATGCAGACTCAAAACCAAAGTTAAAATATATATGGAAACCTTATTAGTTCTATACCTTCCCATTCAGTAATTTTTGATAAGATCACAATCAAATTTTGAATTGTGGCCTGCTGATAAGAACCACTGATATAACCAATTTAATTTGTAAGATAAATATGCGAACTTTGGCAACAGCGAAAAGGTTTAGATAATTTTACCTAAGCAGTGAACGTAGTAACAACGCAGAGTTGAATACGTGCTTCCAGGCCGTGACTGGAATGAAAAAAAATCAGACGATTTCTCTATGGCGTTAGGGATACAGTTAGAGATGGAAGCCAACTCATTTGTTTCTTACCAATCCTATATCCTTGCTGTTATTTGACTACAACATTTTTTTAACAAACTTATTTCATGTTATTAAGGAAAGCTGGTCGATGTATTTGAAATGTTGCGCGCAAATTGTATATTGTCAGGAAGAAGTATTAAGAAATTTAAAGCTATTTATATTTTCTCCGAGAAGTTTAGTTTTATGCTGTAAGTACATGGATTAAAGGTTTATAATAATATTAAGATGCACAGGATCTCATTGTTTGTTAAAAGTGCATTTTTCTCGAGATGTCTTTTTGTCTGAATGCGCTTATTACGCATGAACCGTGTTCTAATAAATTATTGTACGTGCAAGTGTCTGTATTTTATCTTTCGTCGTTGATACCTTTATTGATACAATAAATTCACTAATCTTAAGAATTACTACTTCCTCGATTCTGATTGGGTTTAAAACTCCTATTTCCCCTAATTCACTTGCCAAGTTTTTATCGGACAGCTCAATAAGCCAATTACATTCAAAGTTGTAGTGTTAATCAACCAATCACGATCTTTCAGTCTTTTAATGCAAATTTCCCTTTCTTTCATAACTTGGCTGTTCTCTCGGAGATTATAATGTTATAATTAATTGGTAATAAGACTTCGTATCGTCGTGATAAACAAATCAGAATCCCGCTGCGCGGTGGTTGGTTTTGTTATCACTCGTATGATTACAGACCGAATTGGACGACATGAAGTTCCATTACCATAGCTAATTAAAACTAGAACAACATTTTTGAATGCGATTGGTTATCACCAGTCTGGTTTGAGCACTATCAGGACAGTGTGCGCGTCATGTGCGCGCACTGTTGCCGGATATTTCGCCGAGTTAACTGTTGTTCTATGGAAAACGTGTAACAGATGGCTTGTTTTTCCCAAATTTTGTCAGGTTTGACGAATTGGTAACAGAACTTCGTGTCGTCCAATTCTGTCTGTAATCATAATCACTATTGACAAATTCGTGGTCTTCCACCTTTATCAATCACTCATACCGGACTGAATTGGACTTCACTAAGTCCTACTAGCATTACTTATTCGTCTTGTTCGAAGTAGGACTGAATGAATTTAAACAGACCAAGTTACTTCTCTCGTTGGATCTCTTTTCCCCAATTCAAGCAGCATTTCCTTGTTTCTGGATACTGCAGAAAGTCGTGCCGTAAGGGGCCTTGGGCTGTTATTCAAAATTCACGGTAACTTTACGGGCCCGAAGCAATATTTTGAAATAATAATTTAAGGAATACAGAGGCAGGTTCTAGCACCCTAACCAGTCCATTATGTCTTTTTTAGTTCATATTTTTATATCATAGTTTTAAAAATTCCATGTTAAATGGAAACAGTACAGCTTAATGGACCCGTCTAGTTCCCAGGACCTTCGAAAAACGGGCTCTAGATCCTTTGATTGAAACTGGATATGAGTTTCAGTTTCCTCATGCTTTGAAATCCGTCTAGTATCTGCCAAGGCTAAAGAACTCGTTTCCCCTACCCCCAACCAACACAGAGTGCTCAGAAGAACAAAGGCAATGGTTCTCTGACAACCATTGTAGAAATGGAACGAACCTTCCAAAAAAAAACATCCTCCTTTTGTTAGTTAACGGTGGTTTTAAATGGAAGAAAAATTAGGGATATTACATGAATATTTCTCAGTTTTAACTGTGACACAATTAGACCAATTGCGAGCGGGCAGAAACATGACGGGGCTCAATTAATATAGGATACGAGGCTAGGAGGCAACCTTGTTTTGAGGTTCCCTCTTCATCCCACTCCCTAAAAGAAGAGGTTTGTGGGAACGAGGTTGGTAAGATGGGAGTTGTCCAGTTTAAATTGTGACTTAACAGCGCGAATAAATTACTTTGCGGTAAAATTCACGTTCTTTAATGAAAATATCGAGGCACTCATTTATACAATTACTAATGTAAAAGAACAATCTGTTTCTATAATATCTCCGTGTAGCCTATTAGGCTTGGCAGTTTCAGCAATAACCACAGTATCACGTAGTATTCGAAAATAAAATTCTATGCTCAAAGATTTAAATATTCCGGTACTGGAGAATTTGAACGCCTTCTTTCAGGTAAGTCAATGTTTTCTGAGCAGGCTTGAGGCTCAATGATCTCGGACTCTTCGGTGCTGATGACGACTTCTTCTCCGTGTGTTTGAATGACTTCTGCGAGGTAAACATCCGCCAAAGTTTTTGGATTCCCTTGAAACATTTTGTTGCCATCGTTGCTACTGCTCTGACAGAAGGCTGAAACATCGTTGTTGACAAAAAGATGTCGTGGAAGGTTGTCAAATGGATTCGAGGACGATGAACTTACTGAGTTGTCCAAGGTAATTAAGACTTGGTTCTCGTCCGCCTGGTCATCAACTCTCGTCTCGACTGATTCAACCCGAGATACACTGAGATTAGGAAGGGGGCCTGAAGTCAAGTAAGTGGTGATATTGATACCTGGTAGATGCGCCTCTGTTATGGTCTGAGTTGTAACCTGACCTGTAAATAAAACACCATGAACTGTATTTATATTTCATCAAATAATAAATATATCAGTATTAAACGTAAAAATCTCTTATTGACACTAAACGAGAGGTAGGATCTCTGTTCAAGGGGCGCTCTCTTTATGATTCGATACGATGCTTGATTCTCGTCAGCCTTCTCGACATAATTCGGGCAACAAGGATCAAGGTCTTGAGCATTTCTGCACATTTGAAAAACAAGAGCATAATGTTTAAACTCTCCGAAAAAATGTTTGATTTCTACGTCTGCCCTCGGAAAAAAAGGAACCTTAAGCAGAATATATAGTTAATATTCCATAACATTATTGTTTTTCCTGATCAAATTCAAATATATCCCGACTGGGATACAATTGCGCAGTTGTTGCCCGCGCGCCGAATGCAACAGCGTGTTTTTGCCACATGATTGTTAAGGGAAAATCTAAATATGCAACAAAGCACTTGATGTATGGTCCCTCGGAAAACTAGTTAGTTTTGTTTTCCCTCGAGTCTTGATGTTTCCCTAGTTACCTAGTTTTCTTGTAAAATATGACCGCTGAATACTGCGAATAAAGGAAATGGGAAATGCAACCTAATACTTGAGTGATAACAGTTAAATGCGACCTCGATCGTTCAATGAGGCTATCTTCTCACGACTGGGCCCATATCAAAGATGATAGACCTTCGGCTGAGCAGTAGGTACGTCAAGGATTCTTATAAGGTTACTTTAAAATACAACACATATTTGGGACGAGGGGTGGGTGGGGATCATGATAAACACTACCTGATGTCAGTGTTGAGACGGAACAAAACTTTTTAATGAAACCAACCTTCGCCTCCAAATTTATTCACCACACCACTATCCTCTACTTCTGTGGTTACTATGTCCAGTTCTCTTACGTCTTCCTCTAGGTGAGGCTGAAAACTAGCATCCGGTTTTGATCGTTTCTCGCTGACAGTTCTGACTATACGGCTTCTTTCATGCTCCACTGTGGTAACATTCTCTGGTTGCGCTTCACGGAACAGTTTCTCCTCCATAAGTCGCTTTTCTTTGGCTCGTCTGTTTTGAAACCAAACTTGAACTCTGTCCTCAGGGAGGCCTGTTTTCTCAGCCATCTCCTGGCGGAATCTGCCATCCGGGTATTTCTGCTCATCGAATCCAGTCTCGAGAAGGAAGAGTTGTTCTTGAGTGAAAACTGTTCTACACCGGCGGCGCTTCTCTTTGGGGCGAAAATCTGTGTCAGATATAAAGAACTTGTATTAAGTTGTTGGTTCGTCACCAGGGTTATCAAACAAAAAAGTTGACATTAGAACCTTTCAAATTTTAACTTTGCCATTAGCGACACTATTGAAAGAGGTACTAGATGAAGAAGTCTCTATCGTCAAATATAATCAAACTTGTGAGGCGTCAGTAATATCCAGTCTTTTATCTTAAGCACGTTAGTGAATTCTTTGAACACTGCGCTGAAAGACCTTTTTTAAAAGTTTACAAGCTTACATCTTTATCTATAAAATATAGAAAGACAGGCAGTGAACACCAGGGTAAATATACAACAACAGCTAAGTTTTCACCATTAGCTACTAAGAGTTATCCGCTATTTAATCGCTTTGGTTGTATAGTTCGATGTGCACTGTAACTGATCCAAAAAAATTCTCGCCATTCCCTCGGCAAGACAACTGTAAACCAACCAAGCGCGGCTTGGTATCTTTCGTTTTCCCGCGCAAAGAGCTCTCACTGGCTTCTTGAGAAATTCATCTTAATCCTCATTGGCCGATTTAATGAACTTGGCTTTTTTGGGCCCTCTACTTCAATGGCGTAATAACAAGCTAACTAATTGATCGATACAAAAGTTATTAAATACCTTCATTTTGATAGAAAGCTTGATATGAAGCAGAAGGATCAAACATTGGTCTGGAGTATGGCGGTGGGGCATAACATTGATAGTAAAATCGAGGAGTTGGATAAACAGGCATCTGAGGAAGCACGTTAGAATTTTGTGAACAGATCGTCGGCAGCTGGGTCGAAAGAGCTGGTGAGTTTTGCTGCTGTAGAAAACTTGTTGGAGCTTGCTGAGGATTAAAAACAGGCCTTGCCTCTCTCGCTTCAAGAGGAACTTGCTGAAGATTAAAAACAGGCCTTGCCTCTCTCGCCTCAAGACTTGCAGATTCGTCCCACTGTTTTCGATCGTCTTCCCCCGTAACTACTTCTTGCCTTGTTTCTTCCATGACTCTACTTTTAATTTCTTTAATTAAAACGATAAGTAGTTGCAAGATGTGATCTGAAAAACTAATTTTTCGTTACTAGTTCGTAATCATCCTATTGTGACGTAACGAAGTTCTTTCTTGAGCGCGCGCGCTGTAATCCAGGGATCAGTAACAGGGTTAACATGTCACGCGGCCTACATTTGCTTACGGAGGCTCCAAAAGGGAAAATTGGATCACTCCAGCTTTTACACATTTAATACCTCTTCTTCTCCCTACTCCTTTCGAAACCCTTTATGAATTACGAAAGTTATCAAAAAGTATGTATTAATGGTAATTGATATTCGCGCGCGGCGCGAAATTCTGAAATCTCGTTGGCTGGCGAGAGCGGTTAGTGGCAACTTAATAACTTATACAAAAAGTTTTCTTCCCTCACACAAATGCTGATATCTCATGGAAAGATAACTTCACAAAAAGCAGAGAAAGTAGTTCACAGTGTTATAAAAGTTTTGGCGCCGTTTCCTTTCACTTATCCCATTATACCACATCGCTGTTAAAACTCTTCCTTGCGTTGAATACTAAGGACCTTAAGCAAACCACGACGGCGACGGTAACGGAGGACACGAAAAAAACAAAAGATCTAATTGGCAGAACAATAGCTCAGCACATACGTTTTAAAACTTTGTACATTTCTTAGCCGTCTCGTGCAAAACAACAACGTGAAATCGCCACAACTTACGTCGTCTGCGAACCGAAACCGCGACGGCAAATTATTTCAATTTCCATTTGGAACTCAACGTTTCTTTTAAACGTTATGCTGAAGTTGAGGTGTGGCGCCGCATAAGACGGTAAACAAATGCAGCGATTTTTTAAATTCTAATTAAAGGCAGAAATTCATTTTTTAATCGATGTCTTCCTTGGCGTTGCCGTCCTGACTGCCTAAGGTCCCTATTTAAGCATTTTAGGGGCACGCCGAGGAAAATTTCCAGTAATAGATTCGGAGTTTAATTTCGCCAGAACAAGGCTGTTATTTTTGAGTAGATGAAAGAAAGGTTCAAAGAAGAGTGATTTTTACGAGTAATAAAACAAGAAAGCGAAGCTTGAAATCTTTTACCGGAAAGTCCAAAGTTATACAATGCTTACAGGAAGTTAATGTACCATGTTATCTATCTTGAGCGTCGAAAGGAATCCGTGATTGCTTTGCTTTTGCTATACTTCGCTCTTTGATTGGTCCCGAAAACTCGGGCGACCTTCTCAACCAATCAGATACAAAATTAAAACCAATCATGACTTAATCCCTCGCGTTTTCCCACGTTTCAGGCAGTTTGGTTGCCATTACTTTGAATTCTCATTGGCTATTACAGGTATTTTGCTTTCTCCTGATTGGCCGTTGTTATTTATTACTTTGGTTGTAGTTTTCCGACAACTGACAAGCGACCCTGTCTTGATGACCAACAATGGGAGCTCACCGAATCAAGGAAACTTTCTTTTGATTTTGATTTTGAACTAGAACTTAAACTTAACTTGTCAAAAAATGAAAATAAGCTGGATTCGCGAGGGCTAAAAAAATACACTGCCATCGAATGAAAATAATATAACATTTTCCGCGATGAAAATTCGTTTGAATATACTGAAATTTGAATGGATGACTCATACAAATTCACTTCAAAAAAGCAACGATATTGCACTCATCCTCCGGTGATAAACATGCGTCGAAGGGATTTATAAAGTCTTAACTGATCACCTAGTGATGGTGTGACACCTGCCTTTTCATCTCACTTGACCAGGGGCGGCGAAGCCCAGGGATTTGGAGTTTTATCCCCCCATTTTCTCGCGAAGTCCGTGGGAAGTCTGTCTAGTACGATAAAAAGAAAAGTTTTCGTTCTCGTTTTTCGTTCCGGAACCCTTGTACAACTCGCAAGCAGGCTGGTTTTACTTCGGCAGACTCGCACACGCGAGGAACCCACGAGACGCTTGTGAAGCAGCACCAAAACCTTCTTGTAGGCTTCTGATCGACTGTTTGCAAATACTTTGCTTTAACAACACTCAGAGCTAAGAGTGTTCCATGTCGGTAAGACAAAGGCGTGTAAAAAGCCAGTCTGCTTTTTTAAGACTTCCCACCTCACACACAAATTAAAGCTTAATTGCCGGCTTCGAAGAAATGTGTAAAGTGTGAGACACCCTGGGTCGTAACTGGTATCAGGACCGCACTGATAGCGAGAAAATTGCCTGAATTTTGAAGAGTTGTCAACTCAGAGCATATTGAAGCACTTTGACCACGCAATCCCGATCACTTTCGACCATCATTTGAGAATTGCTAGGAATTAAAAAGCTGGACAACTATCAGTCTTGCTTGCTATCTTTTGGCAGGGGTTGTTTCCCTTTTGTCGGGTTACGTACGAGAAGTACACTTGACTTAGAAATTCAGGTGTACTGGTCATTTCCTATTTTCCATTTTTAACAACTTCGTCCGTTGATACAATATACGCTCTGAGAGAGTCCTGCAATAGGATGTTCTGCTGGGAAAGGAAGTAGTAAATGCGTCACAATATAAATATGCGGAAAATTTGGCCTTCCTGTTTGTTACCAATCTTAAGATTAAAAAACAAAACAAACAACAACAACAACAAAACACGAATGTTTGCTGACGGCGCGATGTACTAATTGATTTAAATGCGATATCATGTGGTATCATTTATGAAGAAAATGATAATATTTTGAACTGGAAGTCAGATAAAACGTATAAACAAGACTGAGAACAGTAATCCTGATGAGAACACTTGCAACTCCAACGGCAACATTTATGGTCATATTTACAAACAAAGTTCTAAAATGATTTCGCTCTCTATGCTGGTTTTGGGCAGATCCTAGGACATTTTATCAAATTCAATGGTCAATTCCAGTTACTTCTGTAACTAGAGATGAAAACGTTATTAGCACCTGTGAACCGCTTGAGATACAGAGCTTAGGTGCTTGGTTACCCATCATGCAGCGCCAGTGTAGATTATTTTCTGTTGTTGAGTTAAGCACTTCCGGTTCAGCTGCAACGGTTGGAAACTCAACCCACGCTTGGTGACTAGTTCGAGATATTCCTCATCCTACAAACTGATCCATTTTACAATTTCAGCTCCAGTCCTGAGTAAGATAAAGAAGCCCCTTTCAGAGGAGTAACGATTGAATAAATCATATTATAGATAATGAACCGTCTTTAGAGCCTGTGTTTTGAAAGAAAAAAAAAGAAAAATAAACAAGAAAAACCTGCAACAAAGTTCTTATTGTTTATATCGTACTTGCTGTATGATTTAGCGGAAAATGTTTTTTTTGTTGTTGTTTCTGAACAGCGTAGTTTTAATTGTCTTGAGAGCTAGATGTATTGCGGAAAAATTCTGAAAAATTATTATTATTTGTTCTTTTGCAGGAGAGACCATCTGTGCGGCCGTGACGTCACCATTCACGAGTTCTCTTTATGTACATTGGCTGTTTCTCTGCTAGCTCCGTAGAGCACGAGTGAGCCATAAAACAGAAGATTTGTTTTGAATTCCGCCGGTCTATCATGAAGTTTTTATTTTTTCTGTATTTCTGAGGACTTTTTTACCGCTTTTTGCAATTTTTCTGCACTTTCCTCGTAATATTATCTATTTGCGTCGACCGCCCAGCGAATAAACAAACCGCAAAGTTGCAACTCGAAGGTCAATTTAGATCGCCGTGGACGGTGCAGCTGTTTGATCGGAAACCGACCTGTTCCCGACCGCTACCGAAGAATTCCGATCGTACCCAGTCAATTGGTTAACGAGGTCACATGGCGAAAGTAATGGTCGGGGATTGGACCTCTATACATGACGAGGCGACCCAGCAGAGTTTGTTCCCATAACAGCAACAGCTAGCAGCGAACAAGGTTGAAGCTTTCAAAAGTCCGTCGCAATTGTGCCGAGTGCCCAGAGAAATCAGCTCCAAGAAGGGTTGATTCGCAAGATCTAACACCGGCTATGGATTGTGTGAACTTTGCGGGATAAGCGTATTTTTTACGCCAACACACATGCTACTTCGAACGACATCGGCAATTGACGATTTTGGTTCGGGGACCTTGAATTGCATGTGGGAAGGCGAATAATTCTAATATCTTGTCCTTATTGAGTTGCTTGTGGAAGTTTGGTTACAAATTGTGGGTGCATTGACTGTGAATGTTTCTCCTTTTAAGCCCTATAAATGGGCTGTGCTCCTAGCATTCACGTCTCACAATCTGGAGTATTTTATTGTAGAGACGAAATTCGCGAAGGATCAAGCCCTAGACCAAGAGCATCTTCTCCTAGTGAAATTGTCGGCCATATTCGTTCAAGCTCGGACTCTGGGTCGCATATTTCGACGTCGTCTTCTTCTCGAAATCGTGGAAATAATAAAAAAGGACAAAACTCTCATCGAGGTAGTTCTATCGAAGCAGAAACACAAACTTACGACCCAAGGAGTAGTATGGAGCATCCCAAGGTAAAGAGTGTTATTTTCCCGTTTGCGATTGTCGCCGACTGAATTTAGATTAAAAGGTGTTCAGAGTACATTTTCTACAAAATTTGGGCCGTGTTGCCTTCGCAGTCCTCTGATATTTTTCTATGGATGTCTTTTTACAGAATGAAAGAAAGGAAATTTCACTTGGACCAATGAAGTTATATCAAGCCCAAATGCAGGTAGGATTTGTCGTTCGTCTTTTCTCGGTTAAAACACAAAAAAGCTGGCTTTGACTTGTGGGCGAAAGACAGTTAGAGATCATGTACAGTACAGTTGCTATCGAAGTTACCCTTCTCTCACCGACGTGGCCAATCCTTGGCCTCATTTCGACTTTTTAAGCGGATCAAACTCGTCAAACTTCGACCTGGAATAGGGTGTTGTACAGTATTTCTGTATAGTGCCTTTACACGTCCACTTTGTTTCATTGGGAACGAAGCCATCCTAGCGCTTCGCGTCAACACATTCAGAGCATTTTTCCTTTGCTCATATGCCAACCTTTCGCAATTTTGACTTACTAGACCTTTGATTTAAGTTATTTTTCACATCCTGGTAACCCCTGTGTTATCTTTACCGTTAAGAAGGAGAAATCCTCACCTATATTTCCCCGGTTTTTTTTCCACGTCAAGCGCGTAAAAAGATTGGTCTGTTTTTTGTTTACAATAGCTCTCGTCGTGTGAAAGGTCCACGGCCTTTCCTTACCTAATATTTTTGCTTGGCTTTTAAATGTTGTCTTCGCTCGTGATACCAGGAAGTCTTTCCATCCTGCCATTGCAAAACTTCGTTTTTTCATTAGAAGAGAAAGGGATCAAACTTTCTCTGAAAAATATTACATGTAATACGTGAAAGTTCTCATATCGATTCTTCCGAAGGCACCAAGATTTTCTGTTGCCTTTCGCCGGCATTTCGACTTGACGCGCTTTAAAAGTCAGAGTTTCAGTTGAATATATGTTTTTAAACTTTAATCTTTTTTATGACCTCGAGTTGACAGGTTTGATGGCGAGTTTTTGTTGTGGTCGCTATCCAAATTTCTCATAACAGTCTTTTGCGAAGCATAGATGATAACATTTGCTATCGAGAAAAAAACTGACCTATTGTAAACATCAGAAACAGGAGCTATCGCAGCTTTTAAGAAGGACGCCTCTCCGAAGTCGTTTGAATTTACTGTTACTCGATGCCAGAGTTAGTATCATGACCTTGCTTGATGATGACAACGAATCTTGTACTAGTTTTCGGAAAAAACTCGATTCGCAGACGAGGCAAGGTTGAATTTCATTTCAAATCCTTACTCACCCACAGATTCACTTTTTGATGTAAATTTCATCGCGTTTGAAACTGACATCAGAAAGAGAAATTTTTAACCTGTGCATTATGTCATTATTACTGTGTCAGATACACACAAAAAGGTCACTAGGATGAAGTGTGTCTGGTTGTGGCTTTTTCGAGAACTCATGTGTAACCCTGTGCATAGTTACTAGCAAACATTTGATAATAAACAAATAACTGATTTGGTGGATATCAGTGCAAGACAATTTTTTATTTAAACCACCTTGGATGACAGTTTTGTTTTGCTTAGTTTTTGTGTGTATGTATTTTTTTCTTGTGGAAATCAAGTTATGCTGTCTATGTGCAAGAGTAAGGCTTTCTAGATCTGTCCTGATAGATCTTGAAAAAATATAGCTGTAACTGCCTTATCAGTATAGTTAAATAGGTCAGTAATCTGATCTTGCTAGGCTTGAAGGTTTTTTTCAGCACATGATGTGTGGACTTAAATGTTTGGTCTTTTCATTTTTCCTTCCTTTTTCCTTGAAACAAAAACTAAAATACAGATGCATTTCATTTCTGGGAGTAGTGAAAGAAGGTCAGAAAGAGAAATTTTTGAAATGGCTGAATGATTGGTTGGAAAGTCTTTATGGAAAAGAAGGCTTTTTACCTCTCAGACATTTGGCTGAAAAGAATTTACATGCTTAGATTTAGTGTCTGTTGATTTATTGGTTACCATAGTTGTTGTTGGGATGATAAATGTATTGATCATATTTGATAATGGTAACATCTTGAATGTGCTGATGCACAGTTGATTGTTCATTTTTTGAGTCATGATATGGATTTTTCGTTAAATGTAATCGGGGTTTGCAGCATATGAAACATATTTTGCTGCTACTTTATGTTACGCTGGTTTCATTGATTTTACAGTCACAATGTACAATTTTAAGTGGAAATTTTGAAGTTTTTTAATCTACTTTTCTGGTTTGGTTAGATTGGTTGTGTGAGACATTCTGCAAAAAGTCAGGGATCGTATTCATTTAGTCTGCACTATTTGAATTTTGTTACCAGGGTTCATTGTACTGTTGTTATTTTATTTTTCCATCTACAATATTTTCTCTTTTTGTAATTGTAATGAACTTATCAATGGTTTTCCAGGGATAATGTGAGCCTTGCACATAAGCAAGACACCAGTAGCAAAGTTGGCAAGTATATTTTGTGAATGAGCTATGAGGGGGGGACTTCTTAATCATATATACCATATTTATTCAACTATAAGCTGGGCGATTTTTATACAAATTAAAACTGAAGTGAACTAAAATTTGGGCTCTAGAGGGGGTCTCAGCTCATAGCCAAAAGTTTTGAAAAAAATTTTATCCAGCGCACAGAAACTCTGCTAAATTAGGATGTATTTACTTATAAGCCAAGCTAAAGTAAAGAAACACACTATACAATCATTGTTTTGGTGGGTAGGCTGACAAAATGGCGGCACTTCCATTTCTGGTACCAGCTTAGGGATGCTTTTAAACTCAGAATCCTTGCTAAATACTTTTGCCTTTAGATGTTGCATCAATCCACTAACAGCTATTTTGAAATAAATGATTGTGAAAAAGGTACTGGTGATGCCACACAACAACACAGTTAGTTTTAAACTGATATTTTGGATCACATTAATTCATCTGAGTTATGATTCATTACCTTTCAATTGAATAGTTAGTTACGGGTAATATTTATTAATTTGCGTGTGTTTTCTGAGAGAGAAGATTTTTGGTCCTTTGCATATTAAATCACCATTGTATCTCTTGTAAATGCTCATGTGTTATTGTCTAAGCCTCATTTATGACAATCAATGTGATTTTTTCAGAAAATGTTAGGTTTTTCCCTTAGTTAACAATTCAGTCTTGTAATAATGAATGGGTCTCACCTTATAGCTGGGTGTTTTCGATTTATTTTTGGTTCTTGTTATGCTAAGTCTACACGTACAAAGTTTGGGGTCTTGGCTTATAGCGGAGATCGGCTTATAGCCGAATAAATACAGTATTTAATTTTTGAGAATGACCAAACTAAGGGTTTGGTCAGCTTGTGTGAATGCTTGTAACTGGATGTAAATTCTTTTCCAAAAATAAATTTATCCAGATCAATTGGGTTTGGATGCAAATCTCTGATTGAAAAAGATATTTGCTCTAATTTTAGAAACATGAATTTCTTTAACAAACAAGATTTGGTTTAACAATTTGATAATTGTGTAATATCTATTTTGGAAAATTTACATGCACTAAACCAAGAAAGTGGGATTTTCATATGTTATGGCATACAATTTTCTCCAATTTAACTCTTTTGTGGGCATATAAACATTGTCCACCTCTTCTCTGACTGTCAGTCTCCATGTCTGTTTCCATATTTGTCTGGTTCTTGTTTACTGCTGAGTCACTACATTTCTTTGAAACACTTTTGAGTTTTTACTTTGCATGTAAAGATTGTCTTGCAGCTTCCAAAAAGTTCCTTTCAAGTAGAGTGTCACTTTAAACTTCCAAGAATGAATGTTCACTACCATGTTAACTCATAGTTTTACTTAAGAAAAAAATGTTTATCTATCTTTGATGCCATTTGTTTCTTTAAAGTATTTTTTATTTTTAATACTTACTCTGGGAGGCATTAAACAAGCCTGTCTGTGTGTGCGTAACAAAAAGTTTGTCTAAACTTTACCTTTTTTTTTGTTGTGATCAACATAGATATAGTCAATTCACTTCACCCATCTGACTTTTATATAATCCATTGACTTCTGTGGTTTATTAGTAAACTATAATTGTGATTCTAAATTGTCAATGGAAGAACTGATTTAGAACTTTGTGAAAAACCACTCTGAAAAATCTAAGGATTGCATGTTAGAATGTTTTGTGGTTTCATTTATATTGTTACAGAATGTTGAAATACCTTTTTGATGAGTGTACTGTTTATTCTAAACTCAGTTTTATAGAGAAATGCTCATTTATTGGGAATAAATTGAAATTGTTGTTTTTTCTGTGCTATGTCATCAGAATACTTTATTTACTGCAATAAACCAATGTTCTGACAGCACTTATTGGAAGACTCTTCCAACAAAAGATAAACAAGATCATGCAAACCTAAAAATATTGTTACTTCCTGTTTTAATTGTTCTAGATCATGCTGGTGTTTTCAAAAGAAGATGCTCAGACTGACAGCTTTCTTCATGCAGCCGAAAGAGGTGGATATTTATGTCAAATTTGTAAAACATCTGAAGAAGCCATGGAACAGTACATAAACATTCAGCCAGAGGTGAGTAGGTATCAGTAATTTGATTATATCAGCCTTATGATGTTATGATTAAGTCTACTTACTTCCTGACACTCCAAAGCGATTAGTGTGTGATATCCCCTTACTAGTATCCTGTACATTGTCACTCTGAAGGGTGTGGAGAATTGAGACAGTACTATTAATCCTCAGACTCCCAAGATCTGATTGTTAATTCTCCCCTCTAGGTGGTACACATTTACTAGTTAATCGCCTCTGGGAGTTAAAGGGTTACGCAAGGAATGTTTTGAGCATGAACATGCGAAAACACTTCCATGAAATTCTTTTGTGATTAAAGGATCATCCAACAGCTTTACCGAGTTTTGCATACTCTACCCTGCAGTGCTAGAAAGTGAATGATACTGCATAAGTTCAATTTTCTTCCAGCTCAAAATGATAAAAATTAGAGCAAGTTTCACACATTTGTTTTTAACACTCTTCATATAAGCAAACTTTTCATCTAGGCTTCTCTTTGTCAAGGGTAGTTGTGTGCTTGAAAATGTATTTGAACACATCGCAATGCCTCTTGCTACTTGGGAGTATGAGAGGGTGCCAGCAATATGTTAAGGAAACCTCATAGAATAGTGAATTAGGAGTATCCTGTACTCATTTTGTGTTGGTGGATCATGTTGGTGTGGCTCCATAGGGTGGCAGCAGGATTTCAATGTGTCTCTGTTGGAAGTGGTTTTTGCTAATTTTCTTTTCTGGAATAGGAGTAGTGCTTCCTGTTAGCATTGCCCCAATTATTGTTGTAGAAAGAGCTGGATTTGACTGCTAGTTTTTTTCATGCAGCATTCATATAATGAAACGTCCAAATAATCTAGTGTATGAAATGGGAGGAAGATAAGCAATATCATATCATCTGGAATCTTTAACATGACTTACCTCAAAACTAAGTACTGGTAGGCTCTGAAATTCAGGAAGAAGTAATTTTGGAGACAACTTCCTTAGTCATGGAGTCAAATTTGTTGAGTAAAGGGCAGTGAAGGTGCAATCAGAATGAACATGAAGTTGAGCGGAAAACCTTTAATATTAATAAATGAGTCAACTGAACAAGACATGAAGCTCTAAGTTGTTGGTGTTTCCAAGAATTGAGTTACTTGATTTTATCATTTCATAGCCCTTCAACCGCAAACAGTGACAAATATCTAATTCCTCCTGACAATATCACCCCACAATCACACAGTAAGGGAAATGATCACCAACTAAAGAAGCTCTTGATTGTTAAATGAATTCTCCTTGTCAACACCTTAGGAATTGTATAAAAAACAGTAAGGGGAATATGCATACTGTGGTTAGGGTGTAAGGGTTGATTACAATCTGTATTTTTTTAATGATTGAAATATATATATCTCATTAGATATTTTGGTGTTTAGTATTGCTGAGTATTTCAATGAGTTGTGCTGTATTTTGTCAAGCCAGTTGGGCAAGTCAAAGTACAAACAACGTGTAAAAATACTCAGTGATACTACACACCAAAACATCTATAGGTTATTTATTATCCAATTGCTTTTTTTTCTGCCAAGTTTTTCTGCTCATTTCTCATAAGATGGGAAAAGCAAAGTGGATAGAGAAGTGTAGTGCACAGCCAGCTGGTTAAACAGGTTTTTTACAGTACAAAATAACCAACTGTCCAAATAACCATACAATATTGCAGGATACTTGTACTCAATTTGTGTGTTATTTTGACTCTACTTTGTGCAGTTGGATAATAAAGAATATGTATTGCTATTATATTAAAAAGACCATGCTCTCTGTAGTTGGACCTATTTGTTTAGGTCTAGGAATCATTTGGCCTGTTATTTTCATTAGCTCTAACCCAAACCATGGTTTTAGGCCACCAGAAGGCCCCAGGCTCTCTTGGTTTTGTCCAACAATAGCTAAATTAGTTTAAATAATTAGACAGTCATTTTCATGGAATGAGTCCAAGAAACTTACTAATGGGAATCTCTAATGAAGTCACTGATTCACTCTCACAGCGGTATATTATCTTGGAATATTCCAAACATATGATCATCACCTAGTTTGCATTTATTTCAATGAATGATCATTACTTTCAGGTGATATTTATTGACATGAGAGGAAATTCTGTCATTGATGGAGAAACACTTTGCAGGTAATGTAAGCTTGCTAGTTCTTATAATGAAATCTCTGATTTGCGTGGTGAAATGCTTTTTAAGCCAACAAGCTTAGTTGGTACAAACTCTTAGAATTATTTCTGGAGAGTGATTATTTTTCCCTTTTGAAATATCCTTTATCATTGTATCATTTCTTCTTTCAAGCAAATGTTCAGGGAAGTTTGTTCTTTATTAATTAGCTTTAGATATTTAAATCAAAGGTGTCCTGGCCGTGTGTACATGTGGAGTGATTTCTTCTCTTTCTTGCCATCAGTATTTGTAGTTTTCTGTAATCTTTCTTGTTGAAATGGAACTTCTTTTGCTTTTTCACAAGGAGCTGTCAATTTTGGAGTTTTTCCCCTAAATTCTTAGGCAATTTTGGTCATTGCAATTGTCTTGACATAAATCATTAATTCAAGAATGCCTATTGAGGAATGCTCAATGATTTTTGCACCATGTAACCAAGCTAAATTTATGAAGATGAAATTTGTTTTTGGTCACTCTTATTCTAGTTTTTTTAGTTTTCCTCGCAAAATATATCAAAGTTTTCTTGCTTATTTCCTTGTATGAATTTACTTGGGGGCTGTTTTTAATTAGAAGACAAAGCAACAAATATCCTACGGGTATTAATTAAGGAAGCTTTGATTGTGGGATAAAGAAGACTATTTACCTCCATGGAGGCTCAGAACGTCATCCTGTTACCATTGTGCCATAGGATACTGATGGAGAATTCGGAATTAGCTGGGGTTAGGTACTCTTGCAGGAATGATATATTTCTTTGTGCAACAATGCCGACAAACACTTAACATTTCTCTTTGTCTTTCTCTAGTAGATGAACAAGTTCAAAATGTAGCTAAGAATTTGCTCTCTCTCTTTCTCTCTCTCTCTCAACGTCCATGTTAAAATATTTAAGCTAGCTGATATTTTTGCAAGTGATTTAGGATTCCAGAGCATAAGTTTCCTTCTGTTTCCTTGGTAAACAACTTTTTTTATATTTGTTCCCAGGCCAAAGAGAAATATAAATCAAACTAGTGTGAACATTTTGAACTGCAAACTTTACTGAAAATGACATGTAACATGATTTTTTTTTTTTACAATAGCTCAACAAATGGGTTGTAATCTATTTGTTTTTTCTTGGAAACAAGGAGAACCAGAAAAATAATTTTAATTTAACCATGTTTGTAAGTCAAAGAGCACATAAAAGAACAAGCTTAGGAAAATTAAGACAAAAAAGTTTTTGAGATGCATCAGAGACCCACACTTAAACCAAGGCCTGGATTTTGATAAAAGCCAGTTACTGGTGATGTACTGCTACCTATGGGACCTCTTACTGTTGTCTGTTTTGCCTGCAAACAGGCGTTTGTGTTTAGGTTTCACCCTATTGCCCCTTTTTCTGGACATGACTGGCTATTGCACAATCTGCGGCCGCTTAGGGGGAAAAAATTTAAAACCCTGCTAGGGACTTGTAATGTAGTGCAGTTTCCTTTTGCTATATCTTGTATGATTTAGAGTAGGATTGTTGCCTAACTTACTAAATAGTATTTTTTTTTCACTTTTTAGGATAATAAGAGCAAAAGGCCCACGAGAGAATTCTATAATTATTGCTGTAGTCAAAGGGAGGTGAGAGACCTAGTACTATTTACAAGCTAATTTTTGTGCACTCTACACTTCTAGGAAAATTTAAGACTGACTTTTTGATCCACCATCTCATGAACTCTCTTTTCTCAAAATGATAAGAAAGGGTTTGTCTGCCGCTCTTCCTTTTATCCACTTTCCATGAAGAGGTGAAACTGAACTTGCCAAAGAATTGTTGCTACTTGTGTTGAACATCCATTTAATTTTCAATTTTTCAGGGTTTATGATTTGTCTACTAGAAAAATTTTTTTCTTTTTCCTATGGCAATACCATGGTTGCAGAAGCTATGGTATTAAAAGCTGACTTTGGTTACTTAGGAATTGCAAAGCTAGTAAATCTGAAATGCAGATAAAGATGTCATCCTATATAAACTGGGGGGTTGTGGATTTTAGCACAGAAATATCTTTGTTTCTTTGGTGACAGAGCTTGCATTGGCCAAATGTTATTAGGAAGTAGAAGTGTTTGTTTGGAATTGACCACTTTGCTTATGTCATGCTTTTTTTATTTTCATTCAGAGATCATCCTTCTTTCTTGTTAATTAAACTTTCATGATAATCCTTTTTTAACTCGCAACGAAATGTGACCCAAAACTTGCCAATGTTTACAAAGAAGTGTCATTGAAAAATGACAATTATGGGGTTACATGTTTGTGTTGAGTAACAGATTCCTCTTAAATTCAACAGATGTATTAACCTTGACTTGGTTAACTAGTTGTCTTTTCATGCGAAAGATTTAAAAAATTGTTATTGCATGACTGAATCAAATTGGTCCATAGTGAATATTTCATGTATGCATGGCATTATCTCAGGAAATCAGTTGAGGACAGGGAAAGCATTTGTACATCTTAAATCTGTTTATTGTAATCTTCTTGTCAACTATGCATGGTATGGAATGTTTCATGAACCTGCATAAAGTGGTTATTGTGTGTTGTTCAAGTAACAGCCTCCAAGAAAATACTTAAGGGTGATCACTTAATGATGTGTGCGTGTGTCATTCATCTGACAAAACTGATCATGACTTAAGAGAATTTGTATTTTTATAAAAGAAATGGAAGTTTTATGACTTTAAGCTCGAGAATGTTTCTCTTGTGTAGTTTAGATGTATATACTCATGACAATCATATTTATATCACCCACTGGTGTGCCTGTCTGCCTGAAAGCTGCTTAATCTTCTTTGTCTGTGTTTTCCACTAAGCTATTTCGACCTCCTTTCCTTCCGGACAACCTGTGCACTTTGCTAAATCAGGTTTTGGTTACATTAGCAAGCTTTATTGAATTACATCTCTGTTTTACGGAAATAAGAGAAACAGCATGTGTTGTTATTTGTTTTCATAAACAAAGATAATTAACTTTATTGAACATGTGATGCTTCTCCAAATTTGCTTGCTCTTCTAAGACATTAATTAATGTAAGATGTTAATCACTAACTACACTCTATTGCCATTTCTAGTAAAACGAAATCCCACTGTCTTCGCAAAATTTTCACATGTGGCCTCAGGAGGGATCGCAGGTCTGGTTACTCTCACTTGCGTGCAACTTTCAAATTAGACTCTCCTTTGCAAGTTACAGGCTACATGTGTCCATAGATTTGCCCTTTGATTGCAATCCTAGCTTTAAATTGTGCAGTCTGCCAAGTTATTACATAACAAGCTTTTGAAAAAAAAAATTATGACCATATGAGCCACTGTGCTTGTGAAGGAAAGTTTTCAAGTTGAAGTTGGCAGCAAAGTGCAGTCAGCAGATATCTTTGAATGTTGTACAGTGAAGTTTGTAACAGTCTTACAGTGTACTGTGTTGACAGCAATGCAACTGTAAAGTTAAGCAGCTTTCACAAAAGACAGTAGTCACACCAGTGTCTTGTCAAACATTTTGCACTAATATTTTAATTTTGTTCATCCAGTTGCCCCAAAGATAAAAAACCAGACCCTACCAATTGATAATCAATCAGTTTTTGATTTTGTTGTAAAATCTAAACAACATTCCATTGGTGACTGTTTCCTAGTTCTTGTTACCTGTTTGGTTTATTCAAATTTTGTTATGAGAATTCACTAAGTGATCACTCCTTGGATCAAAGGGTAAAGGGGTAAAGTTTTGATAATTTAGGTGAAGCTGTTTAATTTGTTTTACTGTAAGCCTAACACTTCAATTTAAAGCCCTTTGCAAATGAATAACCCTGTGAAATGTTTTCTAAGAGTTTGAAGTGTTGTGATGCACTTTCTCTTGTATTTCATATTGCACTTGTGTTGAATTAAGTCACATACATATATCAGTCCTGACAGACTGTTAACATGTTTCCATTTTAGCCCACGAAGTGATGAACCATCGATGCTTCCACTGCTAAAAGCTGGATTTGACCGGGTGAGAGTGCTTTCTTTCATTTTAAAGATAGTAAATTGTGTCTTGAAGTACAGATTTGCAGTTATGGAAACTGTTTCGGCTCCACTTCTCTATAAGCTAGAATGACTAACACTCTCACCTGTAAGAGTACTAACAAAAGGTCAGGAGAGTAGAGGAAATGATCACCCACTAAGGCAGCTCTTGACTGTTAAATTATTTTTGTTATCACTTAAGGAAATGTATAGAGAACAGTATGGAGTATATGTAATCTGATATTGGGGTGTAAAGGGTAAAAGGGAGTTTAGTGTGCATCTCTGTATTTGTCATAGCAGAAATATAATTTCTCCCAAAAAAAAATCCTGACAAAAATTAACTTTTCCTTTTAGCGGTTTGTTGAAAATGCTAATGTTGGGGCTTGTCATAATGAGTTGCTGATGTTGGAACATGGAGAAGTTCAGTCAATGTTTAAACTGAGGGCAACAAGCTGTCTTTTTAGTGCAATCGAGCACTCCACTGATGCTGTAGAGATTGCCAGTGCTGACCCTGACAAGCCAGAGTTACAGGTAGAGGTACAAAAAAAAAACAAACAAATTTCATTTTTGTTTTAATGTAATGTTTAGAGGATTGCACTCATGGAATAGCACACAGCATATATTTCTTGTACAAAAATTTAATTGATGGAAAGAATATTGTGAAACAGTAGTTTGTAATGGATAGCAAGAAAGAAGAACTGAACTTGTCATCTTATCTTTAAGTCTGTATGACATACCATTAAAACATTGTTATTTTTAGGTAAAAATTTCTGTTAGTTCCTACATAACTTCCACTCGATAGTCACAAGAGCCATATTTGTTGACAATCAGTGCAACTGGTTTAAGATACTTTGATTTCAAAATCATAAAGGTAAAAAAAGGTGACACATTGTTACAACTTTGTGTGGGAGGTAAGAAGAAAGACTCAAAGTAATGGCACTCTAATGGCTAGCCTGAAAATGGCAATGATCTGTTAGAGATGATGATATGGTCCTCTTGTACAACCCACAAGGTTGCCATTTTTCTGTTTCAGGAAAATCCTAGTATTTTAGGAAAACAAGATGGCAGATGGGTAAAAAAAGATGGGGAAAAAGTTAGGAGCTTCTGTTCAAGTTATTTATTTATCTTAGTTATAACATTTTAAACTATAAGGAGGTAATTACTTTAGTTCTAAGAATTTTTTTTTGTGGTGCATTTTCAGTACTTTAACCCTGCCTTTGAGAAAATGTCTGAAGCTGTTGGGCATCCACAGAACTTCATGATGAACAGTGAGCATGAGAAACCTGTAAGTTCTAAAATGGATTAAGGTTTCCAAAAATTGAAGAAATTATTTACATTTTCAGGAAGATGATTGAATGATACTAACACAAAACCCTTACGTAGTGGGTCATTTTAACTCCTGGGAACATTAGAGTAGGACAAATATGAAATTTGGCTGATTGATTAGGATTAGCCTTTTCATCCCCAAGATCTTATTAGTAATTCTCCTTACTGTCTGCCATACAATTCTTATGTTAGTTTGGAGAATTTGGTGTTGGATCCACTATTACTGTAATCCCCTAATTTATAATTTTCTCTATTCCCATTTCTCGTCTGCTTGATATTGTATTGATATTGTAAGGAGAAATTCTGTTTTGGTCACTTGTGATATTCAAGAGGTTAATAACATTTGAAATGATGTTCTTTTTATTTTAGGAGTTATATGAGTCAATTCATGCACACATAAAGAAAGGGAAGGTAGGTTGTTTGTTGTTTTTTTTTTTCCAGTATTTAACTTTGTGAAAATTTATTTTTACCATCAGTGATCATGCTTTTTCTTTTTTTCCTTCTCTTTTGTACAATTTTCACTTTCCACTGTTGCTTTTCAAGATAATAATAATAATACAAACAATAACAACAAAATTGTTGCAGGCTAGAGCATCATCATCTCCATAATCATCATTATTTTCATCTTAACTTCTCCTCCTGTGCCACCCCTTTCAGTAAAATAATTTCATTATTTGTTTGGTCAGTGTTTGTGATGACTTAAAGTGAAGAGGAAGTGTTTTTTAGATGATTGTTGAATTTGTGGATCATTGATGAATTGTGCATGACACAGAGTTTGTTTGAAGATCTTAGATCTAAGTAGTAATACTATGTTGTCTTCTATCTGTTTACAGCCATGGGAGGGAAAAGTAGTTGGGAAAAGAAGAAATGGGGATAGTTTCTTACAAAATGTGCATATCATTCCCATCATTGGCAAAGGAGGGTAAGTATTTGATGTGAAAAGCCACAAGCAAGCTAAGATACAAATGGTTAGTTCATACTTCCTCTCTTAAAATCTCAACAAGAATGCCCTGCACTGTCAGCTCTACATTTCTTTTAGGTTTCCCCTAAGAATTTGGTGAAAAGTTATATAATATCCATTACTTAATTTTATCTATCTTCTCATCACCCTTCATCTCAACAATGTACAGATATTTTAAGGAAAAATTAATTTTTTTGGTCACTCTTCTCTTTAGAACACAGTACTTAAGGTGGTTTTGCTTGGGAAAATCAATTTGAAAACTTAGTATTTTTTTACAGCAGGCACAAACATGTAGAAAAAATTTCATCATATATATTATTGCACTACCTTATGTCTGGCAAACTACATGTCTCCTATCACATTTAATCAGATTGGATTTTAAAGCTGTGTTTTGGCAGAGGGGAATGTCACACGGCTCTAGCTTGTGGTGAATATGTACAACTCTGCTTTTCAGAAAGGTTTTAATTGCTGTCCACCTCAGACTTCTGAGTGGAGAGCCTTCACACACCTTCCTAGAGCACAGGTGTGGATTAAAGTGAGAGGGGTTTGGGAATGGTAACATTCTTATAGCACTCTTCTTTGACGCACAGGAAAGTTGCTCACCATGTGACAGTGAAGAGAGAAATCACCCAGGCTAATCCCCTGAATCAAGTCAACATGAATATGGAGGTTAATATGCATATGGAATCAGTAAGTGTAACAAAGTGTATTATATTGTAAAATAGTTTTGGGTTAGTCATTGTGGGAAATTACATTTTCAAAAGAGAAATGTAATCATTTGTCACAATGTGGTCACTTCTGATGCAGATTGTGATGTATCAACTGCATACTGCTGGTCATCTTCAGGAGATGAGGTTGATCCACTTCCAAAGTGACCACATCATGAGACAAATGATTACATTCCTCTTTTGAAAGTGTATTATTCACAAGCATATCAGTCTCTCTCGCACGATAAGGGTGTTGGACTTTAGTCTCTGAAACCAGTTGATTGCAGTTTTTGTCACCCATAACCTCCAACCTGTCCATTCAAGGTAAAGCTATCAAGATCTCAAATAACCCATCAGCTTAGGGTTTAGACTCACTGAGCTCTCAAATGTCCTTCAGTTAACGATGGCAGTGTAGTTGGGGAGACGACAACAAAAGTAGAGTTTGGCAGAAATATGGTTGTGCAAAAATACATAGTTTAATTTTGTCTGCATGTAAAGCTAGAATTTTTTTGATAGTTTGATTACAATTTCATGTCTGTTTTCTTCATAGCCAACTACAGCCAGTGGTGTAACAGAACAAGTTCAAATTAACACCTTAAATGGTTAGTGGTAATGCTGCCTGTGATACTGATTAAAGGAGAAGTGTGTTTTCAGAAACCATATGATAATTACCTTGGGCATTCAAAGAATATTTAACTTTTTACACCTTAATATCAGTATGCACATTCTACAAACTGTTCTCCACACATTTTTTAAGGTTCTGACAAGGACAATTTATTTAAAACAATCATTGGCATCTTTAGTTGGTGATCATTTCCTTTATTCTCATGACCTTAATGTTTGATCAAGGGTGATATTGGAAGGAGAAATTAGATTCTGACAACAATTTAAGATTCCAAAGATAAACCTAACTTTTAAAAATTGTTTCTCTTTGTGTTAAAAATGGGCGGCAGATTCTGTCGTGTTGAACCTTACTTCCCTTTCTACAAGAAAAATTTATTTTGGAAGTGTTCATGTTTCCAAAACTGTTTCACTGTCCTGTTTGTGATACTGTGCTTAAGGATTTCCACAATAACTCTTAAACTCCCTTTTTCATTTTTCATCTATTCGTGGTCAAGATGTTAAATGTTGCACAGACTTTTGCAAGCGCTAATAATTTCTTTATTTATAGGAGGTATTCTTAGAAGACATTCAACAACAACTACGACTAAAATAGAGGCACCCATTACAAAAGTGAGTCATATTCTTGGGTTTTCCTTGAAATGTTTAATTTTTAATGGAAGCATCAAAATGTGTGTAATTTACTTTAAGACATGCAGCTGAAAGATTTTAATTGCTGCCTCTTTTGCGAAATAATGTCCTGTTTGTGGAATGCTTCAAGCTGTATTCGACAGATCTTATTTGTGAATCATTACTGTGTTTTGGTATTACAAGATGGAATACAGGTGCTCCACTACTACATTCACAATTTCATTAAAAGGCTTGAAATTTTTGTGTGAGGAAAATTTTCGTTCAGTTGTATGGCTGGAAATACATTCATATTTTTTCTATGATTTAGGCAATATTTAGCTCTTTAGGCCTATGTAAAGAGAGGTTCCCTGTGCTATCACGAAGTGCCTTTATCTATTAATTAATAATTTTTGTTTCAGGTCATAAACATGCTGTCTGCAGCGCAAGAAAATAGTCCCATGTCTGTAGTACAAGCACTAGATAGAGTGCTGGTAAGATATTTTTCCTTTTCTCAACCTCATAGTTTCATTCGTTTTTCTCCCCTCTAAATATAATTTCTTTGTGATCCAGTTAAGATAATTTGGCATTTAATCAAGACTGATCTCTCGCTGATGCACTTTTTTATTCTCATCACTTGTTTGTCGGTTTATGTCTTGCAATCGCGAGGACAACTGAAATGTTAATAAGTTCTGGAGGGTAAAAGGTTCGAACCTTTCAGCGTCTGCTGGAGACAAAGCTACACCCCGAAGCGGTTCTATTTGAAGTCCGGGCGTACACTGAACGCAGCGCAGCCACAAAATGAAAAAAAATTGTTACTTTACAGTTACTTAGAGGAGAAAACTTGGGGGGAATGCATCTTAAAACATTTTTGTTTTGTTAGGAAATTCTACGGACAGCGGAATTATATTCCCCTTTCACAACAACTGAAGAAGACATGATGACTAATGAACTGGTCGGAGGTCTCATGAGCAATGTGAGTTTTATTCATTCAAGTAACTCATTCGATGGTCTGAATTCTTCCACAGTTTGACGTTTGTCTTCATTCATTACGACATTTCTATTTGACCTTTCATTTGAATATTATAATTTATCCGGGATTGCACTGGCTTTGATCTTGTTCCGTTTGTTATTATTGGCCCAAAAATCTCGCCGTAAAGCAGTTTTCAGTTAACGCTCTTATAACTAAAGGAGCCATAACAGCCAATCGTAAAAATAAAAAGCTCTAATCAGCTTGTGCTTATTTTGTTTTTTGGTTTTACCATTAATGATTATAGCCTAATGGTCGTTTACTATTTGTTGTGTTCCAGGGCCGAAGGAGACCCTCCTGTGACGTTCCTAAACCAAGTACGAACTTATTCTACACATTCGGCAGAGGTCCGAGGCTAATACTTACACTTCTTTTCTAACTTTCATGTTAACGTTTGCTCTTAATATTTTAATGGTTTAATATTAAGGTATTAAATCATTTTAACCTCTTCCTCCTCTCTAGAAAGAACTTAATTAATTACTGATCTTTGTGAATGATTTGAAAATTGACAGAATGAGGAATTTAACATAATGTTTTGAGAGGTAAACTAGTTTTGTTGGCGATAAGCTCTCGTTGTAATTTGCTTCGTCCATATTTCTTTGGACAGGTCATACCACATCGAGCACTGTACGAACCCCACCCATCTCACACCTCCAAGAGGCCCCACCTGAAGTTATCGCTTCTATGGTTGACGAGGCAGACTGGGACTTTGATATTCTCAAGTTGGAAAAAGCCTCCAATCACAGGTTTGTTTAGCGCCGTCTTATCTGATAATCACAAGGGCGTGGCACGGGTCCATGGGGGAGGAAGGGGACGAGGGGGTCAACGGGTATATACAGCCTCCTTTGTGCCCCCTAATGCCTGCCTCCACCCAATGTCATTGTCAGAAGCAGTAGTAGTTTCAACAACTGGGTCACTAACCTCTTGCTACCTTTCTTTCATTTGGAAAGAGACTTCCCGGGGTGAAACATTAATATCAACGACTCTCAAATTTTGGTAGTTAGGGGGCACTAAACCTCTACTTTCTTGTCTCCATTTACCTGAGCTCTTAGAACGTTGTTTGTTTGGAAAAAGGTGAAATCCAAGTTAGTCGCAGCGATGACTGACAATCTAAGGAGCCTTTGAGAACTCCGTGTATCCCACTTTTAGAGCGGGAACGCGTGGTTGGCCAGGGTGTGTTTGGTTTTAAGTTTTGCGTCTGATTGGTTGAAAGTTTGTTGTGTTACTTCTAAACCAATCGAAAAGCGTAGTAGGCAAAGAAAAACAGTACTATGCCGTATTGCTTGTCACATTTCATTGTGATGGTTCAAGCGAAGAGATAGCGTTGCTTTTCAAAATTTTCGAAGTCAAAGTCCTATTTGTAATTTGATCAACTAACACGTCGTGACTATCTTTAGGCCCTTGTACTTCTTGGGAACGAAGATACTGAACAGGTTCAGGGCCTGTGAATTACTCAACATTACCGAAGATGTTCTCAAGAATTGGTTACAAGTAAGTCGCTGTGTCCATGTTCTGTCTTTTTACGGAAAGGATCTTTCATGGTTCAGCTTTACTTTTCTCTACATCACACACACAACAGTCATTTGTCTTATTCGATGGTTCAACATATGGTACGAGCATTGAGCACACAATGTTCGCTCGTAGTTAACGTTAAACCATGGAATAAGAAAGCTTGAATTGAGTCGGGTTCCCGTACGGAAAACAAAATACAGACAATATATGAGTTCCTTTTATTCCTAACGCCATGTTATGATTTACTCCGGACGGTAAAGTACGTGAATTCTATCCTATCTTCACAATATTCACTCTGGCAGTGCCACTCTCCACACGGGATTACAGATTGGTATTAGTGCGCCGCCAGGAAAGCCTTCAGGCTTTTTATTTCATTTATTTATACATTTTTTTTTCAGATATACTGATTTCCGTTCATATGTTCTTGTTTCAGTTAATAGAAGAAAACTATCACTCGAAAAACGCCTATCATAACTCCACGCACGCTGCTGATGTCTTGCACGCAACAGCAGTGTTCTTAGCAAAAGAAAGAGTGAAGGTAACATCATCTCAGATTATAGTATCTACTTTTTTTTTATTGTTGTTTTATGTGTTTTCGTGTCGTTGTTGATGTCGTTTTTGTCAATACCAGCGTGCTTGATAACTGAGAACGGGTTGACAAAATTTAGAGTATTGAGTGGAAAGTTTGAGCGCGTTTGTAATGTATCTCCAGCAAGCTTCGGTTTTTCGAAGGGTGGATTACACTATCACTGAATAAATATCCATCCGATGGATAGCTCAATACGTTTGTTCACACCTATCCGCTGAATAGCGATTTATCCGTTGGATAGCGTTATCCGCACTCTGAACAACTGGGCCCTTCCCTCTATTTTTAGTTTTTTTTTTGTTTTTTTTTTAGTGAATAGTGCACAAATCGTAGTCCAAATCAATTTTATCCTCTGGCGATTCAGTGCCATTAAAAACGCACGTAAATTGTTTCGCAAACTTTGTATGTTTCAAAGATACGTCAAGATTCCTTGATAAAAAAATTTGAGCTTTAATACATTTTCCTTTCATTGTTAAGTTAGTTCTGTCAAATAGAACATGTAGTGCAGGACATGATCTGTTAAGGAGAACCTTCTCCCTTAAATCATTCCTTTCTTGGTTATGTGATTTGAATTCAGAGGGAACGATTCTATTTACTTGTTATCTTAGTTGCTTTTTCTGTGAAGTCTAACAAGTTTTGTTGATACGATTTTTTCTTTACTTTGCAGGCTGTTCTGGAGCCACTCGATGAAATAGCCTCGTTAATAGCAGCAGTTGTTCACGACGTAGACCATCCGGGATACACAAACTCGTTCCTTTGTAATGCAGGAAATGAGCTCGCCATCCTCTACAACGACATCGCCGTACTGGAGAGTCATCATGCTGCGTTGGCGTTCAAACTTACAGCCAAATACGAAAGGTCAAACATCTTTAAGGGACTTGACATGTAAGTTGAAATCATAGTGGAGTGCTTTTTGATTAAGTATCGTGAAACCAATGCAAAGTCACCACAACAGCCAATCAAAACAAAAGAAGAAATACCAAACTACCTAAAGCGCGGGACAACGCGAGCGACCAAGTCGCGATTGGTTTTAGTTTTGCATCTAATTTTTTGAGAGCGTGGCGCGAGTTTTTGACCAATCACAGAGTGAAGTAAAGCAAATCTCGAGCACGCAATCTTAGCGTTAAATGAAAGTGATGCTGGGTCTTATGTACATGTGACAGCCGCGAAACTGTGGTGGATGCCAAAGTCTAATGTAATGCACACCTTTGTCTTTATTGAAGAAACTTGTAGGGGATGGGTGACCTACTTATTACCACTCTGGACTTCTTGTCACCTTCATGTCTTCTTGACCGGCATTGCTGGTTACATTTGCATACAGACTTTTCTTACTAAACGAGGAATTTTGTCATGACTTGTCTTCTACCAGGGATGAGTTCCGCACGATTCGCCAAGCGATCATCGACATGGTAATGGCGACAGAGATGACGAGACACTTTGAACATCTCTCAAAGTTCGTAAACTCTATAAATAAACGGCGTTCTTCCAGTATGGATGAGGTACACTCGGTGGTAAGTCGATAATTTATTGTATCTATGCATCGGTGCCGTGGAGCAAAGTGGCAGTAGTCCATAGTTGCACCGGTACTTTGTTATACAATGCAGTATGAAATACTATGAACGCCTGCCGCTTCTATTTGAGCAGTCGCGCACAAGTAGTTAACACCGTATTTCTTCAACGCTAGAGTGTATCTCGACTGGGTATGCTTAAACTTGAGCTAAAGTAATCATAGGGACCATTCAGTGCGAAAGGAAATATTTTAGTAGCCACTGAGAACTCAAACTTAAAACAAGCATTCTCTTTGAAGAGCAGGGAACGCAAGTCCCCAAGACCTGATTAGTTTTAGTTGCTTTTGATTGGATAAGTTGGTAGCGTAAATTTTTTGACCAGCAGAGTCGAGCACAGCGAAAATAACGCAATTTCGGATCCCTTGTCACACTCAGTTTTTCGCTATATATAATTGTGCTCGGTAGTTTGAGAATGTCGCGTTTTTGCGAAACTGGCCGTAGGATATACACAGGAACTGAAAAGATTGAAACACGCTATGTTTATTTTTATAGCACAGTGGGCGTGGCACTCCAGATTCCACAGCATCAACTGCTGTAGCACTCAACACTCCAGAAAACCGTACACTGATTAAAAGAATGTTAATTAAGTGTGCTGATATCGCCAACCCAGCTCGACCACGATACCTGTGTAAAGAGTGGGCATACAGAATAGCAGACGAGTACTTTTCACAGGTACGTAGATGAAGTCATGGGTTAATACAATCAGCATCGTTAGATGGAGGTTTTTGCAGCTGAAGGAGAAATAAATTGAAGTTATTTAGAGCGCAGTAAAAATAGCCTTCAAAGGCAATTTCAATCGTGAAAAAGAAGGCATTTTGACTGATAGTCGTCAACCAGAACCATAGTAATCACAAAATAATAATAATTTACAAAAATGTCATTTCTTAACTCGTACTTAAAATAAGCAAACTGGCTGGGGTTTATTCCTGTACATTTTTTTTTCTATTTTTCTACAGACGGATGAGGAAAAGAGGCGTGGTTTACCCGTCGTGATGCCTGTGTTTGATAAGCAAACATGTAACGTACCGAGATCACAGGTCAGTACAACTTGAATTCACGGTAGCTTGATATTGATGACGTGAGGCCTTGGACGTGGGAGGGAGGGGGGGGGGGGTGGACTGTTGGTTATCGCGCTTTGGACCCTGAGTAGAAGGGCCTGGGTCGGGGTCATTGTGTTATGTTCTTGGAAAGACAGAAGACGAAATTTCAGCGAGGGGAGCGTGGGTTAATCTTTGAATGACAAATATCTCATCTAAATGAAGTGAACTTACTCTTTGTAGCTTAATGCTGCTTGAAGTTATTCTTAAGCTTTGAACTTGAAAAGTACATATTAGCTCGGAAGCAGCGATGTTCTAATGAACGTGATTGTCCGAATAGATAGCATGTAGCTTAAAATAAGTGCAAATCATTGTGTCGAATTCTTTGAATTCTTGGTCATCAAGTCGAACACTAGTCAGGCCTTTGTATGAAATGTTCTCGTGGGAAAAGGTGGGATTTAGGCAAAGGAAAAAAACAGGACAAAGAACTCTCGTCAACCGCCGATTTTTTTCTCTCCCATTTTTTTGCTCCCTCCCTTTAAAGATTAATAGTTAGGAACAATCTTGTGTTGTTAATATTGATTTACTCATTTTCTCTTCATCTATTTTTTTTTATGTCTTATCTTTTCTAGGTTTGGTTCATAGATTACTTTGTCAGTGATCTTTACGACGCATGGGATGGTATGTTTTTTATTCGTTGATTTGTCTGTTAATTTGTCTGCTTTCTTTGATAAATGCAACTTGATCGGTGGTTTAATCGGAAACACGTCGAAATAGTGTTTTTATGACTGTATTTTTACAGCTTTCGCATTTGTACCCGAGACCATCAGACACCTTACAGATAATCACGAATACTGGAAAAAAGCAGCAGAGGAGTGGGTAAGCGACAATGTTTGTAAGTACCAGTGCACCTTCATTTCTCAATCGCTTAAAATTCCCCCTCCCTCCTCTCCCTCCTCTCTCGACCAAGTACATGTACAAATTTAGTATTTTGTTTTGAACTGGGGAGGTAAACAATTTTGAAGATCTGTTGGATGGATCATTGAAAAATCTTCACCAAAGAAATCAAACCAGCCAGCAGAACGAAGAAGAACATCGCAAATTATTATTACAAACCCAGACCCCAAATGGATTTCGGGAAAACGAGAGACAGGAAGCTGCTTTTGGATTTCTTTTTGCTGTGATTACTCGAGAGGGTGGCGCAAGTTTAGTTTGTGGACCAATTAAAAAGCGTACCAAAGCTTAACCAACGCAATCCCGGATTTCTTTCGACCCTTAATATCCCTCTATAGTTTTATTTCTCTATTTATTAATAATTAGTCGAGTGATGTTAGACTTGTGGTAGGTGGCTAAGTCTTCACTCTTTAGCCCCCAAAAGAGCATAGCGTCTAATTTCTCCTTACAATACACCCCTGAATCAAGCATTAAGGTCACGGGAATAAAGGAAATGATCATCAACTAAAAAAAACTGGATTGTTAAACAAATTCTCCTTGTCAGCACCATAGGAATGTATATAGAACAGTATGGAGAATGTGCATACTGATATTAGGGTGTAAAGGGCTGAAGAACGATACACTGTGGATCGATAGGTCTGGGTTTGAGCCCCGGTCGGGTCATCGTGTTACGTTCACTCCCATAATTCCCCTCTCTAACTAGGAGTGTTAGTGGTAAAGGCAAACTGCCAGGAAAACTGTGGAGGGAGGGGGAAGGGGAAAAACTGCCATGGACCTTCGTCATGGGAATGAGGACTTGCAGTCCCCCACTTTCTTCCTGCTAAGGATCCTGGGATACTTTTCAGTAGATTTCGGGCCTCTCTGAGCTAATAAAGACTTCCCCTCGTCAACTCAAGTTTAGTTGATTCAGTTTGTCATCTTCTCTTTTTCTTTTTCATCTCTTCTTCTTCTTCAGCCAGTGGGATAACCATGGCGTTAAGTGCTAGTAAACCTGTCACGTAAACGCTTTGTCGTGGTTTGGGTCCCGCCTGATCTCTTCTCGTCCTTAATAATTCTTCAGGCGTAGACACTTCACAGTAGAATCATTTAAACGGCAGTCGAGTGGGTCCAAAGGCGTTTGGACCTCTCTGGGCCTGCGCGGGATTACATTCCATTAATCTGATAATAGTCCCTTTGTTGATTCCCAGGATGCCAATCGCACAACTGCAGCTACTTCCGGTACCGCCACGAAAAACCCTACGTCCACGTCCTCGTCCGAACCTCCTTCTTCGTCCAGCACGTCTCTAACTTCATCATAGTATGCTGTCACGGTAGTTGTCGTTAGCCTCCTGTGTTACCTCTTGTCTTTGTAGTGTGTCATTGTCCATATTATACACTTGTTTCATACAGTCAAACGCGTGTCGGTGGCACTTAATGCAGAATTGTATCCCTGCAGCATAGGATGACTTGACGTCACTGTGTCTTGGTGTTTCCTCACTCGTTGCCGTCTCTGACTTGTGCGTGACTTTTTTTGAGTCACGCTTCGCAGTTCGTTCACGCAAACAAGTCTGTCGCAAAGGTTTTCAGGTGTTGTGGAATTTTGTATCTCGCTGCGGATTTGCGCATTTCCTCGTCGTTTTCGTCTGAAATTTTTGTTTAAGAACAATTTATACGGAGAGGGTAGGATGTTAAGTAGATTCCTTTTAGCAGTCCAATAATGCATTCTAGTGCTGACTGTGAAAGCTCTTCTGTCTTAAAGCTAGTTTAAGTAAGCCACAATCTTGGCGTCTTACAAAACTATTTAATTACGAAAGAGAGACAGAGTACGTTCTACATATATAAGTAAAAAAAAAAACAAAGAAGAAAACAAATTGTATATAGTGTTTTCCCATCAAGGGAAATCTCTAGAAAATTATAAAGTATTATATTTATTTCCGTTGACCTACTTACGCACAAGCCCCCCTAATTAAAATTATATATTAACTTTTGGTAGATGTCATTTGCGTCTCAAAGCCTGAATTTCCAGCACAGGCTTTTGAAGAAATGTTGAGATTAGAGTTAATTAAATGATTACTCGCCAGCCCCTAGTACTGTACATTTCTCATGAGCCACGAAGAGCAGGCTTTAACTGGTCCTCTTCTTTCCAAGAACCTTGATGTTGTGGAGCTTGTAATTTTTTACTCAATTTGGTTTTCTCTCCATTTTGTTGGCGGGGAATTGACGTTCCACCTGAGCTTTAAGTAAACGCTTTGAAATCTTGATCTTCCAAAGATCATAAAAAGTGATACGCATTCGAACGATATCAAATTATGTTCAAAATGTCTTTTGTATACGTAAGCTTCATTACACACATTTCTTGAAAAGAAGGGAGCAAGCAAAGAGATTTGTTCCCACAGGCTGACCACTTCCACTCTTAATCAGGTCATCATATGAACAGCTGGCGAGTGAGGCTGGAATCTATCAGTCGAGGAATTAAGGACTGATCACCTGAGACTGCGTTTTTTCAAAAATTGTATGCCTAGCAATTTGATGTAATATGATGGTAAAAGCCCATGTGACTTTGAATACGTTTCTGTTTGGAAAAAAGATACCAGATATTCTTGACGTGCAATTTAACTTTTTGTAAAATTTTGAGAGAAAGCATGGAGTTTCTTATCTTCTTGGGAACCTATTGTGTTACCATAGCTTTTCAATCGTCTAATGTCACAGATTTGTCTCTTATCTTGGTTTCCTTCCCTTACATCTTACGTCACGTGCCCAGCGCGTAGAGCATTACCCAAAGAACTGCTAGAATCAGTCTTTCATTCCCCGACTCAGTAGATAGATGAATTCTTTTGGAACGTAATGTTAAATTAAATGAATCTCTATCCTTTTACTTCAGCTTGGTGATGGTCAAAACGGAGCATTTAGTTCGCTTTCCGAGCTTGAAAACACGGCAAGTGTATTCAAGCTTAAAATGAGAAAAATTCCTTCACAAATATGGTCGTTTTTATGGCAAAGGGTATTAACACCATGTCATTTTTGTCTTGTCCATTTTGTCTTTGCTGTATTGTGTTTATACTTTAAAAAACAAATTTATTCCTAATTTATTCCTGCTGCCAATGTGTTTTATAGTCAGGCTTTTGGTGAAACGCTTTCTTCTGGTGTAAAACGTCTTATTAAGTACCAATTGACTTCTGTTAGTGTAATAACACTGTTTCGCTTATACGTGATTTTAGGTTTCAATCTGAAAAAAAAAAGAATAGTGACGTAAAATGAAAGCCGCTTCCGTAAGAGATCGATTTTATGGCTGTAAAGCGAGTTATGAAAGCTGATGGTCTACTTCGCAATATCAATGTGAAGATCATCTGACTTTTGAAATTTTTGACTTTTTGCAATTTTGAAAGAGTTAGTTGCTGTGTGAAGATGTTTGCTTGTGACCATTTTTTTTTGTGGACAAAGCACGCCCTTAGGATGCATGTGTGCAATGGACTTGTCACACTTTCTTTCGTCGAGAAGGAATGCGTGACGGGAGGGAAATGGAGCAGTTTCTGTCACGTAACATACACAAGATAGCTTGAGTTTCGCGTGAACATCTCACAACAATGAAATAGTATTATTTTGTGTGATCCTTGAACGTTTTCACCAAGAGCCTTGTAGAATAAAGTTAGCTGAGCAAGATCATTTTAATTTCCAAAGCTCCTGTACACACTTATTGAATTCTAGCTGGCTCAGTTGTACAGTTTTGATCAAATCATTTTAATGGGTCAACGTTGCGTTGTCCGGTGTCATTGTGTATAAAAAGTATAATTTTCATAATACAATGATGATAATGATAATATAAGTTGATTGCCTGAAGAGATTCAGGATATTGAAGTTATTATATCATGTACAAATTGTTTGATAAATCTTGAGTAGCTCTTTGGATTTCTCTGTAGATGTTCTGTGTGAACGTAAATTATGTTGTTCTTTCCTAGATTGTGTTCTGTACAGTTGCGTTAGTTCTGAATCTCTAAAAAGTGGACATTCTTATAGAATAGATATGAATAAAATAAGTTATTGGATCGTCTAACTTGTGAAAGATTTGGTGTGAGGTATTTGTTTTTAGGTCCCGTTTCCATTTATTTGTCTGTTTGTTTGTTATTTATTGCCAAGCTTTTCGACAGGAGTGAGGCTGAAAGTGACCTCATCAAAAGACACTTATTAGCCCAACTGCTAGTCTTGCGACTCTTTACCCTTAAACTCCCATGAGTGTTCAAGACAGGATTTCTCCTTACAGTATCAAAACATAAAACAAGCAAGTGACGGGAAAGTATCAATTGCGAGATTAATAGTTGATCCAAAACCAAATTCTCCGAACTAACATTCTAAGAATTGTACGACAAACAGTAAGGAGAAATACATCTTTGGAGTGAAAGCCTCGCCTTAAAACCTGGCAACGAAGCACAACGGTCCGATTTTGATGAAATAATAAGAATCTCAGGACTACCCAATCCTCCAATTCTCAGTCGATGTCTTGGGCACCTCGTTCTCAACAAATCTTTCGAAGCTAAGTTCTGCCTCACATCGACTGTCATGGGATAAAAGTTCCCCTTCCTGTAAATAATACTGGCAATAGACTGGGCACTGATATTGGTCCTAGATTTGATGGTACTCAAGTTGTTTTCAATTGTTGATCTGATGCACGCTTGAATTTGATCAGGGCTGAGAAAACTCGTGTTAGACTTTTCACTTACAGAATTTTAATCAATTTTTACTACATTGTATTTACAAATTTTATCGCGGTCCAAATTACACAGAGAGAAATATCGAAATGGAGAGTTACCGGCCAAGTCACAGTAGTACAAATTGCAAAATGAGCCTCATGAGCATTATAGCTTGGACTTCAGAGTTGCGTTTAACCATGAATGAGTGAATTCAGGCATAAGTAAAGGAAATCTAAAGGAAACAGTGTGCATTACATAAATCTCGTATATTTTCTCTCAGTTAGTACGTGCGCTACGTTTCGTCAATTTGGCGGGTACACTGTACGGACCACTAAATTTAAACATTTGTTCGAAATGAAATATTTCCCTATATAAACCCGCGGATATAACATACCTTACTAACCTCGTTTTCACGGTCCGCACTGAAGCTCGTGAAACGGGAGCTCGTTTTTTCCACTCAGATTTAAAGCCTGCCGTTACATACCCTTAACAGTCTTAAAAATTTGTTTAGTTAACCTTCAGAATTTGAATTCAAAATGGGTTTCAGTCATAGTTCTTGAGGATTTTTTGTTGTCGAGGAAACTTTACATCCGTGTATTGTTAACATTGTTGGTATATGTATAGAAATAAATGTTACTTTTGGAGATTCAGATCTAGCCAAACCTGGAATATTCTCCTATTCAACATATAAAGGAAGGATTTCCTATCTGTTTTTTTGGTTTACTTTTTTTCGGTTGCCTTCAAAACTACAATGTTACCGATTAGACCACTCTTTTCAATTAAAACCGGTTTCAAGCTTTAGATATCTTTCGTGAAAAGCAAACAGCCGTTCAGGTGATAAGCTATCCCCTACTGCAAAAGTTGCATTCAATGCTGCATCATCCCAAGTTCTCTCCAATCGAGGAAGCCATAGTCTGATCAAAGTTCCTTCTCCATCAAGCTGGGTAGGAACAATACCTAGATGTTTAGCCAATACTCCTAAATACGCGTCTTCCATTTTAAATGAGCGAATGTTTTTAGACGCGTTGAGAAACTCGAGAACAACTTTTTTAGACATGATGTAAAATGGACCATTCGGATAAACAGGATATGAAGTGCCATTGAAATCCTCATAACTGATAAAGTACTTGTGGCCCGGGTCTCGAATGGCAGGTGAATTATAAAGCAGAGTTCCTCCGAACAACATGTCAGGTAAAGAAGTAGTTTGCAATCGCCAAACCATCCTTCGGACATCTAAGTAAACATCGTCGTCTACTTTGACCACAAACTTGACGTTTACTGCTGAGGCAAATCTCAGCGAATTCAGAGTCTTTTGTACCAGCAACGAATATGATTCTGTGAAGTTTAATCTTAGAATATCTCCATGAATCATGCTTTCACTTTTCACCACAGTTTCAACCTCTTGTTCTTGGCTGTGGCCGCAGACGAAGAAATACTGGATAAGAAGGTTATTGGTAGAGTTAATCGGGTCCTTCAAGAATCGTACGTTTGAATGATCTTGTGCAACAGAATGGTTGATGAAGACGGACAGCCAAGTCTGTCGAATGGCGTATCTTTGTTCAAGGTTAAAAGGCGCGCTTATTATCAATATAAGAACAAACTTTTCGGTCTCCGGGACCGGCTCGATGAATTCTGGCGATGGATTTACCCATTTTCGATTGAATTTTTTCACAGTCGGCAAATTTATCCATCTTCGGCTCAACTCCAATACAGCTGACTTAAAAGACGTAAATAACGGGGAAGTTTGTAAAGAACTTGGCTCTGATGGCTTCACCTCCCAGGTCATTACATACACTGTCACACAAACACCCAATAGAGAGAGAACAGAAAAAAGAAAAAGCAGTCTGCGTAACCGAAACCTTCCCATCTTTTCCTAAGAATCTGATGGCGTACCAAAATTTTTAACTGAGAACGCCTCATTTCATATCAATTAAGTTAACAAGTTCCTTTCAACGATAATTTGAATAACAAGGTAATCAAAATTCTTCCTCGGATTTAGCGCGGTTCATCAACAACCTTTGTTCGATTATTGTTCGAATGCTTTCATCTATGCAAACGTCACTGGGATTTAGTACTCCTATATTTGATTTCCATCGATGGTTAATTAAATAAGTTTAGAGTTCTACCTACAGTTATGAGCTTATTTTAAACTCAACTGATTAATTAGCATGATGATCGCAATTTCAGCAAAATAAAAAAAAGAGGTAGAAAAAAAAAAAAAAAAAGAAGGAAAGAAGAGAAAAAAAGACATGAGCCGCAAAAGAGCAGCGCCAGTAGTTTAGGAGAGCTCTTATGTCCCACACAACTTGGTTGGTTGCTATAGCAATTGTTGCAAAGTGTCAGAAATTTTTGCATTAAGGACTTCACCAGAATCTCCTCGCTGTTTTGGCATTGTTTACCCTGCGGGACATTTGAGGAACACAGTAAAGTTTGTACCACGTCCTCAGAGGGTGATTACGTTGCCAAATCGATGAACGTGAAAACTTTTGCCTGTATGTTTTATCAAAAATTTGAACGCATTAACTTCAGTTTTCTATGGTTAAGCATGTAACGTGTTAATATAAAAGAACGGTTCTTGAATAATCAGAGTTCGCAGCGAGCCTCAATTCATCAGCTTGTAATCTTGAATCAAAGCATGTTTAGTTTCATGCGCTCATGATATCCTGGTAACATTTCAGAAGAAACAAGGAGTATATCTCCTGGTCGTCAATAAGCATTAGCAATTTAGGCATTATAACTAGCCGACCTCATTCCTCTTCTCTCAAGAGAAAAGACTGGACGTGAAAAAGTACCAGAAACTGAGCCCATGCAAGTCGAATAAAATACGCCGCTTACACCCTACCGTAGCAAACTCGTTCCCAGGTCTCTCTTACCCTCCTCCCCAGGAGCTCTACGGGGAGAGAAAAAAAGAGAGCTTGGGAATAAGGTCCCCTCTTATGGGAGAAGCTTAGAAGTGCCTTAAAAAATCTACAGACTTCATAAATATTCTTCGTAAAAACGTTTTTATTAAAATTCATTTAGTATTAAACAAATTTCCTGCTAGGGGGATCCATGGATGTAACATGACCCCTTCACATTTCTTCTTGGCTTTAGTTCTTCTTTGCCTTGAAGTTTTCATACTTTGAGTGGCTTCGAAACCAGACAAGAAACGGTATTAGAATGGTGGGTAAAGACATCAGGCTAAAAAGACCCCAGTCCACCTGTAAAGGAGAAAATATTGATTCTTGTGAGCACACTGGAGTAGCTGATCAAACGTGTGTGGTGAAGACATGCAGTTGTGCTACAAAAAATGGAATTAGTGTTCCATAAAAGCAGAAAATACAACTGTTTTGAGAAGGGTTGTCCCAAAAAAAGAAAGCCTAAAAGTACATGCTAAAATACCGAAAGGTAACAAGGTCAGATATAAGAAAATGTCATCATAAGGACGAGGCATTGCAGGTTTAATAAATTTTTTTATTTATTTGACTTATTAAAATTTATTGATTACCAGATACCCAGATTACCTTTCGAGATCGTGACAGGAACCTTTGCCCTTTTTGACAACCTTTCTAGAAACAGCTGTATATACTAGTTATTGAAGTTACTTCTGTTTAAATGCATTATTCCTGCTGGAACTTGCAAAAGATGAATGAATGGATGAAGGAACCAATCCAGAAACATACAAATTGACAAATGAAAAAAGATAAAAGTACAAGATTCTTGGAAATAATTTATCGGCCATTCGAATAAAAATAAGCTTTCAATGAAACAGGAAAAGGCCACATAAGTAAAGAAACCAACCAAGTGAAAGTAGAGATTAAATTTGTATGGGTAAAAAATACAGTAGTTTTTTTTTTCCATACATGGCCTGTTCTGGATGTCCTTGCATTGAAGAGCAAAATATATCACTACTTTGCATGTTTAGGTGCCACAGATCTTATTTTCTAAATGCAGTTTTTTTTAACCAATTACACTCACCAACCATTCTCTGGTAGAATTAACTTCAACAGAAATACTTATTCTAAATGAAAGCTAAATGGCAAGATGGAAAATCCTTCACTCATTATTCAGAAATACTCATTGCACAAGCCTGCCAAACTTACCAGATGTGGAGAATGTTTACGGTCATATTCATTTTGGGGCATAATTCCTCCTTCTCCTGGGGCTGTAGAAAAAGCAATCTACCAGGGAAAGAACATAATAAAAAAATAATGTAATACCAACTTAATAATATTTCTTCCACTGTTTTCTTCAACCTTGCATCAAGAGCTTGGTTTCAAAATGTTGGTAATTCTTGCTTTGTTTTTCTCATAAAAATAATTTTAATTTAGTTATATCCCATGCCTTTCTGAGAATCACCCAGATTTCACAAATTTTCTGGCCTGTAAAATGGTTTTTATAATTCATTAACTTTCCAAGTTATTCCAAAACATTTAGGACTCCTAATACACAATGCACTTTGAAAAGTGCCCAAAAAGAGACAGCATACCACAAGATTCCTTAACCCTTTAACTCCTGAGATCTGGGCCTGGATAAGTGTTAACAAAACATACTGTGCTATACAATGGATAGAGATTTACCCAGTGGATAGCATTATCCACCCTTCGAACAACTGGGGTCTGATTGTTAATTCTCCCTACTAGCTGCTACATATTTCCTTGTAAATCACCAAGCAGAATTTGGAGTTACATCAAGATAACAGCCACCTGATAGTTTTGATTATTCTCCTTACATAATGTAATAATAAAACTAGATATTATTGGGAGAAGTAACATGTTAATCACTTCTAAATATTAAGGAATAAACAGTCTCTGAGCAGCAACTACCAAGACTACCAATACAACAAAACAATTCAGTGAGTTTACCTGAGGATCTGGGGCATCTTCAGAAGCTTTGTAGGTTACCTGTGCTGCAGTGAAGTTGAATGTACCAGACTTTAAGGGTTCCAGGATGATAGTGTGCGATACATTTGAACCACTGATGGGCCAGTTAAAGAAAACTGGTAGTTTAACATTATGTTGATTTACAATGTTATGTCATAAACCCACAAGTCTGCAGCAGACCTGGATGAGAACCATTTCATTTTTGGACCCAGACTAGTGCAAGAATTCCCAAAATCAACTTTGGTGGTTGGCTCTCTTTTCTAAAGGTGTTGACCAAACACAGCAAATGACTTATTTCTAGTAAAAGTAACAAAAAAAAGGTTTGAGCTTCTTGAGAGTCTGAACTTTCATTTCTATCCTTAAACATCCTCATTTAGTTTTGATTTAAGATTTTTTTAAATTTTTGATTGTAAGCTCAAGAATAAGACTCGTTAGAGAAAGCAACTGGGGATGAGGGAATATGTTTTTTTCCCTTCTCATCATGCAAAAATCTCATAATCACTACAATATATCTGTAACAAGTATTAAGAAAACAACCCATCATTTGCTGCAGCAGTGGAGGATACCTTTCAGAAGAACTAGTATTTACAACAAGTATATGAAGGATACGGTGCAATAGTTTTCCACTTGACGGAAAGTAATCCATGGAGAACCTTAAACTCATCAGCTGGGAAAGAATTATCTGACAAAGACACTGATGTGGCGGGCCTGAAGAGTAGAAAATAATTTTAACCTTTTCACTCTCAGATCTCATAAGTAATTTTCCTTACTGTCTGCCATACAGTTCTTATGATGTTAGTCCAGAGAATTTGGTATTGGATCAACTAACAATTGCCCAACTGATATTTCTCTTTATTCTTATCACATCTCTTCTTGACATTGTATTGATTTTTTAGGGAGAAATTCTGGCTTGGTCACTCCTGGGAGTTTAAGAGTTAATGATACAGTAATGAGAATAAGAGAAAAACAATGATTACATTTTTCCCTCTATGTTTACCTTTCAGGAGTGACCAAAGAGTAATTTCTCCTCAAAACATTGATAGATTTTTAGTAAAGAGGCAATGAGAAGTAAGAAAATTATCTGCTGGGGGATATTGTTTGATTTGATACCGATCATTACACGATAAACGGCAGACGCTATTTATGAAAACTGATGGTTAGACCTTGGTAGTGAAAGGGTTAATGGGTGTAAGGTAAAAGGTAAAGTCTGTACTCAAGACTATTAACCTACCCAGGTGGAACTTAGCCCTCTTTCCAAGTAGCATAAAGCACCTAGGAGTATTACTACTTCCCCCTGGATGGGATACTAGTGCATTGCAAGGTTATGTACCCCTTAGCATTTCATGAAGGCTTCCCTGATGATTTGCACAGTGGCTATACATAAAAGTGGAGAGAGGCTCTTTGAAAGGAAGGTTTCTTGCTTAAGAATGCAACAAAATGACCCAGCCAGGTCTTAAACTCCTTCCTCTCAACCTGGAGTCCACTGCACTGACCATTTGGCCACTGCATTTCCCATGTAGGGTGTAAGATTAACCCTTTACACCCTAAGAGTGACTAGCATCTAATTTCTCCCTACAATATCACTCCTGAATCACACAATAAGGTCACGAGAATAAAGGAAATGGTCAACAGGAAAGGAACCTTTTGATTGGCAAACAAATTCTCCTTGTCAGCACCATAGGAAATGTATAAAGATCAGTGTGGAGAATATGCATACTGATGTTAAGGTGTAAGATTAAAGTAAAACTCTACTGAAGAACCTGACTAAATTGATGGATTGAAATGGGTTATTCTTATAGTCAATAAACTCATGCAATCCTAAAAGCCAATAAAATCAAGGCAAAATTGACCAACCAAGTTAAAAAAAAAAAAAAAAAAAAATCCAATAAAACCATTCCAGCACATGTGTGATTTGGGCAAGCCCTCTACAGAGCATTCTGCTAATGGCAGTTGAAACTCTGAGCCTTTTTTACAAACCCCTTATTGTATAGACATGCTGAGAAAATAATGCTGGCTGAGTATATCAGCACATGAATGACCTTACCCATTTCCAACATTGTAGATGCTGTAGTGCACTGTCAATTCCTTTCCTTCAACAACAAATTGGTTGAGAATATTTTTGGAGATAAGAAGTCTGGCACTAGAATCACCTTCAGCACTTAATGCACAGCCTATCAATGCTCCAATAAGGAGACACAAACACAGCTGAAAGATGAAAAATAAAAATAAAATTAACCGTTTTCACTCTCACATCAGTATATATATTCTCCATACTGCTCCCTATACATTCCTTATGTAATTGACAAGGAGAATCTGTTTGACGATATGAAGCTTCTTTAGGTTGTTATCATTTCCATTTATAATTCTTGTGACCTCAATGTGTGATTCCATGGTGACATTGTAACGAGAAATTTCATGCTAGTCCCTCTTTGGGGTCAAAACATTAAGATGCATTTCTGAGCCCTTAAGACCCCCTGAAGATGATTAAAAATGCACAACTTCTGCTAAAATCAAAAATGCCTTATCCAGTGAAAAGTTAATTTCTACACTGGCATGATATCTTGTTAAAACAGGAAATTGTCTCCATTTATACACAACAAAATGAGTAAAGGCTGAAAGGGAGAATTACAATTCTTAATCATCAGGGGCATTAATGACTTTATGAAAGTGACATTATGCTTAAATATTCCTTGGTATGATGTTTACCTCATACCAAATAATGAGATAAATTGAGCAAAAAAAAACTAAAAAAATTTAAATGTTTCAATATTAAAGAACTTCTCTTTTACTGTTTCCTCGCTGAATTAAGTGAAATAAAGCCAGTTTCTACACAGGATTTTTAAAGGTGCCACTTTAAGGGTTTTAAGCACGAATTAACCATCAAATAATAACAAGAAACAACGGTAAACTTTTTCTTTGGTATATTTTTTGAACGGTGAATAACTATTTAATATAAAATAATCGGCTCAGGATCATCGCCGTTAAAGACGTTAAAAAAAATATTATGAATAAGAATTAGTCTCACAGACTTCAACAGCCTTTTTTTTTAAACTGACAAGCTACGTTCAACTTTGCGTGCTGGTCTCTTGCAAATTCCAATTCATAAACAAAGCATCAGTACACGTGATAACAACTGTTTCCGAGCACTTTGACTATGAAAATTCAAGATTTCGGCCATTTTAGGCCCAGGTTGCTGCTCTGGTCAGATCTCGAAAGTACTGCGACAAAGAAAATTACAGTAAAATGACAAAATCTGCACTTACTGGTTTCATTCTTGCTACTACACACCACTATCCCACCGTTTCGCCAAACTTCTAAAGAAAAAGAGAGGGCAGCAGTATTGAGATGACGTGTTCGAAAGCGAGGCGCACGATTCACGCATGACTCCCTGACTGTTTACCCGAGCCGCCGGTCGTAGACGTGACGTCACCTTGCCCTTCACAACGGAGACCAAACAGACATAAGCAGTCTAAAATCGGACGGATCAGCTGGGGATTTGATAACAGGCTGTGTTGTACGAGCTGGTCCATAAGCGTTTCTTACCTACTATGTGCATTATATAGTTAACACGAGAGCATTTGCAATAACTTTTGGAGGTTTGCAGATCGCAAGATATACCCCAAAACAGCGTCGTATGCGTTTTGTTTTGAGTGGTATGTAGACTTCTCGCTCATATATACTTTGCACACTGTCACCAAACCTTTTCAGTCCAAGGCTGTGTTTTCTGACTTATTGGTCCGGAGATGAACAATAAATTGATTTCAGAGCAAGTAGATGGAGCTACAAGACTTGGTCATGAGCAGCTTGCTAAAGGGAACATTGACGAGGCTTGCAGTTCGTTCGAAAAAGCCGTTCAACTTGCAGAAAGCTTGAAAGAAGGGTTTACGGAAAGAGCTTGCTATTTCAATCTTGGAGCGTGTTATGTTGCACGTGGGGATCCTAAACGTGGCGTGGAATACTTAAAGAAATCTTTTCCGCCCGATAAAGAGTCGGACGGAAGGACAAATTATGCAGATTTGCAGTACAATTTGGGAACTGCTTACGATGCTTTGAGCGACATTCAGAAGGCTGTGGAATGTTACGAGATCGCTGCTGAAGAATATAAAGCTCAAGAAAACTTGGAAATGCGAGGAGAAACTCTTCTCAGACTGGGTAAAGACTGGACGAATATCGGCGACCTGAAAAAAGCTGCAGAAATTTACCAACAATGCGCCGATATATTCCAGGAAATGGGAGACAAAAATACTCAGTTACTTATTTTGAACAACCTTGCTAGTTTGCTTGGAGAAGTTCGGGACATTGCAGCCTGTGGTAAAGTGCTTGCGCAAGTTATTGAACTTTGTCAAGATGTCGACGACAATGCTTTGAAATGTAAGTACAATATAAAGTTTGTATATACACTTTTTGTTAAGTATCATTGCCCGTATAATTTGGCAATAATTGATATCACATAAACGCCTCAGCAAACATGGCCTTGGCCTCGAAATATTTCGAATTCCATCATTTCCCTTTAGTTACCAGCTCGGAAACTGTAAATTTTTTTTATCTCCCGTTAGTTAGGGTAGTTTTGTTTATTCCCGTTATGTAAAACAAAACTAACCTTAAGTGTTGCTAGTTTCTGTTTTTCATTCTACTTGTGTGCTAATTTGACATAATAACTTTTTCGTGTAACAATTATTGATTAAAAGTAAATTTTATCGCTTCATCTGAAGATGTAACTTGTGACCTATGCGAGGAAAAAAGATTCTCCCTTTCTTCTGCTATTGAAGGAATGCCATTCACAAATTTTGCACTTTCTGCTGCCAGAGTATGTGATCCTGTGGACTTTGCAAACTTGGCACATTCAGAGTTAGTCAAGCATCTCGCAAGCTGGAATTAAACCGAAATCTAATAGCCACAATTACTTGCTTGTATTGTAAGTTAATATTCTTACTTAGTTCATGAGAGCCATGGCACATGAGTTACTACTGTAGGATAGATTTAGCTTTGCAAATTTGTACCTATAGATTGATTGGCAGTGTGTTATGCATTTGATGAAAGAAAGCATGACTCCTGAAACACTAGATGTGTAAATTGATGGCAGAAAAATTTACAAAGTTCTCTCTGTCAAAAAAAGTTATTGAAAACTGAGGGAGAGTAATTCAATATTGAAGATAAGAATTGGTTGATTTTTAATGTTACAGTACAGTTATAACTAAGGGAAGTTAATTTAGAGTGGTAGTGGTAGCTTTAAGTGCATGTATTTGCACATTAAAACCTTTTTTGAGCCTCAAAAACACTTAAGCTGATTTAAACAGGTCTTGCTGCACCCACTTGTGGGTTGCTAGCAATCGTTGGCTTCTTGAATTCATGGCCATCAACCAAACCCTGGGGCAGAATTATTTGTTAGGGACTGGCCACTACTACTTAAATAATTCTTCTACAGCAAAACATAGAGGCTGATTTAATCAGACAAACTATAATACTTTATTGCTGATTGCAGTATCCTTTATGTATTTATTAGTCAGTGATATTAATAATAATAATAATTATGACAGTGATAAAAATCAATGGTGCTGAGAAGAATTAGTCTTTTTAGAATTATTTTCTGCTCAGCAAGAGGTACAGTTGCTCAGGTGGATGAATGATCTTGTTTTGGTTTTTAAATTAGGGATTAGGGAAGCTTTTCCTTTTGAAGGATTTAATTTCCCCTCTTTTAGTAATGATGGGTCAATTGAATTCTATGTTGAAGTTATTGACAACTTCCTCATTTATACCAGTTTTTTTTTTAAACCAATTGACATACATGTACAGCTATAAGGAAAAATTAACCTTACATTAAATTAACAAAAAACATTTTAACATTAAATATTAATGTACAAAGCATTGCAGCTTGAATTTGAATTTGTGACAAATACAGAATTCAATGCCCCAAGATAATTCACCTATGTGAATTATTGTTTTCATGGCAATGCAATGCAAATAATAATGAATCCCAGCTTGAAATAAATTGTCAGTGTTATTTAACTGTTGCCATTAAGTGTATTTTTTAGTACAACTCTGGTAATTTTAAGGTATAAGGAAGCATACAACATTTTGTTGGTTGAAGTCAGAGATTCAAAGGGGACTATTAAGGACTGAGTTTTAAATTTCTGCACTTAATTTGTCAGCCTGCAAGGTTGTATGCCATTTCAATTTTTTGTTCTACAGCACTATGAAACAAAAAGGAAAGGTGTCTGTCCTGAAAATCTATTCCTTTGATAGTAATAAGATATTTAATGACTTGTGATATTTTAAATTTGGGAAATCTGTTCTGCAGACTGAAGACACATTGTGCTAGTCATACAAATTTAGAATTCGTAGCTCCTGGAGAAAAATACTGTATTTGAAGTTTTCCATCATTCTCAAAGCCTGGGGTAACAAATACATGTATAATATATGATGACAAGTTTTTGTTATTCCATGGATGACACCATACATGCGCACTGAATAATGCTTTTTAATGCATTTCTCCTTGCTGAAATAGTGAAATTATGCCTAATTGTTAAAGTAAACATCGTTGCCTCTTGTTACAGGTAAAGTTTACAATGATATTGGTCTAGTTTACAGTGGATTGAAGTCTTATGAGAATGCAGCAGAATGCTTTGAACTGGCAATTCCCCTCATGCGTACCGAGAGTACAAACAAGGAACTAGAAGCTGTTCTTCAACAAAATTTAGGAGCTGTGTATAATCAACTTAAGCAGTTCAACAAGGCAATGGAGTGTCACAGGCAGGCAGTCACCCTTCATGGTAAGAGATCATGACAGTTAGAATATGTAAAATGTAATCATTGATTTGTTGCCAAAAGCATGTGGTTAATGAAAAAATCTGTGGAAATTTACAGATATGCAACATCTTTGATGAGATCAAGTTGAGTTTCAAAAAATTATGAAGCAAGTTAAAGAGAATTACCTCTGAATGGTAAATTTTATTACCTGTTGTCTTCTGTTTTTTTGTCATAGGTGAGCATTCAAACAGGGAAGCCCAAGGACAATCCTTCTGTAACATGGGGTTTGCTCAAAGTCAGCTTGGAGAATACAACAAAGCTGGGGAGAGTTTCTCACATGCAATTCAGGCAGCCAAAGATTCTAATGATAAGAAAGGCTTGTGGCAAGCTTATGAGGGGTTGGCAGCAGTTAGCTTTCTGGGCCGGGAATATGACAAAGCAGTGGAGTATTATAAGTTGGCTTTGTCTGTTCTTTCAACTACTAATGATGCAAGCCCTGAACATAACAACAGAATTGTCAGCAAACTTACAAATGCATTAGAATGCCAGTTGGTTTTGTCAAAGCAATTGAATGGTAGGCTACCACCCATAAGATTGAACAGTGTGAAAAGTGATGTTGTAGACAATGTCGAGAAGGTTAAAAAGAAAGGAAAGCGAATTGGCAAAACACGTTCAAGACAGGAGCATCACCAGCTGATTGCTAGAGGAATTGATGGAGATCAAACTACCTCAGAGGAATCTGAAGGATCAGGTTCAGGAGAGGAGTCCACTTCTAGTGATGAAGAGGTGCAAGAGAATGAACAAGCTGTCAAGGATCATCATTTCGTCCAAAGGGTGATAACTACAGAAGCTGAAGTTCATCATGAAAGAAAAACAGCCAATAGGGAAAGGAAAATGACATCTACAAGTTCCACTGAGGAAGAACGTGTCATCAGGGAGAGGGAAAGGAGGGAGAGAAAACACCGCCAATCACAGAAAGCTCGAGATTTGGCATCCAGAGAACCACTGAAGTCAACACAAGGAGACAACATCTATGAGCAGGTAACTGATGACAGAGTGGCCTCCCCTGCGAGAAGTGATTACTCTGATGAGATGCCACGGGCACACAGAGAAGCATACTTGGCTTCAGTCCAGGCTTCCTCGTCACACAAGCTAGACTCACACAGATCACAAGAGGAACAAATTGTCCAATCCAGAACTTGTGTTATTCAGTAATTAAAACAATTATACTAATATAACAGCTTTTATAATGGGTTTTGTGCAAAGGAGGTATATATGGCTTATGAGGTGATTTTGAAAAAAAAACTAGAAATTGTGACTCAAGCATTGGTAAACCTCAACTATAAAACAGTCAAAAGGGAGAATCTTCATCAAATTTTAGCAAATGCTCTATGAAGGAAACTTGGCTGTTATCCTCCTATTTAAGGAATCACAAAGACATATACCTTACTCTTGATGAAATCAACAGGTTTCTTTAATATGTTTCTATTTTAATACCACCTTTTTATGGCTTGTCAATGGTGTATCTTTGGATACATTAATACAGAAATTACAAAATGGTTTATGTTATTTCAACATAAGTTGTTATACTGAACAGGGGCTCTATCTTGGCAAAAATATTGAAATTGGCCCCAAAAAATCATTTGCACCTTTTTGGCACAAAAACTTTGTTGTTATGTGTGTTTGAAAGACAATTTAATTTAATTGATATTTTATGTAGGGCATGAACATTTATTAAGGAAATAACTACATAACTTTCATATTTAGTGATATAGTTTTAAAATTTCAAGAGTTGTTTCAGTCTGAGGTGATGCTGTGAAATGCTCATAGAAAGATAAGGTCTTGGTAATTTGAGTAGGTTGTCTTGTGTCTAAGAAATTAAACTTTATACATACATTCAAGTTGCAAAGTTTTTTTGTGGGAGGCAGTACTCTTTTAATTATGGCAATGAGTTCAAAATAAATTCAATTTGTCTTTGGCAGTGTTGTGATCTCATACTGGAATCATTCTCAGGGGTCTTGAGTAGGGTGTCCCTCTGGATTGGAATCCCAGAAAAAGCTGTGGGGTCTGATTGTGCTTCACCAATTTTTTACTAGTTTTTAAATCCAATTCTGAAACGTTCTGTCTCAATATACCAAGCTCTATTTCTTCAGATCATTATGCTACAACCAGGAAATAAAATTTCCTTTAACAGAGCCCCTTAGGAGACTAGAGTGAAGAGACTGGTAACAAGTGGAATAGACAAAGAATGATGACTGATTATAAATATTAACTTGTTCTATGTCTGTATTGGCTAAATGGAACAGGGACAGAACATCTTGAGGGAAAAATGGTTTCCAACTGAACACCAGATTCAAAGGTCCGATATAGGTCATGACTCAGTTGGTGGTAGATGGTATTTTAGGAAGATACTTCTCTCTGATAATTTCACTACACATAGAACTTAAAAAATAACGATTTATTTTCCACTGTCAAATTGTGCACATCACACAAACTCTCTCTTGAGTATATGGACAAAAATTGTTCCTTACCATTCTCTTATTTACATTTCATTTAGTTAGAAAATTCTAGTTAATCAAATCTTGATAATTTGCTTCAAATTAACCTTAAAATCATATTTCAATTTTTTAAATATATTACTAAATGAAAATTTTTACCCTAAAAATCCATTAAATAATTCTCATGATACATCTTAAAATTTGTATTCAGACAAAGTAAAGGAAGCTGAGGAACATAAGTGAGCAGCTTTTCAGTGATAAAATTCTTCTGCTTGCACATGCCCCTGAATCTCCCTGCAGTCTGCAGCCATAGTGATCTTGGATGCAGCTTTGCTACACCCTTATACCTTCCTTTTTTTAATGAGTTGGCATTTTTGTAACAAGCACAAAAAGTGATTCACTTAAAATATTAATACTAACAATGTTTTTTATGCAAAACCTGTAATGTAGATACTCGAAGCTAAAATCAGGTTAGAAGTTTCTGAGGTTCACAAGCCAAACAGCTCAGTAACAGCAATATACATCAAACCATGAACAAAATCTGTGAACTCTTATTATGATGGATGAAGGATGGCTGCACAATCATATAACACTGGTTTATTCAAGCCCAAATCTAAAAAAAAAAACGAGAGAACTGGTTAAGAACAATCAGAGATGCAGCCTAGTTTTTAATGTGCTCTTTAATTTTTTTTTGAAGATTCCTGTCAATAACTAGCAAAGATAAATCATTTCTTTTGTACAAATTTTCAAAGAGTCTTATTTTTGACCTAAGGGGTTCATCAGTTTTTGACCAAAATGCTACTTTTGTCTTTCCTTTCATGTTTCTAAATTTAGGTAAAACATAGTGCACTGTGTAAAAGAATAAAACTGAACCATGCTAACAATATACTTGTGCCTCAGTCAAGTACCAGGGAAGAAACACTCTGTTGCAACACAGTTGCATATACCACAATCTGTGACAAAATCACTCACACATTAGCCATTTGAATAAAAAACACTCGACTGAGTGTTGAATAAAACTGAACTATGCTAACAATATAATTGTGCCACAGTCAAGTAACAGGGAAAAAAAATGAGAATGGTGAACCAATAAGCAAATCTCTTACACCCCTCATTTCACTGCCTCTCCATTACTATAACTTTGCACTTCATTTTCTGTGAGTGTACATCACCGAATGGGGACGAGAGAGTATTGTGAGAAACTGGGGTTCATTCTAAACTACATGTCCAGTAAATACTTCCCTAGAAGTAGTTTCAACATGTCAACCCAATTTTCTACTGATTGAGGTTCTAAAGAAATTTACCCCCAACTTACTCTCAGAGTGTTGTCCCAACTTCCTGTGCCAACTGCTGTCCCATCTGGGGATACTTCTAGACATGTGATGCGGTTGTCATGGGCATAATACACTGACAGCTGCTCAGCCTGTTATGGATAAAAATTGAACTTTGCCCTTTATCCTTTTGAGATATATCATTCAATGTCGATAGTATCTTAACTTCCATTATATGAAGTACACATTACCATAATACAGTCATCTTACCTTGAGAGTATCCCAGACATTCATGGTGTAATCATGATACCCAGTGAACAATAATCTGCCTGCAATGAATAACAAAACAAGTAAACACGTTTCAATCATAAATTTGCACATGAACAGTCATATGATTATTTCAATGTATTTCATTCAATTTCCATTTCCGTCTAGTTTATCCCTCACCACCCTAGTTCTATCCTTTTTCTTTCTTCCATCTACATTGGAGCTTTTGATCAGGTTTCCCCAACAGTCCATTAGTAAACAATAATGCTCCTTGGTTGAGAACCCACCTTTTGGCCCTAAAGTTTAGGTTAGACCTTAGCTGATTAAAAAAAAAAACATTTAATATTTCCAGTCTGAGAACTCACCACTTAATGAGAAATCTAAAGCAGCTGCTCCAAAAATAATGTGTTCTTTAGAAAACACTGCTAACTCATGATCTGCCCTTAAATCATACAAACGACACTGCAGAGAAAAAAGGCCACATATTTATTTTAAACCAGTCATTAGCATCTACCAGGCCTTACAGAACCATCACCAAGCATCAAATCACTAATCAGAGTATGATATTAGTAGTCAATTATCTGTAAGGAAATGTAACAAAGTTCTGGCAGCACTACTCACTGTTGCATCATCTGAAGCAGTGCCAAATGCTTCACCACTGGGGTAAAACCTAACAAGAACAAAACAAAGAGGCCAGTTTACAAATGAATTACAAGATTTTTCTGTTAAGTGCTGACTGGCAAACCTAGTTAGATCTCTGGCAGTTGGTTTGGCAATGGGGAACAATGATAGAGAACCAGTCTGGCTTTGCAACCCACTTGAGTGTGCACAAACTTTGTTATAAATCATTAGGCAGAGTGAAACAAGGTATGTAATACCACAATGAACAGTAGTCTACTGTACCTTACTCCATTGATGTCAGATTCATGTGTTTGAAATGAGTTCACAGAACGTCCAGTCCTTATGTCCCAAACAAGAGCAGTTTTATCACATCCCTATATGGCGAGATATTAGTATCAAATGATTGAAAACAATAGAGAAAATTTTAACCATTTAAACAAACTTCATGTTAAGATAATTAATTTATAGAATGTGTAAAGTAACAAAAGGTAACATAATGTTACATGATGTTCAATGATTCTATATTCAAACATCCTGATTCTTTAAAAAAAAAACAACAACACTTCCTCTAGTTTCTGCATTATTATTTGGTTAGGTAAAAGATTGAATGAAGTTACTTACACCAGAAACAAATATATTCCTTCCCTCTGAAGGTGCAAGATCAATGCTGTAAATAATTAATTGGAAAGCACCTTGAATAATTGTTTTTCTTTCATTAGTTGTTATGGAATAGCAAATGTACTAGATACCACAGGTTTGAGACATCCAGGGACAATGACAGACTCACAGATAGACTGTGTAACCAATGTACCAGCAATAAATTTAAGAGAAGTTTAATTTCCTGATGACTCAACTGAACTCTTTTATTTACATGCCATTGCCAGTGGTTTCAAAGTAAAGTATTACGAACATGATACATCAAGAACAGAATGGCTAACTATACTTGATGAAAGAACAATTTACCGGACAATTTTGAAATACAGCTGGCATAAGGAAGTACTTGCAATTACCTTTTAACTCAAGCTCACACCTTTTTTATTTGAATGATCCGCATGAAAGTCAAACTTATAGATAGCTAAGCGGACTGGGGCTAGGAGGGGGAATAGGTTTCTACAGACTGACTTAACTGTTGAACTCCCCAGAGTGACTGGCTTCAAATTTCTAATTCCTAACTTTTTAACTTCTAATTTCCATTCAACTCCAAGGAGTGACTGGCTTCTAACTTCTCCTTACAGTACCACCCTTGAATTAAACATCAAGGGCATAAGAATTAAGGAAATGATCATCAATTCCAGAAACTCTGGATTGTCAAACAAATTCTCCTTGTCAGTACCATTGCAAATGTAGAGAAAAGTGATAGGGCGTAACATGCCTTGAGAAGCTGTCTAGGTTCAAGATATCAGAAAATTTGGGATATATAGACTTAGCAATAGAAAGATGCCCCTCCCCACCTCATCACATCGGACGAATGACCATGAAAACTTTGCAACAGCTGTCCTGACTCAACATCCCATAAGGCACAGGTTGTGTCTCCACTGCCAGTCAATATCTATGAAACATAACCATGGAAAACCAAGCTTGTTAACCCTTTAACTCCCAAGATCTCATTAGTAATTCTCCTTACTGTCTGCCAAATGATTTTCATTATGTTATTTGGAGAATTTGGTATCAGATCAATTAGTAATCCTCTGATCAGGATTCCTGTGCACTAATGATAAGGCCATCATGTCTCTTGCTTCATGCTGATTACTATTAAAAATACTCTTATTACTGTACTATATTTACCTGTTGATCTGAGTTTGTGAATGTACAGCAAGCCATGTAGCTGGTGTGCATAGCAACAGTTTGTTTCTTAGTGGCAGCATCATCATCAAAGCTCAATTTAAACAGAGAACACTTGTTGTCAAGTCCCCTAGGAGGAAAAGTAATAATCTCATATCATGTTTGAACTGAAAGATTTGTCCTAATTCCACTTATCGTTACCAAGACTAATACACATGGATTGTTGACTGAACATCTTGGGAGAACAAAAATTATTCTTCCACCCGAAAAAAAGTAAAGCATATGAAAAAGAACTCAAATAAACAAGCCCACTTTGCATGCTCAAAGACGCAATGATATGTAATGAGTAATGTGCAACTTCAGAGTGGACAGATCTTAATCCTTTAAATCCTTAGAGTGACAGGAATCTAATTTCTTCTTACAATAATACTGTAATCATTCATTAAGATCATGAGAATAAACTTAAGAAGCTTTGATTGTTGGACAAATTCTCTTTGCCAGTACCAAGGGAAAGATATGGAGAATAGTAAAGAGAATATAAATGCTGATGTTGGACTGCAAAGAGTTAATTGAGAGTTGGGAGATCACCTATTGAATGACCTAGCTAGTTCTGACAGGAGTAAGTTTTGCATTGAATTGGTCGACAAAGAGGAACCACTTTTCTATATCAACAATAAAGTGAAGTAAGGAAAAATAAATCAAATGGGATAACCTTGACTTTCCATCACAAATTACAGCTTAACTTACCCACAAGCAACCATGGTTCCTGTCGGTGAATAAGCACAAGCCATGACCCATGTTGTTGGCATGGAAATAGCATGTTCCTGTTAGAGAAAAAAATACCGAAAGGATAAGGGTAAAATATTTTGATTCTGAACTAGAAAACAAGTACTTTTATTCACAACAAGCTATTTTGAGACACCACAATCCAGCTTAAAAACAGGACTTGGAGAACAAAAGAGGTATTCCTTTTGCTTGTATCAGTCTTGTCCTTATGAGAGGACAAGACTGACCAGTCAGTGCTTTATTTGTTAGAATAAATAATTATATACCTTGTGAGTTGTAAATCCATCCCAGACGATCACTTTTCCATCCTAGGAAAAGAAAGAAAATCAAATACTCAAGAACAGGATAAAAGTACAAGGACTATCAACTCTAAACAAGTTGATCACTGTTCCACCACAAAAATGAAATATCAATATCTAGCCACAAGGTAAGAAAACAAAATACTGCACTGTGTTTGGGGTGGACAAGGGGAGATGGAGGAGGGGGTACTGAGCACCAAACCTTAAGGTAGCAAAGAGAGTGAAGTGTTCCACAGATCATTAGTCTCCTTCTACACCATTGTTTGGACTCATCATACATTGAGACTAACTGATTGTGCCATTGTTCTGTAACTTGCTGCAGTGTCCACAATGATTCACTCAACTGATTAAAGCAAGAGAGACAGTAAGAGATATCAAATGTAATTCAAATAATTCAACCTGTGAGCTGCTGACAAGGTGACGTCTGTCCTGTGCCCAATCTAAACAGAGCACCTTCCCTTGATGACCCTTCAGAATTCTGCGAACTTTGAGAGGTGAGTGGAGAAGGTTGTCCACTCTCTGAGCAACATCTTTTACTGAAATCAAAAGACCTCTAAGTCAGCTATGAATGGGAAAAAAGGAAACAACTTGGTCCTAAGGAACACACTAGGCTACGCTCCGTGTGCCCCTTTTTTTGTTCTTACCACATTTTGACGTCATCTGTGATCTATTACGCACCTGATGCACAATAACATGAAATCTATTTGTTAAGTTGATCTTTTCGCCAAACATTTTTTGCTATCTTATATAAATCAAAATAACGCGTTATAAGTTGAAATAAATTTAAAACGATTTTAATGAACAAGGAGAAACAATATATCTTAGGGCACGATATTGCATAACTCTCGTCTAATAGAGGTCTCGTATAAATCAGACCTGCTCAAGACAAATTAAACGAAAGATTCGTAACAAAACTTTTGCAGTAGGTGCATGTAACACGCTTGAAAGCGTGACTAATCATTAGATCACAGAATCATAAGGAATAGTAATCGCAGTATTATAACCAGAGAGAGCTCATCGCAAGCACAATCTAAAGTCACGTTCCGAGATAACAGCTGATGCAAAAGATCAACTCTAGTTTCGAAAGCCAGTGAGCGCTGTTCATTTTCACATCTAAGCAGGTGACAGATACCGACCCTACCCTCTCGATTGATAAATAACAACTTACGTTGAAGATCGTTAACCTTCTGCTTCTCTTCATCTATCTTCACTTTCAATTGCTCCGCTTCCCTACAGAGCGAGGCGAGCGATTCTTCTGAAGATGAGCTTGCCGCCATCTTGTATGTTTACCGACGATCTTTATTTATGCTAATGTAGTAAACCTTCCCATAATGCCAATGAGAGTAGTTTCCAGGACAACAAAATAATTGCATTATTACCAGCTGAGGTCGAGTACTGAAGACAAACTTGTTGCTTTCTTTCGATTCTGGTTTACATTTTTTGCATCTTTTATTTTATAAAATGAGTGCAGATACTCTAAGTGTTACCAGACATAACAATTCTTCTGGAAAAACTCTATTAGACAACTGGGTAGAAGAGGTAAGCGAGTAAAACTCAGTGTCAGTGTTTATAATGTAGTGAAAACTCATATGAAGCTTTTAGAAGTACAGGTATTGGTTGTCAAAATTGGAAATATTAAACCTGTTTTTTACCCTTTTTGCCTGCAGCGACAAACTGAACAGTTTGATAAAGCCGGTGATGTCGATGTTTCTGAGCTACATAAGCAAGGACATAAGGTAAAGGAAGATATATAATAATTAATGAAAGTGTAATATGGATAATTATAGAGAAGAAAATAGTTTGGAGAACATCGAGGCACCCATGTTGGTAGTCATGCCTGTCCACTGCTTTCCTCTTGGTTGAGGGGGGAAACTTAGGCGAGGGAAGGACTGACGTATCCTTTGTCCCTTCTGTGTCATTTTCTTGAAAAGAGGAGTTTATTTAAATTCATGCCTGTACAAGTTATTATCATGGTTGATAAGATGTTCCAATATGCATCGTGATGATTGATTTGTTATGACATTGTTCATCTTTTCTATATCAGGGTATCTTGACGACAGATTTTAATGCCGAAGCAGAGAGATTGTCAACTGTCAGAGATTCATACAGGAAACCAGAGACACTTGGAGTACGAAAAATTGGTTTGAGGCAACAACTTTTACAGGAAGAACTCTACAGACAAGTGAGGTATATTAAAAGGAAGTTTGCTTGGATGCCAAGTGAATGAAACTTTTGTTTTGGCCAGCAAATGAACTGGTCACTCTCCTGTTTACAGACTCCAATAAACGAACACTTATGACAATGGAAGAAATTTTATTAATTACTACATTTGCATTTAATTTGCATCTGCAAGTTACCCAGTTTTATATGCTTCTTCACTGTTATAAATTTACAAAATTAAAATACCTTTTCTGTAGGGATTTTTTTTTAACTAAATAAGCGTTATGGTTTTGCCATGAACAATGGTAGTCAACCATTGAACTCCCAAGATCCAATTAGTAATCCTCCCTATTGTCTGCTATACATTTCCTTGTGACTTAAAGATCAGAATTTGGTCTCATATGAAATAACACTCTCCAGCTGATAAGCTTGCCTGTTCTCATAATCTGTTGGCATGACAACATATTGGAATTGCAAAGAGAAGTGAATTTGCTTCTTTTGTTTTTAGTGCTGAAGTTGATGAAGAATTTAACCCTCCACCACCTACTGTGGAATATCTTTCCACAACCAAGAAGGATTTTTCAAAAGGTTTGTCATGTTAAATGTTAACAGCAAATTACTTGTAATGTCATAATTTGTGCAAAATATCACTTACCTGTTAGTAATGTGCTTGAATCTTCCTAACTATGTATTTTATTGTCAGTAACTTGTATCACAAATTGGTGTGTTAATATCATTGTTGTTATTTGTTAATTTGTTACAGAGTTTACTCCAATAGTCAAGGTACCAACACGGGTAAGTTTATTAAAAACATTTAGAAGGAAATGTTTTCAGTGGATGATTCTGTAACTGTTATTTAAGCTGTTGTCATTCACACTTAACCATGCACTCCAATTTTTCTGACAACCTCTAGAATTTTTTGGAATAGACTACTTGAAGCAGATTGCCTTAATTATTTAGTTAACGTAATACATATGGGTTATTGTGTTGTATTCTTTGGCAAGGCACCTAACTACAACAGGGCCCAGTTGTTTGAAGGCAGATTAGTGCTAACCCAGGGTTAAATTTTAATCCAGGTTTCAATATTTCTCTGTTCTAAAGCCCCTTCAGGATAATTTTCCTTATTCTTATTAGACCATCTAATTATGAAATTGTAGACAAAATTTTGTTGATGTTGACTTTCTTTCAAAGCTTTGAAATTCAGATCTGAAATCAAATTTCACACTAACTCTGGCTTTTCTTAAACCAGCTTTGAACAACTCAGCTTAGGAGTTTAAATGGGAATTAGAAAACCATCAGAAACTAAGGAAAACTTGAAATAATCCATGGGGTCACCTGCAATGATTTGGCATCCCATCCACTTGGGACATCCTCCTGGTTACTCTATACTACAAAAACTGGGGATAGGCACTAGCAGATGAGAGCCACTTGACCTTCAGACTTTACCACCTGTATTTTCTACAAAATAATCCTTAGAAAATTTCTGTTTTGTCTTGCTACTCAGGATCATGATGTCAAGACAGAACAACCTGCAACCTTTTGGCTGGAAAGATCTGAAGAAGTTCATGTAAGTACTATGGATGTCAACATTTTTAGTGAGGTTGGAAGAGAGCTCTAGCAGGGTCTTGATTAATTACATTTAGCAGCCTGCAAGGTTGTTTTTACAGGTAATAATGAGATGTGAACCAATTATCATATTTGTGAACAGGGCTTATCTTATGCATCAAGTCCTCAAATATACTGAGAAAAACTTACAGAAAACATTAACTGCAACCTGAAATTTGTGTAGTCTAAACCTATAATAATCTGGATTTTTTTTTCTTTCTAGGGTGTATCTCAAGTGCGGACCAAGGACACCCCATTCCGTAAAAATGCTGCCTTTAGTACTCCAATAGATGAGTACAAAGATGCACCTAAGCCAGGAGAAGGCTGGAAATTTTAACAGGATCTTTCCCTCCCAATTATCTATGCCAGAATTGTAAATATGTTAGACAATGTTATTTGTCTGTATATCAAATTGTAAAATAATAGTTATGTTGATAACAACCTAGGTTTTGTTAGGTGTGTAACTTTTGTTGTAGTTTGTAGCTTCTCAGAGAGCTTCAAAGTTGAGTTTAATAAGTTAAACTTGTTTAAAAAAAACTACCATTGTTGCTGGGTTTAAACATGAAAGAAGGAATAGTAGAAAAAACACATCATCCCCTTGTATTATCCTTTAAGAAAAAATAGACTTTGAAAAGGCTGTAATGGTGACAATGATTATGATTGATAAGCAATTGCCACTTTTTCATAACTGACATCAAACCTCTTGTCCACACTCACTTTTAGCTTGCCAACATATGTTTTTAATGTTACACTGATACCAAATGACTATCAAACAAATTCTTTTATTTAAGCTCCACCAAAGTTATCAACAGCAATTGATTACTTGTTTTGCTTCAGAAAACAGGACTAGAGATGATAGACATACGGTTATAGACCTTCTTCTCTCAGATACCTTTATTGTGTATCATCACGAACAGAATTTACTTCTGAACTTGTTCACTAATTTTATAATTTAAATTAGCTTCAGAGGTGTGCATGTCCATACTTGACACACAAATCTTCCAATGCAACCTCACATCACGACTGTTGACAGGTCACTCATGCAGAATTGCTCAGTAATCATTTAGACAAGCAGAATGTAGAACCACACCATGCTTTGACTTCAGAGTTTCAATTGGGACACTTTAGCAGCAGACTTCTCCTTCTTTTTCTTGCTATCTTTCTTAGCTTTTACTTGATCCCTGACTTCATCTTGAAGGCGAGAAAAGAAGGTTGATGAAGTTTTGACAGGTTTATCACTACCTTCGTCTCTCAACACAGACACATTTTTTTGAGATGTCTGATCTTTTTCCAATTTCTTTAGAGCAGCCTTTTTAGAATACTTGTTTCCCAGGCCAGGTTTGAGCTTTTCCTTAAGTTTGGCTTTCTTTCCTCTTACCGCAGCTTGGTCATGTTGCCTTCTTTTCTTGGCCCTTCTGTCGCGTTTTCTGTCAGTGTCTGTTTTCTCAGAACTTCCTTTCTGATCTCTCTTCTTTTCATGGACCTCCTCTGGAGCCAACATCATTGCATCACTCACAGTTGCTGGGGTCACTTCTTCTACAGATATCACTGGGACATTACTGACAACTTTAAGTTCTGGTTTGGGCTGAAATAAGAGAAAGTCAACATTGAGACTGGCTTGCAGTGTACACATCTAACTCAACCCTGGACAGCTTGCAAGCAGGTGGTCATTATCCTGAGGAGCAAGCATTTCTTAACCTGCCAGAAAGTTTGAGGCCTTGAACTTGCAGACCTTTAGCCAGTTTGCTTTGTCCAATGCCTCAAACTCTCTCAGGGGTATAGAAACATTTATGCAGCAGTGTTTTTAGTGGTGGCCTGCTTGTAGGCTAAGCCCCAAGCACTAATAAAAGAATTAAGAATTAATTAATGCTTGGCATGCTTAGATCAAGGTATGGATGCATGCTGGAAATTTGGAGAACAAGAGAGAAGCAAAAGAGTTTCTACTAAGAGCAACTTCTAATAATAGATTCTGGAAGAGAATTCTTTACTGTAGGTCTGAACTGGACAACTTACTGGTTTAGGTGTAAAATGAAAGTTTGACAAAGCGTCTAGCTTTACAAAAAGTTTTGTCATCAAGGCTTTGATCTCTGCATGCTCTTCAATTTCTTTCTCTTCAGCTTCCACCTGCAAAATATAGAGTTTAAAATGACATTTCATAACATAACTTAAATCATCCTGGACTAAAAGTATTAACAATTTCAATTATTATAATAAATAGATGTGAAGACTTTGTTGACTTATGAAGGGTTCACCCTTCACTCTCAGCATCTCATTTATAATTATCTTTACTGTGTGCTATAAAATTCTTGTGATGCTAGTTTGGAGAATTTCATATTTAATCAACTACCAATGATAATCCTGTAATTGATAACTAATTTTTTTTGTCCAAGCTGGTAATTTCTATTTTCTTGCCTGGTATTTACTGTACCTGTGTTTGTTTAAGATATTCCTGTTCGTAGATCTGGCTAAGACTTAATTTGCTCTTTTCTTGATCCAGAGGTAACTTTTTCTTGTACTCATATGGCTCAGTGACAGGCTTAACTTTACGCTCAACATCATCCCATGCCTGTAAAAAAATGCCATCAACAGTTTCTCAACAAAATCTAATTCAAATACTTTATATTGTTGCAGCCATTGGCAGGTGAATTGTAAAGAAATACTAGGGAAGTCACAAAATTAAATATTCTAGTCAAGAGTAAGAACTAACAATCCTAGATCCTGTAATAAAAGTTAATGTGGCAGCTGTCTCAAAAAGAAGAAAAAAGGGAGTAAAATTTGTGAAAAATCAGGTGATTTTGCTACATGGCACTGCATCACACTATATCACATAACATCACATCTCTCAACTTGGCACTGTATCACATCCTTAATTGGTAAGAAATGTACCTCATCTTTGATGCGCTGTTTCACTATATCCTCCAAGTTTTGTGTTGTCTCCTCTGTTATGTCTGGAGCTGTGACAGAAATAGAGATTTCAGAAACAGATTTGACAGAAATAGATTTCTGCAACAAAAATGGAGCATCACTAAGATGTGAAAGTGTCACACCTATTTTAGAGACATTTGACAACTTGCAATGTGCTAGTTTGCATATATCTCCTGCTATACTTCACTGACAAAACCGAACAGTTTAAAACATTTACCAAAGTATTTTTTCTATGGATTGAGATCAAATGTGTGATCACCTTCCAATTATTTGCCACTTTACATTACTTCATATTAAGTAAATCTGTTCTCCAGAAAATACATAGGGGTGACACGAAGCATAGTTCCTATAAAATCATGATTTTAAGAATCCCGATTCAGTCTCAAGGTATCAACGGCTTTGAGGGAAGTAAGAAATCTCATTGGGCTCACTGTGCTTCTTTCTAATTGAGAATCTCAAACTTAAAAGCTCTAATTTTAAAACTTTAAACAACATTTTTAATGCCTTGTTAAGTAACAGCTGTGATCATTGGAGAAAATTCCTCAAGAAGGATGCCGTATATAAATTAACACTAATTTCAACTCAAGACACAATAAAATCATTGTCAATAACTAAACTTATGGAAAAAGAGTCGTAATCAATTTGTTTACCAGAAGTGGTTGCATGGTCAAAGCTGACATCTTCTTCAAGCAAGCTGTTGATTGGTCGCACAGTTCCACCAGTTTCTCCTGACATCTGCCAGGGTTTTTCAGCCAAGTTGGCTTTCTCTAGCTTTTCAATTTTCTGTTTTAACTAAATAAAGAAAACAAAGATTAATTTGGAATCTTTCTATGGCTTCATTCAAATTGATCTCTTATAGTGGTCCTTGTCCAATAAATCCTCAAATCCCAGCGAAGTACAGGAATAAAGGGGAAAATAGTGTTAAACCTTTCACTCCCAAGATCTCACGAGTACAGTAATTCTCCTTACTGCCTGCCATAGAATTCTTGTGATGTTAGTCCTGAGAACTTAGTATTGGATCAACCAATAATCTCCTGGTTGATTTTTTTCTTTATTCTCATCACTTGTATACTGGTACTTGTTTATGTAGTGATGTCGCAAGGGGAAATTATGTTCTGGTCACTTGGGTGAATTAAGGGGTTGAAAAAAATCCTCACAAGATCTCTAATCGCTATAGTGACATCATTTTACAAAAGCATTAAAATGGTTTATGAGTATGGTACATGTAAGCCACTGGTACATTATTATATGCCATTAACACCTACACAGCTGCTGAGATGTTTAAAAGAATACTACATGGACCAAATTACCTTGCACTGACCACTGAAAATTATTTCTGTTAGATAAGTGAAGATCCCTGAGAGTATTTCAATATGATCATACAGTTTCATTAAATATTTTTTCTGGTGTGTGGCTCAGTCTAAAGAATGTTTTGTAATACAGAAGGCAAAACCACAATAAGCACTACTGTCTGAGTTATAGAGTTCCTATTTACTGATAACCTTCAATTTTGATAAAAAAAATTTTGATGTGTACTCTCAAGCCTACCCTTTCTTGTTTTTTCTCAAAATTTGACAATATTTTAGTATCCTCTTCCTTGTGACCTATAGAAGGAATTTCATCATCCTCTGTGTCTTGATCTGTATCAGCTTCTGCATCTACTTCCATTTCTTCTTCTTCTTCATCTTCGTCAACATCCCCATTTTGTTCATTTGTTCCATCACCATCCTCTCCCTCAGGGGGATCAAAGAAGTCTGCATATTTCATTTTGATAGCAGATGTTTTCCTTCTGGTTACTTTCCTATTTTTCTCCTTTTTTCTTCTCAAACAAAAGTAAAAAAAATTCATATAATCACAGGTAAGCCAAAATCCTAGCTATTATGCTGTTACCTGTCTTTTTATTGTTTCAAAAACAATAAATATGGTGAAGGCTACAAAAGTGAAGCTCTATATATACATGCCAAACTTTCACAGGATCATGTTCATTCAGCATAATTAAATTATAAGTCCTACCTAAGTTTAATGTTTGGTGATCCCAGGCAAGATACTTTCCTTAAATACATTGAGTGTGTCTTGAGATACCACTTCATGTAGGTTACTTTCTCACTCAGAACATCTAAACATAAATTATTTGTACTGTCTGTCATACATGTCTTGTAGTTTTAGCTGTATGAATTTTGTGTGAAATAAAAGTTATCTCCTTGTAGGTATTTTCCTTTTTTCTCATCACCCTTTTCCTTGAAAACTTTTTGATATTGTAGGAAAAAAATTGCTCTTAGGTCATTCCTGAGAGTGAGGAGGTTGAAAAAGACTAATTTCTGTAGAATCCCAGCACATCAAGCATACCTTCTGACAAGTGACTCTGTTGCATCTATAGCTTCACTCCACCCCTCATCTTCATCATCATCAGTGTCATCACTATCCATATCAATAAAGTAGTCAATAGGCTCAATATCTTCTTTGCCACTAACATCCTCATCATTTATTTTGTTGTCCTTTTTATAAGCTCTTTCATATTTTCTGTCCTCTTTATCTAAAAATTCAAGCATATCAGAAAGTTTGAAGAAAGTGTCATCAACTTGAGATTTTTTCTTGGATGGTCTTGATTTCCTGTTAGCACCATTAGGAAAGCTAACTTCTCTATTATCATCATCATCAATATTGGCATCTTCCTCTTCATGATCTCCACCATTGTCATTATAGTCATCATCATCATCATTGCAGCTGATGTCATCATTATTATCGTCTTCATCACCATTTTCATCATCTTTATCCGACTGATCATCAGAATTCTCTGCATGTTTTACTTCACCATTGTCATTTCCAAAATTGGCTTTTTTCTCTTCCAAGTCCTGTCTGTGATTCACGATATGTCTTCCTCCAAGTAAAAGAGAAAGCTTGTGAGGATTTTCTTTCAAATCTAAAATTTCTTGCTTAAGTCCACGCATCAAAGGAGTATTCTGCAGCTCAATTTCTTGCCATATCTGTTCATCGTCAAAATTTTCGATCAAGAGTTCCTGCAAAAGACACGTGCTCGCAACAGAACGCTTTCCACGTAGTTCATCTCTCTTGCAAAAGTCAAATATCTGCTTGATTGCAATTAACGTATTCTTATGAAGAGAAGTGGGAGGTTTAAGATACAATTCTGGATGATCAAAAGCGTCCTCAAAGCTCGAAATAACAGTATCAAGAGGATGCTCTTCGTTGATGTCGTCGGCCATGTTAGTTTCTCATTTTTCCAATCGCTCCAGTCTTTTTTTATAAGGATTCTATAAAGGTCGAGGAGGTCTGGAACGTATACTGTCAAGTTAACTTTTTCCAAATGGCGGATTCGGATTCCGACGGCCAAGAATTGACAATTTCTGAGCAAAAGAATGTCGGTACAGAGCATTCAAAAGAGAAAAGAAAAGGTAAAAATTACGTTACTGTTTCCTATCGTATTAAATAACGGCTATTCTAGAGACAAAGTCTCTCTACTGTTCATAAATTTACCGCTCGAGGCGGTGAAATCTATTAGATGTGAGACCGTCGCACCCTGTGAATTAAAAGCCGCTGATTTTGGGAAAGCGACTAATATTTGATTGATCGAGTAATGTCCTTTTTTTCAGTGGGAGAGGAGATATTTTCTTTTGTGTAATCGGACACCATTAAATTGATACCCCCTTAGGAAGGTTTTCCTTCTTGCTGCGACAAATTGTAAGAGGAGAAATGGTACTTAAATACAAAGTCTACGACGGCGTGGTACTTGTGCACACCGGAAGATGCCTAAGATGTCAACGAATAAAACTTCGCATAGAAATACTGCTTTTTCCTGTACAATTCGTTGAAGAAGCAAGAACGATTGCTTGAAGATAAAACAGCCATGTTTCGCTCTGATTTAATTTTTAATCCGTGGTATGGCGACACCACAACGCTTAGCTTTTAATTTTGTTATTTTATGAGACAATCTAAAATTTATGTTTAAAATCTCGTAACTATCACTAACCACACGCCCACTCCATTTTCTGTAGGAATCGTCTCGTTATTTTTGTTTGATTAACAGCCTGAAGCATACTAAGAGGAATTCCATGTAATAAAATTTTGCAGTGAATTTTCACTAAAACTATACCAAACTAAGTTGAATTTACCTTAAGAAAATTGATAATATTTACTTGACCATCTCATAATGTTATCATCCTTGATTACCCTATTTGCTTGTGAGTGTCTTTGTAACTTGACTCTGTTTTGAGACATACAAAGAAAAATCTTATTATAAGTGTGTGATTTATTTTTTTGGAGATAAAGATCAATTTTTCATTTGTCTAAGTCTTGTGATTAGGAAGTTGTCATATGCTGTCATTCTAGTCACCACACAAAGAAAGAACAGCACTTTAGAAAGGCAGTGAAAGCCTAATTTGAGATTTTGGAAGTCAATTTGAGGGAAGTTTATCTTTAACTTCTCTGTGAGAAACCTCATATACTAATAAAGCTGATCAAGATGGTGTTTTCATAAGGAACCAGTTTTTACATAAGAATATTCTAGTATCAGGTAAACTCAAAGGTGAAGTGTCTTTCAAAATACTAGTCATTATTATGGGCAAAACTAACCCTTTTATTTACTTTTCATTTAAAATTATTTTCACAATAACAATATGTTTACAAAATACTTGGATATAGGAAAGCATAAGTAAAAGCAGATCTCTGACTTATGAGCCAATTTTTGCTGTGGATCATTTACCTGAGAATACCATGATTGTAAAGTTTGTATTTTAGAAAGTATAAATTGCACATGAACCAAAGTACATGTACTCACACATTGCCATTGGGTTGTTCATGTGAGTTATAAAGAAAAACAAGAGCCAAAAAACTACCTATAGTAACCACAAGCACTTCCCAGTAGATGTCATTTTGCATTGTTTATTGTCAGTAATACCTTTGCCACTGTTATCATCACACAGTAGCTCTTTTGTTTCCAGGGATCATGTAGACAGTAGTGGGAACCGTGAAGTGAGACCCAACACTGCAGAATGCTCAAAATTCCAGTTTTAAAGGAGCCTATATCTTGTTCCACTCTTTTCTTACACTAAATAATTAATCTCACTTAGGCCCAGAAATGTTAACTTTTAAGATTGTTTCTATGTTTTATAAATATTTTTCTACCAGCAGAGGTTTCCTTTTAACTTCTCTTCTGCTACAGCATTTGCCAATGAAAAATCCTGTTCTATCACTTCTCAAGCACTTTGTTTTCTCCTAATTTGCCTGCTTTTGGATCTTGAACTCAAACAGAAAAACCATATTCTTAAAAATTTCACATTTGACCTAAATGTTTAATTTACTTTTATTAAAATGTAGGGAAACATACCATCAGTGAGAAAGAGAGGCTCAAAAAAAGAGGAGTTAGTAAACCTGGTCGTGCTGTGGTGATATCTGGAGGAAGCACAGAACCCCAGTTGGATGATGTGCCTGTGGATTTATCTGCAGATCACAAAGATCTAGTCATGGAGTACTCAGGTAACAAATTAAGTTGCATTATAAAATTATTAATATGTAAAAAAAGGTAAGTCTGTTCTCAAGCTTATGGCTTCCAATGCTGGAGCTCTACAGCATAAAATCAGAACTCATATTCTCCATACTGTTCTCTATACATTTCTCAAGGTGCTAACAAGGAGAATTTGTTTTAACAATCAAGATCCTCTTTAGTTAGTGATCATTTCCTTTATTCTCCTGACCTTGATGTGTGATTCAGGGGTAATATTGTAAGGAGAAATCAGATGTTAGTCAATCAGTGGCTTTGGGTGACTTTCTTAACTGCTTTTTGAAAGCTTATACTTGCTGAACTCCCCTTTTTAGACAGAAGCTCTCAGGCATTTTGTGGTTCCTCTGAGAGCAGAGCTTTGTATTTGGTTACATAAAGTGACTTTTTACTTGCTTGTCGGGGATAGTTATGTGTATTTTCTTTTACTGTTATCAGTATTCTGTTTGGGTCCTAATGAAATTTGCATCACCTTTTTTTTTCATTCTTATCAGTCTTTTGATATTACCGTACTTGTAATCAGCTTTGTTTTTACAACATTCTACAAAAAAGAAATCTTAACTTCAAGGTCAGATAAAACCAATAGGTGATGTTGCATTAACAAAATATTAATGAAAAGTATTAAATGAAAGTGGACTATAGATTTGCTCAGCATTTTCTAGTTCAGTGGCAAGGTATGTTAGCACTCTGTCTAGTTAGCAGATTATAGGAACAGGCAACTTTAACAGGGGTTCAATCTAACCTACACTTTCTTAGACATATAATTACATTTTAAGCTCAATTTGGATGCTCTTGAAATTATAGTAATTTTGTAATGCAAAGGTTATGTTTTTGTAATAGTTATGTACTTGGGTCTTCAAAGTCAAACAAATTGAAAAAAATCATTTTGATGTACAGCGTTGTAATTTGGATCATTTATTTCAAATTGATGTCCTTTATTAAATAACCTATTAGTCAGTTTATGTAAATGAAATACGTGGATTTATCAACTACCTATGTTCCTTTTGTACATTATCCATGGGCAAATAAAAGGTATTGTTAATTTTAAGAAAATTAGTCATTTAGAATTCAACTTTGCAACTTCAGAATTTTATTTATCTTGCTCATTGTTCATAATAGAAAACTGTTTGAAATTTGGAAGGAAAAATCCATTTTTTTTTAGGATTTGTTTCAAGTATTTTTACTGGTGTAGAAACTTAAGCATGACTTCCAATATCCTTTTATATTACTGGTAATTTTTTATAGATGAAAAATTCAAATCAAGAGGCATCAAAATACATGATTTAGGTGACGTCTGGGGATTTTCCAGAGAATCTTGAATCAATTTGTTGCTGCTTTGTAATTGAGATGATTTGTACTTGTCAGTATGGTGAATATATGAACAGAATTATAATTTGTGCAAAAAGATTCATTCTGAAAGTCTAATCAGGTGGGATTTTCAATTTCAATTAAAAAATGAAGTGGATGTTATTTTCCAACACAGCCTGTTGTTACCTACAGACTTCCATGCAGTTCTGAAATTGATTATGATATGCGTTTTTGTATTTCAGAGTATTGAATATTGTAGAGACAGTGCATTACATTATTAAAGGAAATAAGTAATGCTTTCATGCTCTTGTGTTTTACCTCAGGGTCTGATAAAACTTATAGGTAATGTTGCATCACTTAAATATCAGAGAAAAATATTAATTGAAAGTTGACCAAACATTTACCAAGATTTACTTCAGCATTTTCTAGTTCAGTGGCAAGGTATATTAAAACTTTTTCTAGTTGGCATATTTTAGGGTGAGGCAAATTTAACAGGTGTTCAATCTAATCTGAATTTTTTTCTCATGTAACTCCATTATAAGCTCAATTTGGATGCTCTTGAAAGGATAATACGCCTTTTTTGTATTTCAGAGTATTGAATATTGTCGAGACAGTACATTACATAATTAAAGAAAACAAGTAATGCTACCATGCTTTCTTGTTTCTTACCAGAGAACATATTATGTGAGGGTTACATTTAGCTTTATTTTGCCCTCCAGGCTTTTCAGTAGATCAAACAACTTTAATTGCTTAGAATTAGAACTATGTTAACAACTTTTCCCTGCAAAAAGAAAGTCTCCTGCAGTGACTGGTTTCTAACACATTCCTTCATCAATTTTTATGCATCATGCATATGTTAATCAAGGCTAATTAAACACATTGGTGTTAAACCTTCATTGAATGAGTAGTTGTAAAATGAGAGTTCTAGAACAAGTCAAAACCAAGGATAATTTTGTCCACGTCAAGCCAGACCACCTTTTCATACTTATCCTTTAACTTCTCCCAGAACTCTTATTTTATAACTACTACTACAGAGACAAGCTCAGAAATCTCATGTCTCTCTCTTTTTTTTTTTTTTTTTTTTTTGAAAAAATTATAACATATTAACATGTCAATCTTCAGTATCAGGACGAATTTTGATAAATTCAATGGTACAACAGGCTCACCATCAATATTGGATCTTTTATAAAGAATTCATGATGTGCCTTGATTTTCTCTTTTATCAAAAGAGTGTTTTTGTAAATGAGAAAAGTATGGCAGTTTCATTGATAGGTCACACTCTCAAGCTCTTGGTTGATGATGTTGAGCAGAGCATCTGAGAGGATGAAGATGTAGCATTTCACATTACCTGAATCTGATACTTTCCTGTTATTTATGAGCTGAATTCCTTCTTTCATATTCACCAATGTCAATCCTGAGCAGTGAAGATTGTTGTTTTTCATACTCCTGAGATCAATGAAAAGACTGAATCTATCTGCAGCATAGAAGTCTGTTGCATTCATTGCACTGTTTTCCTTTCCAAATCTTCTGAAGACCTCCTCCCACATACCTCTTGTCCTCATTTACTGTAAATCTTATTTGGGATTCTAGTCACAATCACCTTTACCTCAGTTATATCAGGATAGAATGTCTTCTCACTATTTCTTGCTCCTGCTGTGTATAGCTTGTAGAATTGAAGAAGAAGTTCCCTCATTGACCTCCTTGGGGCATCTACTGTATCATTGCTTATTGAGTCAGTTCCCTTATCTATTGATATTGCCTTGAGGTGAGTGACATGCTCGCACCGGAATCTCTTTTCATTTGTGTAGTTAAACAAGGTGTCACCAGCGAGTTCTTGACTGTGCATTACTTTATACTCAAGGTGGATGTTAGTCAATTCATAGGTGAGCTGTGTCTCGTCAGATCCTATCACAACATTGCTGGCAGGTGCAAGCCTGAGCTCGAAAAGAAGCTCATCAGAAAGAGCTCTTGGGAAAAAGACTCCATGATCCTTCCGAATTTCAAAATCCAATGGAACCCTATATTTGTTCCCAGCTTTGCATCTGATCTTCGAAAGATCTTCAGATTGACTACCTTCTCTGAACACGATGCTCTCCCTCTCACTCTTAGTCAAGAAGAGGTCTTCATAGAGCTTGAAAAGATCATAGCCATCAGTGTCCTGAACGATTTCTCCTGCGAATTTAACTGTTAGTCGATTAACAAGTGCTCTTAATGCATTGTTCACGAGGAAATTGTTTGATTCACCACTAACTGTCGAGTCAAAGATGAGGGAAAGAAATCCCAGCACAAGTACCACATCATCATAAAACCTTGGAGCTGAGATTGTAAGGACTTCACCCGGAGAAGCCCCAAAGGGTTAAATGTTACTTGATGAATTATACGGTCCACCTTGAGAGCGTTTGACGTCTCTTTTTCAAAACTTGGTTTGGTTTTTTCGCTGACTTCCATTTTAAGAGATTTTGTTGATACTGATCCTATGTTAGACAAAGAAGGAAATGCAAATGATGGATATGATGAAGATGGTGGAAATATAACAGAACACTTTACCTATAATCCTTAGTACAATTCAACTTCCGGTCCCTCAGGTGATCAATATGAAATGGCAACAGTGAATAGGGAGGGAGGGAAAGCACCGGAAACTATTAAAACGTCTTTCATTGATCGTGATTCACTTAATCAAACAAGAATAACTATGGCAAACTTACAACTTGGAGGAAAGTTTCCTGAATATGGTAAAAATGCTAAAGTACTAAACTCAGTTGTCGACAAAGGTCGATACAGAGATAAATTTTTTGTTGTTGGTCCTCGAGGAGGAAAAACCCCTTCATTCAATTCAGAAGGGGCCCTGAATCCTAAACTTTCAAGAGAAACTGTCGCATCCCACACAGTTATAAAAGCCCTGTTCCACAAGAGAAAGATGGTTCAAGAATATAACGACACTCAACCACTAAATGGTAACAAACAATCATACTAATAATAACAATTGATGATGATAACAAAATTAATAGTAATGATAACGTATAGGGGTTAGCTCATGAACCTCACTGTTCCTCTTTCGGTCTATCCCTAGGCTCTAATAATGATTAAACTAGCCTTCTTTTAATTTTGATTTTCCTGTTAATGATAGATCGTTTTCTAATTTCATCGCAATTCCATTTTTGCTAGACTTTTGTTTCATACAACAAGGCATTCCGTGTTGTTAATATTCCGCCATTCCATCATTTCATCGAATGGCGTCACCCTGTTGAAGTCAACGTATCGTATTTTGGAGCTTGCTCGCTTCGCAAATATAGCGGCTTTTTTTGAGCATTAATTTGTCGCTGATTGAAATAGTAGAATGATTACTTTTCAAATAAATAAAATTTTTCTTCAAAGTTTCCACGATGTGCAGATCAAGCCTATTAAGATATTTCTGTAAGGAAAAAAGTCTTTTTTCAATTACGTGCCAGAGACGAAGAGGTCGTTCGTATTCTATTGCTACCCTCACCCACTCAACAGGACAACATTATGGCTTTGCCTCCATAGGTGACAGTAGCCATAAAAATTGAACTGCCGGCGCCTGCTTCTTTCCTCTTCGATTCAGAGTGAGTTCAAGGGGAAAACCTTCAATTTCAAGTGCCTTCTTCTTATCATCATCCTAATATCTTATGTCTGATCCTGTGACGCTCCACTGAACTCCATCTGATCGACTGAAGTAAACTCCATCTGTTGCCTGTCTTTTATCATCGAACGACACTTGCGCACTGAACTTATTAAAGTCTGCATTTGGATATCGTGCTTTGAAGTAGTTCCAGGCTTTTGTCTTAGCTTTATCTGCAATTTTATTCGCTTCGTCGTAAATATTTTAACTGTATCAAACAATTAAAAATGGTTGTATTAACCTTAACAACAGATTCGAGTGATCACACGGTTCGCTTCCGAGAACCTCTCTATAAATTTCACATAACAAACTGGTGAGTTGTTCTCAATATAACTCTTGGCACAACTTAAGTCGTTCTGGAGAAATCTCTATATTCGATTACCAGATCAAAGCAGGAGTAAAAAAATTCCTGAAAGTAACTATTCACTCAATAGCCTTGGTTTAGCACTTCAAGAAACATTGAAGAGCGAAGGAGGTATGGTTCAAATGAATACTCCGGTAGAATGGAGGTTTGGAAATGCATAATCCGAGGAATAAGAAGATTATTCGTGACAATGATCTGGCTAATCTTCTCGGAATAAAACGACGATTACAAGAGCAAGTAGAGTTTCCATTTTGATATTAATCAAGCAATATATAACCTTGATAGAAAAGCTATCACTCAGACGGAGAGAGATTTGGATAATTACATGATCGTATTGGGAGAGAACGATAAAATTTTAAAAATGGAGAGATTCCGAAGGAGATTGGAAATGGAGATAAAAAGAGGTGATGAAATAAGGACTTTAAAAGAGGAATTAAAGAAGAAACGTCAACAAAGGAGGACGCAACCCATATTTAAAGAAGGAAAAACGTGAAGAAACTGAACAGTAATGGTTTGCGTATCATATTCTGAATCCGATTAATTATAAAGATAAACAAAAATAGGTGAAATTAACTTCAGATAAATCTTGTAAAATCTAAAACGTATGATATGTTATGCGAGAAAGTAAATTTGAAATCACCTGCTGACGCATCCACTCAAATAATTCTTTTTGTGCGATAAAACTCTCACGATTTTCAACGTCATATTTGATTCCTTAAGAGTCATTTACAAATAATTTTAATTTTTCTCACCCACAATTTTCATGGCTGCTGCCTCCTATGGAGGCGAAGCCATAATGTTGTCCTGTTGAGTGAGTGAGGGTAACAATAGAATACGAACGACCTCTTCGTTCACGACAAAGTCTGCCGAGATTTACCCGATATTCCTCGCTCTTGGCTTTTGTTTGTTTCGGAACATCTTCGGTCGTTCAACGCTTAGTGACGATTTCTTTGAATCGCTTCGAATGTTACGGAATATTAGCAGGTAATCACACTGTGTTTCGGTGCTACTTATTGTTCGTCTCGTAGTGTACTCAGAAGAAGATAAACATCTCACCTTCCTGAAATGTTCAGCCGACTTTCAATGAATGCAATTAAGTAAGCAGAAGTCTGCGCAATCATTGCGACTGTATTCATATTCTATCTCAGTGATTAAGAGGATAAGCTTCATCAAAAGTTTCACGATGAATACTTGTTGTCGATTCTCCAAAATAATGTTGAAGATAAATAAAATGGCAAGCATAGTTAAAATAAATTCTTCTTTCTGGTATAATGGGAAAAAGCTTCTCAATTTCTGGGTTTAAACCGGACAACTTTTTATCCTTGGTTTTGCCTTGTCCTAGAACTCTCATTTTACAACTACTGATTGTAAATCAAGTACACAAGCAATAGAATTCATTTGGCTTCTAGTCTCGTTATGTTATGTAATTAACTTACCCAAAATATTTATTTTCAGGCTGATAGTGGAGCAAAAAGAATCATTTTCCATGAAAATGTATTGATATTATTTCCTTATTTAATTGATCTCACCAAATTGCATACGAGATTGATTTCTATGTAATTGCTTTTATTTTGATATGTCTGTTAAGGCCACCCCCTATTTCTCTTCTTTAGAGTGTACATGTATATTTTGACAGTTCCATTTGCTTGCAGTTGTATTTCCTTGCTCTCGTCTGTACAACTTTTACTAAATCAAAGCGTAGTTTTTTAAAGTATTAAATTTGATATTGCATGTGCCAATCATATGTTTTGGTGACTACCAACCTGAGTGACAATTTAAAAGTACCCAAACTTATTGATTATTTTATGTTCGTAGAAAACTCTCGTTAAATGCTACGAGAGAGATGGCTTATCAGAATTTATTACTCCAGATATTGTAAGTCATGCCAAATAAAACTGCTAATATATTTAATTGCCTTAAGGGTAATTTTCTAATCAATATCTCAACTATTAGTGGTCAGTTCAATATAGTGCTGTATATGTAGATGAAAGGTACTTAGAGATGTAAAGTAAATTTATTGGTACAAGGTAGTTTTAATAGCAACATAGTTATGAGTTCTCTCTCATTTAATCAAGAGATATTAAAAAATTCATTGCCTGTAAGATATTTCTGCAGTTGTGGAGGTAAATCAGTGTTAGAATATGGTAAGTAAAAAAGGGTTCATTATTGTGCTTTTTGATGTAGAATTTTCTGTTTAAATTTATGCCTAGAAATTTCATTGATGAGATATTGGATTTGAAATGAGGCACTTTGAAGTTGAAGGGTTGTTAAGAGGGAAATTATCATGTAATGAACACTGTGTGTAGTGAGTAACACTGGTAATCCAAGCACTGTGATAGAAGAATAGACTAAGCAGATGACTTTTGTACCAACATAAAGCAACTGCTTCTGAAAATAAAGGGGGTAAGTTTCTAAAGAAACTGTGGTACTGCGTCGGTGGCAGAGTATAACAGGGTAATACGGTACTATCAACTGAGTTGATAACATAAATTGCTTACAGTAAAGAGTTTCAAAGCTGACGTTTTATGCGTTAGCCCTTCGTCAGAGCGAATGGCTTCTGAAATAGATGAGCAGAATTTAGTTATTCTCTACGTACATTTAGTGTATATCTTTCTTTTGCAGATATCTTTGAGCCATCGGAAGATGCTGGCTTTATTGATATTCAAGATGGTGATGCCATTTCTGAGAGCAGTGACACTGAGGTTGTGGCACACACCAGAGAAGAGATACAGTATGACAATCCAGAAACATCAAGCGAAAGTGATAGTGAGAATGAAGGAAACGAGGGTCCTCCCCCATTGGATAGTGATGAGGATGACGATGAGGGTAGTGATGTTGACGGTATTGACGGCCCCCCTCCATTGCACAGCGATGACAACGCTGAGAACACAGATAATGGAGATGAGCTGGTTACCTCACCTGACAGTGGTAGCAGGGAGGATTTGAGCTCCAGGAGAGCCCCTGTACCCAGAGAAAGGAGAGGCGTGAAGAGTTCTGATGACTCTGACAGTGATAGTGAAAGGGAAGTGCCTCCACCTCTTGATAGTGAAGATGAAGGAGAAGAAAATGATTCCAGAAGCCCTGCTGTAGAAGCTGCCGAAAGTGCTGATGTGGATTCTGTTGGAGGTTATGCTCATGATTCACCAGCTGAAGATGCGAATGATAATGACGATGAGCAGCCTGGTGGTAAGTTTGATGAAGATGATGATGACGAAGAGGAGGAGGAACAACCTATCAGTAATGATGGTAATGCTGACGATGGTGATAATGACGACAAGAAGGAAGAAGAAGATGTTGAGGTAGTGCCGCAGTCTCCTAGGCCTGTCACACCTGAATCTGAAAATTCAGAGGAAGGTGAACTGTCTGATTCATCTCGAGAAGTTGAGACGCAGATTCCAAAGCAGGATCAGTCTGACGACCCTGATGACGATGTTGAGGATGATAAAGAGAGTGATCATGAAGCAGTTTTGGATACAATAGAAAACGAAAATGTCGCGTCTATTGCTGATGAGGTTAGCAGCTCTTTAGTCCCAGTCGAGGAATCGCACGAAGACGAAAAAGAGGAAAGCGAGGATGAAGGTGAAACTGGAGATACAGTTGGCGGTGAATTTGATGAGAAAGGTACTGTAAAATCTGATCATGACCACAATGTTTCACATACTTTTAGAGAAGAAGAGGCGCGTCGTGATGATAGCGATCACGATAGTGACGAGTCACAAGAATTTGTTCCCATTGAAGACGACAATGAATTGGAATGGGATGTAGAAGATTTTGATGTTCCTGAACACAAAACTGTTAAAAGGACTTCAAAGGTGAATAAAGAAGTTCAAGAGGTTGACAAATTGAAAAAGACTTTTCTGGACACTCTAAAGAGTGAAGCAGAAGGTATGAAGGTTGTCAGAACTGAACAGAAAGCTGATTCAAAGAAAAAGGTTGATAAAGGAGTAAGAGAAAAGAAAATTCTTGAAGACGATAAGGAACGTGCACTTGGTAGTTCAAAAGATTTGGAAACTAAAGATTTAAAACCTGAGTCTGGAAAATATCCTAGAAAGGTAACAAAAGATAATCCAGGTAATAATGAACACGTGAAAGTTGAAAAGAAAGTTGTCAAGGATTTGGTGGTCAAAGATAAATCAAAAACTGTAGTCTCTTCAAAGCCAGTTGACAATGCAGCAAAGCCGAAGAAAGGAAAACTGAAAGCTGCAGATAAGAATCTAGAGGAAACGAATAAGCAACAGACTGAAAAACTTAAGAAGGGTTTTAAAGAAAGCTCAAAAGTAACTAAAACATCCGCCATGGAAAGGGAAGGAATTTCTAAAGCTGGGAATGTTAAGTCTGCCTCAGTTTCGTCATTGCCTATTGGTGCGGATGTGCAGCGGAGAAATCAGCCAACAAAAGAGAAGAAGAAAACAAGGCCAGTCAGTGATTTTCGCGCTGATTCTCGTTCACATAACCAGACAGACGAGGTGCATGTAGCTGCTAATCAACCAAGAAAGGAAGCGAAGAAACCGCGGAAAAGTGACAGTGACTCAACATCGGACTCGTTAACAAGGAAAAAACCACAGAAAACAACTTCGTCTGAATCTGTATCTTCCAAGAAACAGAAATCTAGTTCGACCACTACAACTACGCGCGGGGAAAGAGAAAAGTCCTCAGAAAAAGCAGAGGTGAGAAAAAACAAATCTAAAAGGACTGTGAGTAAGCCCGATGAATCTGATCAGGAAGAGGAAATCAGTCGTGAAAGGAAGAAACGGAGCGATGCACCGGTTAAAAATCCAGGTGAATCGAAATCCAAACCGAGAGGAAGACCGACGAGTAATGGTCACCTTTCGAGTTCACAAGAAAAACTTTCCTTTCATTCTGGTCACCACGATCAAAGCCCCAGGGAACATGGTCTCAGGGGTCATCTTGCGAGGGACCATGTTGCTAAGGACCACAGTTTGAGGGACAATGTTACTAAGGATCACACTGCCAGGGGCCATGGTAGTAGGGAGCGCATTGCAAGGGACCATGGTAGCAGGGAGAATGTTGCTAGAGACCATGGTATCAGAGAGCATGATGCTAGGGATCATGGTAATAGGGACCATGTTCCTAGAGAACGTGGCACTCACAAGCACAGTGGCCACACCCATGATCGAAGCAAACACGTCTGGCTTTGCAGAGATGATGAGATCCATAAACTCATTGCACAAAAGGCTTCCTTGTTAAAGGAGTACGAGTCAGGAAGCTTGGCTGGCAGGAAAGTTTGTGAGTAAATAATTATATGATATTTAACAATTATTAAACGCTGGTGAAGGGAAGTCGCGATCAATAAACTTGGTTCCTTTCCCTAAAGTAGGCGAGGAGCAGCGCGAGGTGGAAGCGAGAGGAGGAGCGTGACTCGTCCGTCGTGCGTGTATCGTTGCCTGCCGTCCGTTGAAAAAAGCGTAAAAAAGGATTAGGTCTATCCTGAAAGCAATGCGTCCTGGCTAACAAGGTATGGTTGGGTTATGGAGCATGTTGCCTGACCCTCTGAAACGGCGGCTACGAAAGAGACTATAGATAGTACGTGGAACAAACTCAGTGCCCTTCTTACGTTTGACTTCGGCTGCTTGTTTTTCACCTTGGGTCAGTTATGTTATGATGTGCTTTTAGTTTCAGGACACAAGAGTCGTCACAAGCGGGAAGAGGATCCTGCCGATCTGCCTGACGTGGGATTCGTTGGCAGCAAACCGAACAGAAGACAAACGAGACCGATGAGCGAGGTCATCCCAGGTGGTGTTCCTTACAGCTCTCGGAGGAAGGATAAGCGTCAATCTCTGCAGCTTTCATACACTGGATCGTCAACAGATGACGACGAACGCACGAACAGGGCAGCAGAGGTAAAGAAAACGGGAACTTTTGCGGTGGGACTAGCGTCACGTAACATCGAGCATTCGGAACCAGCAGGAGAGAGTGACTCGGAACACGAGGAGACTTGTGAATATTGTGCTGCAGAGAAGGTATGGAGCAGTTAGATTCTGTTCTCATCTCAGTCCGCGTAACTTCTAGAATATCTTTTTTTTTTTTTTTTTTCATTTAACCAAGCTCAATTTTCACTGTCTTATCCTATTTGCTGTCTGAATTGCTGATCCTAGCAATATGCATAACGCTTTTCACGTGTGACCCTAAAAATGGCGTTGCTTGTCATGGAGTTCGGTATAGTTCAATGGTGAAACATCGGGACTCGGAATCCGACGGTGTAGGGCTCGATTCCTCATGGCAACTCAGATTTTATTTCTTTGACCCTCACTCGTGACAACACGAACATAAGACGTCCTTACTGAAAACGTTACCTTTTAAAAAAAATTTAAGACATCACTGAGTAAACCAATTTAGGCCGTGGACGAACTTGCAATTCTGAAGTTGCGATTTCAGACCTCCAAAGAAGCTAAAATGTCCAAATCGCAATTAAAATCTCAATTTTTGTGGTGTGAGCTTTTTCCTTTTTTTGCCTTCTACTCCGTCTTCGTATTTACCCCCGCATTATCACAACACACTCAAAGAAATACTCGCTTCTATGTTGACTGAAGGTTCTGTGTTACATATGGTACTTCAGCACAGTTCTAACCTACACTTACAGTTTTCTTATCACGTTTTTCCTACACCGTACTGTTACAGTTGTCTTGTACTCAAAAGCAAGACCTCACTGAATTCTTCCTCCCTTTACAGTAACTTTCTTGACTTTCTCCAACTTGAACCTTAGACTTCATCTCATCTTTGTCTTGCAAGGATTCAGAGAAATAGTCGACAAAAGTGAAAACTGGAAGACAAACTCAACTTCAATCTAACTGTGTCTTTATTTTCTCTTTTCCTTGGCTCTCCACGTTGTGTCTGTATTTGCTGGTTGTTTTAAGATGACTTGGCATGAGTATGTAAAGAGCTGTAAGCAGGCCGTGACCCAACGCCGGGGGCAGCAGGACTGTGATGATTCCCGAACTCTCCCTCTTCCACCGCTTCAAACCTTCCGCTTGCCGGGACCTTTCTTTGACTCATCTGTAAGTTACTTCCATGCGTCAGATTTTGAACTAAGTGCTGGCATACATTTTTCCCGTCTCGATACACTTTCTTCATAAGAGATTATATTCCTGACAAATCTTCATCGTGAACTGCTCACATGTCTGTATTTTATAGACGGCTTTATTCATTTATTTCATAAATGTTGAACAGTCTCTCATGTGTGCTTCATTTTGTTTTGTTTTGTTTTTTTAATTTTTTTTCTTTTGACGCCGCCGTTTAGTTGAGTTTGAAATCCTTCTATCTGGTTAAATTATTTATCATCGTATTTCTTGCTAAGAGCGCGGCTGTTCTCGTGAAGTCGTTTGTTTCCAGTGACTAGCGTCTGACGCTTTCTCCGTTTTATTCCGCTTTCATCCCCTAATCTTGAAGCTTCTCTTGTATTTCTTGATGTTTTTCGCATGGATTGGAAAAAGATCTTGGAGTACAGGGGCAAATCATAATACGTGGGAAAGTGGGTGAGGCAAGGAGAGGGTGAGTGGTGGAGGCGGGAAGGGGTTGGGGACAAACGAGGGGCGGCTTTTAGAAAACGTGATATTGCAGATGGCGTTTTTCTTTCTTGGTTAGTATAGGTGATGTGGATGGTAACATTGAAGTCTGTCTTTAGTAGACTCAAAATATCTACTTATAACTCCTGAGTATCGTTCCATTTTATCTTTATCATAAAGGATCTTGATTAGAGGTTACATCGCGTGCAGAAAAGAGATTATGTTCTCAATAGCAATTTGCTCTCGCTCAACAAAAATTTTTTCTTTGAGGCTTGATGATCTCCTCGGGGAAAAATTTCATTGAGAGATGATTACAAATGATGATGCTCTTGGGAAGAAGCGGAGAAAATCTGTTGCAAAAACTTGTGGAAAATTTGTTTCTCATTTGCTTCTCGTGGAACTCATAAAAAAAGAAGAAAAGTTAGCTATCACGGTTGAAAGATCCTATCCCATGAAAGTGTTTCATTTCTCAAAGCCTGTTTATCGGTCGCTCACATGTCCTTAAAAGTAATTGCGCTTTGTCAAGTACAAATGCATATTTGCCTTCGGTTGCTGTTTCCGTCAATTTAAGCGTGATTAAAGGATTTAAATTCCTGTTTCTGTAATGATCTTTACTTATTCCTAAAAGCAAGCTAGTTATCTTGTGACCACAATATTCCTTGAAACATCTGTCGTCTCTTTTTATTTCTTCGTTTCGTTTTTTATCACAAGACTCGAATGAAAAAGCGCTCTGGATCGATCGGCCCGGGACTCAACATTTTCCCTTCTCCTTTTGACACGGATGAAATTGTTATTCTAAGGGATGGATTTCATTGTTACTGCGTTTGTAAACTGAATTGCGGGGCTATTTTGACTAGAAGAATGTGGTTTTATTGCGAATCAATGGGATAAATAATTGAGCGCTAAACCACCGCTGTGATGGATACAAATCAAGTCGGTCAACAGTAAGAATAACTTTCGGATCTTGTGGAAGAAAGTTTCGAAGCGGACCATTTTGGCTCGAATTTCCTCTTTTCTGTTCTTGGCGATGGCCAAACGAGTTTTACCGAGCCGTTAAGCAAATCGGTATTTTTTTCAGTTCGCACTTCCAAACTGGAAACTTCATGCCGTATCTCCACGAAACCTGCCTTCTCGAAGAGTGCCATGGTTTTGTACGTAAAATATGAGTTATTTACCTTCCGGGTCATAATATTCCGTATTGCTCGCGGTACAGGTTGTTTGGATATTTTAACCTACTTTCCTAATTTTTATTCGTAGGCTGCGGCAAACAAGGCCCGAGAGCGAAATCCAGGTAAGTTTGTGATGTGTCTTTATTTAGTGTTTACTTTTACATCGTCGAGTTTGTGCTGACAGATAATTGAAAATATCTCTATTTTCTCGCCGAGTGATTTACCAAAAAGAGATAGTGGAGCAAGTGAAATTCAATCACCTTGTTCAGAGCTAGGCACGCTGAATATGTGAGGAATTCACAGTAGAACTTGAGATTCCATCGAAATATGGCTAATCGTATTTGGTTGAGAAACGACTGTGAATAAACGTTTGGCGAGAAACAAAACATCCCGGTTAACACTTACCAAACATTCGTCATCCTGTCAATTTTGCATTCGCTTTTTTTTATTAGTTAAACTTACTCAGTTTTAAGGCGAGTGATCACTTCTTTTTTCACACTCTGTGACTACTGCCGATTACAGTTTATAATCTCTCTAAGCTACTAAGACCCGCGATTCGCATTGAGCTACGAGCAAATTTATGTAGCGCACTGAATATTTTATGACTGGAAGTGTTTTCAATGATGAGCGAATTAAATGTCTGAATTCTTTAATGAAGTCTAATCGACATACTTTTTTTTTGGGGGGGGGGAAGGGGTCATTTTGAGGCTTAATTTTTGTTACTCTTATGACATTACTAAAAGTAGAACGAAAATTTCCAAACTTGAATCACTATTTTTCGCTTTTCGCTCGACAACAAGGGAAAAATGAGATAATTTATTAGCCGACAACGAACTCGGCATGTGATCATTATTATGAGCTCGGATGTGATACTAATGTTCCAGTAATAATGTCTGAATACGTAAGCATGTCCCATATTATTGATCGAAAAAGTCGTTTTAAGGTACGGCTTGCTTACAAAAATGTGTTTTTTTACAAAATTTTGATTTTCTCCTTTGTTTTGGGAAAGGTCTTTAAACGCTGGGAACTGCAGATTTTCAAATTTCGCTACGTCGGTTACTTTTTCGCTGACTTGACCAGCCAGCAGACGCCGGCGGTACAAATTTTTTTTTCTGTTTTTTACAAGACAAATTTGTCATCTTAGAGCGCATTACGATTGAGTTAAATAAAACAAAAGTAAAGTAATACGACAGCTAATTGGAAGGAAGAATAACAACAAGTAAAAACAGTCATACTGCCTAAAGCGCGGGAAAAGGCGAGACACCAAATCGCGATTGGTTTTAAGTTTGGAATCTGATTGGTGGAGAGAGAAGCGCCTGTTTTGAACCAATCGAGCAACACCTAAGCAACCGCAGATTACTTTCGACACTTATTTGAAAATTTTGCTAATAGTTCTTCCCTCTTCAATCCCCGTTACTTTTTCATCTGTCTATCCTTGTTGTGCACGGTTTGGAACCAGGCCTCGTTTTGAGACGGAGGTCTGGGAGCAAAGGAGCAAGAACGAATTAGCGCTCCACACTTTTGGAGCCATCGTTTCTGTAAAGTGTGTATTTTTGAGTGGATGGCTTCATAATTGTTGTCAAAATTTTAATTCTTAATTTTGCCGATATTTCTATGTCTACGGTAGAAAGACTATGAATAAAGTAATTTTGCTTAAAGGATTTTTAAATGGAAAGGGTTTAAGTAAGTTAGAAGAGCTGTGTGGTTGCTAACGAGTGTGTACCCCACCGAAGTACTCTTTATATGCAAAAGAATGTCCCTATTATTGACGCTGCAGGACGTGCGTTTCTTCGCTCGCGGGAAGATTTGAGACGAGTCGCTCAAGGCCTCATTTAATACTTTCCCGCGCCCGAAGAAACGCTTGTGTCAAAGTACCGATTATGAGGGCATGTTTGCAAGCTACTGTAGTTCTTTATTCGAGACTGCAAATCCAAATTTGGCCCAAACAAATATCTTGTTTAGCATTATTTCCATTAACGTTGTCGGCTTGTCACAAACAAAAGCGATTTTGCTTTTATTTACCTTTAATGAAATAAGGCAAGTGGACTCTGTAGGTGAAAATGATTTTGATTGAAAAAGAAAATGCATTCGAGAACAAATTGGTTATTTTTAGTCATGTTTATTGCAATTTTGCGGTTTGAAAGGAGGCGAATTTAAATCGTTTTCCTCTTTTTTACTACCTAGAGATAAGTTTAGAGTTTCAAGTGCTTGAAATAGCTCGATTTCATGTTTCACTCCCAAAACAATCTTTGTTTATAGTTATGATGCATTAAAAAAGAAATCTCCAAATCCATTTACCTCTTAACGGTTTTTGTCTGATTAAATTGCGTCCCTGCAGTGAAATCGATTTTTCGGTCGGATCGTGCTGGCTTGTCAAAATGCGATAAATAGTCGAGAACGTTGGGTGCGAAATACAATGAGAAGTGTAAACGAGAGAGATTGAAAGAGACAACCCGTTTCGCGCCAAGACAGCTGCGTGTATGAAGACAAGCACCTTTAAAGAGCTTTTCTTGTTAACTGTCATTTGAGGAAATTTTTTATATCGGATGTTGGTACTTTGAAATGGATTAAACTTTGAGAAATACTCGACCATCAGTCTCTAGTTTCGCCAATGCAACCGTAAACATTTCGTTTTCGTTCTCCGCTCGTTTATCGTTTCTGTGTGTATTTTTCACGCATTGTAGACATAAATATTTAATCACCTGTAGTCGTTGGGTGCCCATATCATATTTGTCAAATGTTCTAAACCAGAGTCGGGTAAAGTCAACACTGTTTCGTGTTCCGCGGTGAAAAAATGAGTTTGTGTGGGGCACGCGCTTGTTAGTTTTGTGGCTTGGATCGCAATTTCGTAGCGAAAATGTGACTGGTTCAGATGTAAACCTGATGTTGCTTAGGCGTACGTCTTCAAGATGGTTTCCGATGTGTTTGAGTTTAACATTCCGGAAGTCAGACTTTTCTTCCGATTCTGCGAGCATAAGGACCACGATGTACTTCCAATAGGTACAGAGTTTCGATAGTAGCTTTCAACTTTGTCTAACGAAAATTCTTTGCCCCTTTACAAACGCGGCAATCTCGTTAAATTAATTTCTACAAAACTGGGGGAGAGATTGTGGTGATAAATTGATTGACTGTCGCAAGAAGAACCACGTTCGCTTCACTGAATCGCTTCCAACTGCTGTAAACAATTCAATTAACAGCGTTTTTTTCTTTTTGATTTAAGCTTGGGATGGCCCACATCATCCGAGGAATCTTCTTCTTGGAGTTGTGTACACAGCCAAGGTAAGTCAGTCATTAATCACGAAGCGTTGTTCAACATTAGTTGTTTAGTTTGCGGGTTTTTCCAATTTTATTCGATTCATTGTCTTTATTCTCCTGCCAGCTTTTAGCGTATTATTAGATAAGACTTTTTTTGCCGCGCATCTTTTGTCAACGCGTAACCTTTATTAAGAATTTCGCTGAGTGTAGTTATGAAAAAGTCTTAAAGTTGAGAAGTTGATATTTACATCAGTTTGGTGGATGAATCAACGGCGGAAGTCACAAATCAATCTTAAAAATAAACGTCTGAAGGCTCGTGGGCATAGCCTTCGAATTGCTTTTTTCTGACGCTTTTTAGCGTCACATCTACATGTTTTCAGTTTTACTCGTTCAATGGAGAAGTGTTGCTTCTCTGGTTTTGCGAATATAGGTCTCTCAGTCTCTTAACTATAGCTTTGATCATTCGCGATCATTTTGAAAATTTGCATCCGAAAGACCCGTTATTGTCTCTACTGACAGGTTACTCTATAAACAAACGGCCTAATGAAAAGGTTTAAAACTAACAAATTTTGTCGTCTTTCATATCCTTTCAAATGTTTGAGTAGTATGATTTTTAGAGTAAGAGGTTGTGTTCAAGAATGGAAAACCAACGATTATTTTTCTCACGATCGATTAGCACTTTGCATTTAAATGAGTCCTAATTTAATGTCGACCAAGTCATTACTGTTTCTTAACACGGCTGATTCGACCATCGGTGATGTGTTTGTGTGGTTAAATTCGATAGGAATAAACATTAAAAAAAGGCTAGAACCATCTTTGATAATACTTAATCTCAAATAAGTTTTGGGCGCCCTAACAGACGACATAACCAAGACCGTGACGGTTGTAACTTCACTTAGATCTTAAGGGTTAATTTATGTGCAAAAATTAGCACTTCGACAGCAAAGTATATTTGAAGGCAATTCTAATCAGGTGAATAGCACGACTGAATATTGGTTTAACATCTGATGCCCTGTCATAAATATGCAAATAGAATTGATTGTAATCAAGTCGTCATAAATGAATCACCTTTGTTTGCTCGAGATGGTACAGATAATCATGACCTATTTTAGACAACTTCCATATTCATTTCTGACAAGCTGAATGCAACCTGGATTTGATCCGTCCTTCAAATTATAATTCTGAGCTTTTATATCCTTCCATTTCTTCTCTTTTTAGTACCTGGGTTCGTCGCAAATTATGTCGCCCCAGGCCCCAAACAAAGCTGTTCGGATGGAACAGGCTCAGGAAGCCGTGGGACGAATAAAGGTTTGACTTACTGAAATCCTTCGCTTCCTCAGGGTTACTATGTAAGCTTTAAATTTATAATTCACCAAAGAGGCTTTGTGCTTTGTCGTTCCATGTGCGGCACTGCCGAGTTGATTACAGTTTGTACTCTGGCTTGTAAATCCGCCTTTAACCGTTCGATCCTAAGAGTGACCAACATCTAATTTCTCCTTGAAATATCACTTCAAAATCGCACATTTAAGTCACAAGAATAAAGGAATGAATACCCACTAAAGACGCTTTCTGTTGTAAAAAAATTCTCCTTGCCACCAACTTAGGAAATGTTTAGCGAACAGTATGGAGAATATACATACTGATATTAGGGTGTGAAGGGATGAAGAGTGATTTGCTTATAACAAAAGGAGCTATATTTGATATTTTGAGGGTTTTGCGACGTACAGACTTCTTCAAAACCAAAAAGAATTTCAGAATAATCGTTTGCGAAGGTAGAAAAACTCTCAGTAGGTAAAAATATAGCACTTAAGAACACGGATAGTGAAGGTGGAAAAGATTGACGCGGATTGCAAAAAGTAACGTTGATACACAAGTTTTAACAATTCCCCTTTTTCAGCCAGTTTTGTTTGTTGTCCGTTAGGTTCCTGAGGGTGAGGACCAACCAACTACTGATATTGACTTTTTCATTTCTACTGAAAGACTTAAAGTGGTCAATTCCACTACAAAGGTAAGTTATCCCAATTTTACAGGTTTCTTGTTTGTTGTTCGTTCTCTGAAGATAACTGTTCTAATATGTGGAGGTAAATGGGACTGCTGTATCTGAAGTACTGAAGTACGCCGTGAAAAGGGCAGGAAACAGCACGACGCGGCAACAAATCGCAGCGAAAATTTCCTTAGTGTTACTTGGACAATTTTTGTTGTGAGTTGCACTATCTTGATTCATAAGCACTCTACACTGAGCTGTTTAGCGACTAGATTAAAGATGATGTTCTTCACTAATGACACAGGCATACACAAAGGAAAAGAATTCCATCATCGTTGCGTTGTTTCCCAACCCAAGAAATGTAAAAATAATAGTTCTATTAACTTGTTCTTCAACAGGAGGTCATGTTAGACCACTCCCTCCGCTCCGTGTCGTTCATCGCAGATATCGGAGATGTTCTTGTGCTAATGGCTCGTCAGCAATCCGAGGAACGCGCCAACAAAGAGGTTTTAAAACCTTCACAGATCCTGGCTAGCGTAGGAACGGCGCAGACGGACCACAAAAACGTCAAGATCACTTGCCACGTTTTTCAGGCGCCAGAGGTCAGTCCTAAATATATAATTTATCTTCAAAGATGTTTCATGAAGAAACCTTCTTATAAAGAGAGACGTTTTGAGAGCTTTGTCGCCCTATTTTTAATCGTTGGGTTTTTCGCAACTTGAAAAACTTAGCTGCGATTCGGAAGAAGGTCCAAAATATCAGCTCGGTGAGATGGAAAAATCACAAAAATAGGCGATTATATAACGAAGAAGTAACAATGAGAGCTCGGATTAGAAGAATTGAACGCATTTGAGCAACAGGTGTTGACGTTGCTTTTTTAAATTTAGTCTCTAGTCTCCAGAGCACGAGTATGATTCTGTCTGGTAACTCTTTATTATATTTATCATAGTCGCTACACAGAAATCGATCATATGGTCAGAAAGGTCATATGATCGACCGTAATCGTCGCACTGTAGGGTTTGTTGACGTGGTCTAACTTCATCATCACACTCAATACACGGATGAATGCTCATTTTGATCAGTTCGTATTCGTATTGTAGCTAGCTCTACCCTCTTCATATGTACTTTGATCGGATCAAAATATACATGCGACTGCCAGAGGAAATAGAGCACAATTACATAATTTTTGCCTATTATGATCCTATGGGAAATGATGCTATCAGACTATTACTGTGAAAAAAGCCACAAGCATAAACAATAGACTTTTATCTTAAAAATATCACACTTACCTTACGCAAGGCAACAAGTTAATTTTATTTGTATGTTACTCGCTTTACCTTTTACCGACTTGTCGAACGCGACAATCGACATTCGTTTACCAGGTGTTTTCATCTGTTATTGTTAAGAAAGTCACAAATAGACACAACAGAACATTACTTGTATGTTGCGCTGCATCCATGCATATGTTGTTACAGAAAGTCTTCATGGCATGTTAAGAAACAAGAAAGAGTTTCTCAAGCTTACCAATTGCCCGTGAGTAAGAAACGAGCACGTACCAAACGAACAACGCTTCATTTTTTTTGTTTGAAACGGAGAACGCTTCCCTTTGTTGTTAGAAACGAACCACGCTTTTAGAATTGTTACTCAAACATATTTCAATTCCGAACATGCATATGATCGTTTTCTGTGTAGTCAAAGTCTTCATGGTATTGTTAGAAACCAAGAAAGAGTTTCTCAAGCTTACGAAACGTCCGTGAGTAAGAAACGATTACATACCAAACGAACAACGCTGAATTTTGTTGTTGGAAACGAACAACGTTTCCCTTTGTTGTTAGGAACGAACAACGCTTTAAGAACCTTCATGGTGTTGTCGGAAACTAAGAGCGCCTTCGTGATAAAAATTTCTCAACGTTATTGCCTATTTACAGTATGAAATTCTAATCTTTTTAGTATTTGTTTCTTCGGGCGACTTGACTTTTTTTTTCGGGTGACATAACTAAAATTTCGGGCAACATGACTCAGGTTTCGGGCGACTTGACTGTAAACCTTTCAAATCGTACTTTTTTTTTACCTGATTTAGTTGCCTTCAATCAAAAATTCAAAACAAAAGGTATCTTCACCCCCCAAGTAATTCGATCTAATCTAAACTTGGCTTGATTCTTTGCAGGCTCAGGTTATAGCCAAGAGTATTGGTCAGGCATTCAATGTGGCTTACCAAGAATTTTTAAGACAAAACGGACTAAGTGAGGACGTTATTGAAGATGCCGAGTATAACGGTGTGTTAGAGGCACAGAAAATACTCGGCGAGGACTTGTCCCTGTTGTCCGATGAAAATAGCGCCAAAGAAGTAAGCTGGATGAACGATGTTTGAGAGATAGTTAATGATGTTCATGTTCGCTTTTTACGTCTTACGAAACCAGCGTCGAGGTAGTTAAAACCGCAAGATATGGAAGTTGCAATTTATAAAAATTCCTAAGAGATGATAAAATGATAAGAAAATAATCAGAATGCAATAAAGATGGGAAGGATTTAGATGGATTGCCAACGAGAAACTCAAAGATATTAGCGCAAATATGATCTTTCGAGATGACTGCAGACTTTAAAGTTTATGTTTTCAAATCCTGTCTTGTTGTAGGTGATTGTTAATAAGAAGCCCGCTGAAATACTTGGTGTGATGATCGTGGAATCAGGCTGGGGATCCATGATTCCTTGTGCCATCATAGCGCATCTAGCGAAAGATGGACCAGCGGCTAAGTCTGGCAGGCTTAATGTTGGTGATCAGATCCTCTCAGTGAATGGTACAAGTTTAGTTGGTCTGCCTTTGTTAGAATGTCAAAATATTATTAAGGTAAGGCAACGAAATTGGAACAGTTGACTAGATTGTAGGGTTGATTTTGCCACAGGTGTGCAAACCACGTGCACGTGACAAAACTGGCGTTTCCTGGTTGGTTGATCATTAGGAACAAATAACGAGTTTAAGAAATCCAGTTACGGAAGTGAGATTCCAGAAGAATATCACATCATAGGCGTATTTCAAGCAGTGTGGAATTTTTCATCACTTTCCCCTTAACCCTTTAACTCCCATGAGTGATCAAGACAGAATTTCTCCTTACAATATCAATACAATGTCAAGCTGGCAAGTGATGAGAATAAAGAAAAATCTTAATTAGGTGATTATTAGTTGATCCAATACCAAATTCTCCAAACTAACATCACAAGAACTATATGGAAGACAGTAAGGAGAATTACTAATGAGATCTTGGGAGTTAAAGGGTTAAGACGTGTTCATCTTTCAGTGCTGTTTAACAGCTCTACCTTCGATTCACAGAAATGAATTTTAGCCGTGTAGTGTAGTCTTTGATAGTTATAAATTCCTGCTTCTCTGCACCTTAGCTTGTACCGTGGAAACCATTCAGTCTGTGAGGACGAGCTAAAACAGCAAAGCATGCGAGTGTAAAAACAAGGAAGGCAACCTGTAAACCTCCCTTTTTTCCGCTCGTTTCCTCTGAGATTCATCTCTTTCCTCTTCCTCTCCCCCTCTCTCCTGTTACTAACAAAGTGCTTGCAATATTTCCAAAAGAATGTTGACACCTTAATTGAGTATTACCCTGACTCTAAGCAAAAGTAGACGCTCGTAAAAGTTATTCGCCCGTAGTATTCTTCTTCGTGTTTAACAAGTGCTGACTGTTAATGTGTCATAGGGCATACGTCCAGAGACGAAAGTGGTGATGAAAATCGTGTCGTGTCCTCCAACTGTACAAGTGGTGGTTAACAGACCGGATACCAAATATCAGCTTGGATTCAGTGTGCAAAATGGAATGGTAAGTGGGTTGATCGTTGTTTTATGTAAACGTGTAATTTGTATGGTGCGTTTAAAGCTTTTGAGTAGTTACTGACTCAGACACCCAACATTAACCCTAACTTGTCATCAATTGACTGTTGTTGGGTTAGGGGAGGGATGGGTGGGCAGTTGCCCAGATACTGATATTGATCCGATATTTCTTTGACTTGTGAAGGAAAACTTCCTGGTGTAGATAGTCTTTCCATTTTTCTCCCGTCGGCCTTTGCAGCTCTACACACGATCTTGACTTCACCTCGTAAAAATTCAACTGCACGTCTTCATGACGATATTCGGAACGATCACATGAAGTGTTGTGGCTTGAACGTGTTGTTAGACTTAGGTACCTCTGAAAAAAGACAACTCAGATATAAGCTGAATTTTTGTCATGCTAAACCTCAGTTTCGTCAATCAGGACTCTTATGTTTCAAGTAATATTCTAACTTATCCTTGTCGCGCTACTGTTACTGATTTTAGTTATCTTGTCCTCTTTAGATTTGCAGTTTAATGCGCGGAAGTATAGCAGAGAGAGGCGGTGTTCGAGTGGGACACAGGATTATTGAAATAAATGGCGAGAGTGTGGTAGCCACGTCTCATCAGCATATAGTGGAACTATTGGCCACCACAGTAGGAGAGGTTTGTTGACGTTACGGGGTTTTGTTTGTCAAAGCACTTTTCTACTGAGTGCCATGAAATCAAGTCTTGAATTTTTAGACGATCAGAATTTCTAACTGATTTGTATCTCTTCAGATCCGTATGAAGACCATGCCTGCCTCCATGTATCGCCTTTTAGTTGGTTTGGAAACACCACAACACATCTGATCTGATCGGGAAGAGGACTTCATGCTTAAAATTACAACCGGACCGCTTGAAAAAGTTCGACGTCAGTCACGCAATGAGAGCGACTATGTCACCCATTGGGAGAAACTTTGTCACACAGTTTGTCCATGAACTTAGACATCGTGACGGAGAGTTTGAATGAAACAATATAGTGAAAGAGGAATGAACGGGTCTTTCATTGAACAGAATCGTCTAGAGACAGTCAAGGAACTGATTAGTTCGACAGCCAAATGTAACGCTTCACTAAAGTATCAGTGGATTAGATTGTTTAAGTCTCAGTCCATTGTTGAAAAACATTGAATACAAATCAACTCATTGTAGATAGCCGCAGTTTTTGATGGAAAGTAATACGTTCAACAAATAGCTGAAATATTTATTCGAAGCTGTCGAATTATTTACCTTATGGTTTATTTTGTTTACATATAAAATTGAAGTGTAAACTTTGAGAAGTCGTTGAGTTCCAAAAAAGATATACACGCCTACTAGCGTTTTTCATAAACTTCGGTTACTTTTGAATGGGTAAAAAAGTGTGATGATGACGAAGTTCGCGAACTTAACTTTGATGGTTCACCAATTTCACTTGAGGTGTTTCAAACGATATTTCTTGCCAAATCCTTCGTGTACCTATCCTTAACGTAAAACTGACATCTAAATAATATGCTTTGATACGTTTCGGGGTGTAATTAAAAGTGTTTTACAAGGAATAAACAACTCTTCATTTGTTTAAAGAAGTGTGTCTATTAATGCATCATTGCAATCCGCGTATTACCATCTTCCTCTCTTTCTGTTTGTGTCATCTCTTTGTTGGCTGTCAACACTTACACACTATTGCTGAAGGTGATTGCTTATGACCCTTAACCCTTTAACTCCCAAGATCTGATAGTCAATTCTTCCCTCCAGCTACTACATATTTCCTTTGAAATTAGTGACAAGAAGTTGTTGTTAGATCAAAACAACTTCTACTTGATATGTTTGGGTATTCTCATTACCTATTGCAGGGAGAAGTTAGATGCGAATCACTTCTGTGAGTTAAAGGGTTAAAGACAAACATTCGCTTAAAGGTCCATTTCCAACCTTGATGCAACGCGCGCCGCGACCCAATTTCCTGCAACACGAAATTCCCAGATCACTGAAAACCTTCTAAAATCGTCTTTCTCAAGAGCCATCTTGGACTTATAGTCAACTGTTTTACGGTAAATACATTCGCCGTTCGTCATTTCACAGATTCCTTATAGTATTTTGAATTCTGTTCAGAATAATCCTCTTCTTGACCCTTTGACACTTAAAAGTGACTTAAGTAATTTCTCCCAACCTATCACCCCTGAATCACACATAAAGGTCATGAGAATAAAGGAACTGATCACTATTAAAAAAGCTTTTGATTGTTAAACAAATTCTCCTTAACAGCGCCTGAGGAAATGAATGAATAACAGTATGGAGAATATTGACGCTTATGTTGATAACAGACACGCCGAGAGAGTTTAAACGTTTATTGCAATGGGAAGCCATCTTCTTCAGTAAAAACTAGTAAGGAAGGAATTGTTTGGCAAAGTAGAATAATAAAAGTAAAAAATGTGTCACAAAATAGAATAAAAACTATGTGAAAAGTTAAGATCGATATCACAAAGCATCTCTTGGGCTCTCGTTACAAATGGAAATGCGACAGCCGACCCCATGTGTAGGTAAAAGAAAGCTTTATCTAAGTCAAAGTTCGCGTAAATTGTCCGTACCCCAAGAATGTTAGTGATAAACAAAGTTTTTTCTGGCTTGATGATACTCGGGATCTTGAAAGTTTCTCGCCATGATTGAGAGCTCATTTGAGCGACATTCTTCGATGTTCTCCGTGACTTGGTGCTGTGCCTTTTTGTTCTTTTCTCGGACAATGTACGACTGCAAAGGGGTGCGGGCAAGGCACGATGCTTGCTCCTTAATCCAGCTTTCAAACTCCTCCACACCGTCTCCAACACTTCCGTCCAGAAAACCAATTTCAGCGGCATCAGAGGCTAGGATGGGTTTGGCACTGGACAACAACTCATCCGCCTTTTCTTGGCCCACACGCTTTGGCAGAAAGTATGTGTGATATTCTGAACCATAAAGTTTCATTAGCTTATAGTGAGGATTCAGCACCACCCCATCACGTGCAAAGGCGAAGTCGCTAGCCAAAGCCAACATGGCCCCACCGGCTCCAGCGTTGCCACGTAATGCTGAGATCGTGATCTTTCTGCTGGAGAAGATACAACGCACGACATCGTTAATAGCATTGATGTTCCTCCATGATTCCTGTACTGGGTCATCTGCTGCTTCGATAACATTAAGGTGGATACCATTGCTGAACACATCTCGGCCACCCATCAGAACCATTACCTTGCAAAAATCATTATTTTCAACCGCCCGCAAAACGGAAACAAGACGCTGACATTGGCTAGTGCTCATAGCTCCGTTGTAAAACTCGAAGTGTACAAAGCAGACGCCGTCAGATGTCATACTCGTCCAGATGTCCTGAGCTGTGTAAGGATAGGAGCCGTACAGAATAGATAGAGAGGGGTCTACCACGGTTGGTGCTTGAGATTTTAACCACATCATAGCAGGAAGTTTGAGCTTGCTCTTCTTCAGGTGTGAAACCCATAGAGCTCCCCTGCCGCACTTGACCAGAACAGATCCATGGCTTTGGCCCAGTATTTCACCAGGTTTTCCCGGCAGGAATCTAAGTCTTCCTTTCTCCAGACGTGCTCCAAAGAGGCGAAAATCCTTCGTCCAGTCCCAATCGCTATCTGCTTCTTTTGTTCTAAAGCGACCGACGGCTCCTGGTGCTGAATCAGACATACGAATCTGACAGGCTATCTCGTCAGCTGGCAATTCCCAGTTCACAGTTCGGTCAGCCTTGGTCATGTTAGGGCGGCAGATTCCCCTCACTTGTGGATTGCTGTAGTTAAGAGGTCTGGGTGCTTTTCCAACCAGGAGATTATCTATGGCCTCCAGAACAGCTTTCACGGCTGTTTGTGTAACCTCATTCACATACATGCTCGACTTGGTAAGTGTGTTGACTTCGGGGCGCCTAACAGGAAAGGTTTTGGTGCTCCAAATATCGCCTGCGTCCATCTCCGAGGCCGCTTGAAGGACGCTCACTCCCCATTCCTCCTCCCTGTCATACAAGGCCCAGTCAATGGAACTCATGCCACGGTCGCCCTCGATTCCAGGATGAACAATCCAGCAAGGGATGTTGGGATTAGAAAACACTTCTTCTGGAATTCGTTTGGTAAGAAATGGACAAAGAATGAGATCGGGTTGGGCATCAAAAGCCAACTTTGTCATCTCTACAGGCTCGTTGATCTCGTGCACAGTGATGTTATGTTGTCTCTTTCTCAATTCTAGAGCCATCCTTTGGCTGAGGCTGTTGTGCTTGTTTGCGAAGAAAAGGATGTTAAGACTCTTTTTTGGCTTGAGACTGCATGAGACCGTTGGTCGGTTCAACAAATGGGGTTCAAATCGTCTTGAAAGGACAGGCTGGAAGCGAGGCTTAAGGAAATTTTTCAGCATCGTTATCCTTGCTATCTTCTTCTGAAAACTGAAAGGGAAGGTAGAACGTCAGTGATTACTCAATTATGGAACTTAACCGTTAAATAAAATAAATCATAGCGAATATAAGCGATCCTCGCAATTATGAACACTACTGAACTAGTAGTTGAAATAAGGCCTGAAAAAAATTCAAGCCCGTAGGGGATTTGAACCTAGGACCTTTGCGATACCGGTACAGCGCTATACCAACTGAGCTAAAAAGCCAACTGGGAGCTGGCCATTATGTTGATATCACAAAAATTATGATCAGTTTGCGTAAAGCGAAACCAGAGTGTTTTCACCGAGTGATTTTCGTCGACATTCATTAAGCGCATAAAATTTACATAAAACGAAAGCTAAGATGTGGTAGTAGATTGCGACATTAAACGTGTGTACAAATACAGCGAAGTTCACAGAAACGGAATTGGCTTCCTTTCTTTGTGTTCATCACAAAGAATGTCGACGTGACCTGTAACACGAGTTTCTTTCTTTTACACGCATTTTGAAATATATTTTAATGAAACTCATATCATAGGAAAAATTAGATCTTAAAGTTTAACTAGTTTTGGTTTTAAAGATGCAAAATTAAAAGTGTGCACAAGCGCGGTGTATTGGAATGATAAATAGCATGTAAGCGATGTTTCCTCTGATGACCGAATCATTAAACTATTAATTTATTCGTAGATTTCGATCCGTTGCGGGTAATAAAGGAGCATGGTTTTCATTCTGAGATCATTACAAACACAACTCTTTAAAATCATCCCTACTCATTATATATCTTTGTATCGCATGCGGCTTTGAGGTGTGTCCGCGCTGGGAGGTATTGCATTGTGATGGATGTTTCATGTGGCAGCACCGCACTTGCGGTACCGGTTTAAGCAGGGTTGCTGTACAGAATGCTGTACAGAATGGAGCAATAGATTCGATCTGTGTGTCTTGGAGCGTGTCCAAAGACGGCGATTTTGATCTGAAATTTTGGCTGAAAACACCCGCATTGAGAGGCCTTTCGATGAGTTGAAAAAAAATCACGTTGTTACACCCTTCACCAAGATTTAAAATCTTTGTGTTCTATTTCTGCACTTGTTAACTCATCGATCGTCCCTACAGCATTGGGGAACTAATTAAAGAGCCAACATATTTTTCGGCGTTTAGGGATATACCTTAAGGATGTGTTTCTTAATCAGAAGTCTTAAATAGTTTTTAGAAATCCAGAGAAAGAGCCTTTATCTATAATACTTTGTTCTGCATCGATACTGATCGAATGATTTAACAAATGCGGCTGTCGGAGGGAACATCGCTTACATACTAATCATTCCAGAAAAGAAATTCAGGGACTCCCAGAGGAAGCCAAGTCGCTTTCAGCAAAATTTCGCGCACACTATAAATTTCGCATTATCAGAACTAAAAAACGAATAAAATTCAAGATCAAAGCTTTCATAATATTAATTTTTATTAGATTTGATTACGAATTCTGTTCGAAAGAACGAAACTCGTGTTAAAGGTCACGTCGACATTCTTTGTGCTTAAAACAATAAAAGGACGCCAAGCCCGCTTCTGTGAAATTCGCTGTATTTGTGCACGCTTTTTGTCGCAATTTACGAATACTTCTTAGCCTTTATTTGATTTAAGTTTCGTGCGGTTTCATAAACATCAGGGCGAAAATCACGTGGCGAAAATTACTCGGTGTCATAATTGAGAGGCTAAACATAACTTCTGAGTTATATTTCCCTTTTCGCAATGTATTGCTATATCTCAGCTTTTATTTGATTTTAGTTTCACAAGACAGGCTACACATAAAGTTTGATTCAAATCGCTACCGGTGGTGATTTGACTCTTAGTGGTAGTTAGTTTTGTGGTGGCAAGCTTGTTGTGGTGGCGAATTGACCGTAAACCGTGAAAATACGCGTGGAAAAAGCTGTCTTTCATTCACCGCGCGAGTAAAGCTTTCACGATTAATATATTTTGAACAACCGTTCTGAAATTAAAGGAATGGAGTCCAACTGCGTTTTAGTCAAGAGCTGCACTACCATTCCTTAGATCTAAATTTTAAAATGTCTGCGAGCCCGTCAAGTCACCACGAGTTTCAAACTCGGGACCCTCGCCAGCTCGTTATTCACGCTTTCACAAACGCTATCTCAGCACAATTTCCTGCTAAAGCACGTGGATACTTTCAAAGGTGAGTGCAGCTCAAGAGAGCACGGGATCATAAAATAGCTTAGCAAGAAAAAGAAACTAAAAGTTCGTACCTTGCAAAGCTTCCTTCCTGGATTGTTGTAAGTGACAGTCACTTCAGCTTATTATTTGCCTCTTCAAGCCTCTTTCGAAAGGCGTAGTTTCGGTCCAAGTTCGAAATAGATTGTGTAATTGAAAAACACCGTGAATTGTTGAATTGTGGTCCAATTCTCCCGAGAGAGACGCAATCAACTAACATAGGTCAGGTTAAATCCCTATGGGTATTAAAACCACACCAAAATGTCAATAAGTAAGCAAAAGCGATATTTTAAGGCAGTTTTATTTCGCGTTCAGTACTTGCCGCTGGGCCCTCACGTTGAATTCTAATTAATTGGTAGGTTAGCCTTTTCCATCATAAAATAACAACATGAGAAGTAGTGGGCTTCTGACAACAACAACAACGTTAATTTAAAAAAATTTCTTCAAATTTAACTCAAGGGATGCGGTGAGTAAAAATTTTGTCCCTAAGTGATTTCTGTAAGAATTAGGAACACAATCTAGGCATAATTGTTTCCGAACTGATGGCTTTTGCGCCTTGACAATACAAACCGGTTACTGCTGTAAATATTTTAATCAAGTTTTTACCAGTTAGAAGGTGGTGTTGCAGAAGATTATTACATATTCACAGGCAAATTAGAAAAATTGGTACATCATATTGAAGAGAGAGCATATTAGTGTTTGTATCAGCGAATTATGCCCAGTAGCACCAAAGAAATACTTTATTCAGTTCTTTCCGAGACACTAGAGAAGACAAAAGACATTTCACAATAATTTCACAAATCAGTGCCTCTACCGATGCATGATGAAAAATGAACTTTTTCCTTGCAGAAAAATTTAATCGGTGTGATGAGCGCATCATGGACTCTATGAAGAAAAATCTTTGTGGTTATTGTTCATCGTGGTGTAAGAAAGGAGATGGACTTTATTCGTTTGTCTCACGATGGAGTCACTTTGGATGTGGATATTCACGATCAAACAACACAACAGCCTATCAATGCGAACCTAAGAGGGAACACCATCTAACGACCGGAATAAAAATGAGGATCGAAATGCACCAATAGCAACGCGCCAACGTGCTTCAAATAGCGACACGTAAACAATCGACCTCATCGCCCAACAAAGACTAGCAGTATTGCAGTCGAAACGTCGCGATCAACATCCAAAGTAACTCCATCGTGAGACGAATGAATAAAGTCTATCTCCTAAGAAAAAAGAGAACGAAAGTCCAGGGCACATAATTTATTTGTGTCCATAATTCTGTAAACTCCCACGGAGACTTAAAATCATGCATTAATAACTACCAACTCCCCTCCCCACCCCTGTTTGCTCTAAACGGCCGACATCATTCAGATTAAGCGTTCTTCGCCGGAAAATGCGTCACCCAGGCCAAAGCAAAGAAATATTTACTGCATATGCAAATGAAAAAAGCAAAAAGGTGTTGCAGAGGTACAATTTGAAATGCTGAGTGATTATTGGTGTAAGCGAATATTTTGCGCCTTTGAATAAAATTTATGGAATTCCAGCATCCTTTTTTCACTGCCATGCGCAGCTCAGCCGATCTGATCATTTTTTAATCTTTAACGGTGATCGTTTACTTATGACACTGGAAAGGTACGGATTCAAGAAATCCCTCATTCAGTTCTTAGGAGCCAAGATGATACGTCGACGAGTTTTGTCAAAACTTTTATGGTAAAACTCCGGCGGACTGATTACGTATCGGATCCTATTTCACCGAGGTATCACAGTTCTCGCTGGTTTGAATCGTTCATTACAAATTAGTGACACGAGAGGGGGAAAGATTCTGGTTTACAACGGTTCTGCAAAATACATCAACCTCCAGCAGGTTACAACATGGTAAAAAATGTATTCGTTATAGAAAGATGCATGATAATTTCGCACCGAAAGAATAACAAACAAGTGAGACAAAGATGGGCAGAAAGTTCTAACACCAACTTTGTACGATTCAATTTTTATCGTGTAAAACGTATTTGTTTTCTAAACCAACGTTTCGTAGATTTTGATATCATTAGAAACATTACGTTACCTTAATCTAATTTGAAACAAATTACATAGGTTTTATCCAGAAACGAAGTAGCCGTATATGAATGACGAAACATCGTGTATCTTGTCTGTCGCTTATGTCTTCAAAATTTCAAGAAATTCTATGAATTGTGATGGGTAAAAAGGAATTACAAATTTACGCAGTTTTTTATTTCATTCTTCCATTTTGCTTAGTGAAGGTTATCAGAAGTTGGATACAACCGGTTCAAAGTGGAACAGAGCCACTGATTTTGTACGTGATTACCCAAGCGGACACTCTTCATATGGAAAGAGGGCGACCGAGGTGAACGTTCCTTACAATTCGAACAAGATGTTTGAGAAGCAGTTTGATTCGTTCCTTCCTTGCATAGATGTGCCATTTATTTTCATCGTGGACTGTAGGAAGATATGAAAAGTAGGAGAAAGATTGGGACTCAAAACGTCTCGTGTGCTCCTGAAAAAAGAATAAACAGACTCAAACGTAAGTTTTTTTTCTTTAATTAAACGAGAAGCTTGTTTCAAAAACTGTGTTAATTTTATCTCTGCAATTAAAAATCATGCATAAAAATATTTAGTTCTACACACGTTTTGACGCTCCAGTAAGTAACCTATTCGTTCTAAATTTGTCTTCAAATTAGCTTAATATTCCCCTTCTAAGTTGTGAAATATGGATTCCTCTAAAGTTGCAGTGGAGACATTATTTGAAACTACATTTTTCTATCCAAACTGCTGGAGGAA